GCTATGTTGCAGGATGAGGGGAACATATATATTTATATGTATATATATATATATATATATATATATCATACAGGCATCTATGAAAAAATATGAAAATCTAAACACCATCTTCTGATCAAAAGGCAACTCTTGAGTTCACAAAATATTCACAGAAATAAAGATGTATTCCATTTTATCCATAAAAAAGGCAGAATCTTATAAAAACTTGAGATTTTATTGCAGTAAATTAGAAATGATTGAGCCGGATGGGGCTGTTTACATGTTGCGTTGACGTATTACTTTCACAGCACTACAGACTTCAAAGCTGAATGCTGCAGCAGCTTCCATTAACAATGAAACGTATATATTAGATGAAGTCTTCTCCCAGGCTTGATAAGCCCGATAAACATTTAACATTTGACGAAGACAGAAAGCGAACGTATTGTTTCAGCGTAGACGTTTAATTATAAACAGAGGTATTATAGACTTTACTGTCCAGACCAAAACTACTACTTTCAGGATGTAATTAGAGACTCGGTCACATGTATGTCCCTTTCTTACAAACATACATGCTGCATGATAAAAGTGTGGAATCCTCCCTTTGAAAAGCCACTGAAGCACATTTTTTCACTGTTTTCTGACATTTCTTTACATCAAAGAAATGATACAGCGGATTAATCGATAAGCAATCGTTAGTTTGCAGCTCTGTTGGAAGCTTTTGAGAATGATCCAGACGATGCTCGTGTTAATCCCAAGGGGCTTTTCTTAAGCCAGCTGTGGACATAAAAGAATGGCGATCAGATCACACGGTGGAGAAGAATGAACATCAACATTTTAAAGGACGCCGTGTCCGTGCACAGTTGTGCAATATAGAAAAACTCACACTACTGTCACTGCGACCGCAGACGGTGCACAGAGGAGCCGTCTTGTTGTGTGACTGTTCCAAGCAACAGATCAATATTGGCTCAAAATTCACTACATGGAAAATCAAGGACGTTGTTCAAAGGACGAGCGGCGAGCTGGATTCTTGCCGCTGTCAGCTAATTCTGTGCATAAAATGTAGTCTGAATATTTTAATTAGCCGCAATGCGGGTTTCACTAACAACTAAAATCTTTTGGATAAGAGCGACTATTATTTGCCACGCGGATCAAAGACTCACACACTCACTTGCAGCCACTAAGTGAATGTATTTGCCTTTTTCTATTCACTGATTCATTGAGGTTAAGAAAAAAAAAAGAAGAAAAAACATGCCTGCAGGCCATGTCGGGGTTAAATAAGCATAAGAATGCCAGAAGTGACTGTCCCCTCCTTTAAACCCCCAACAGACACATCCAGCCAGTAAAATCGGCTAGACTGCCCCCACCACCTCCACCACCTCCCAGCCTGGGCTCAAACCCCCCCTTGCGATAGGAGCAGGCAGATAGACAGACTGTCTTATCCCCCCCCCCTCTTCCTCTGGGGAGGAGGGGGGGGTCTGGCTTTGTGTCTACCGGCACGGACGAGGACTTTGTGTTGCAGACATGCATGCATGCATGCTTGTGTGCAGGAATATCACACAAACGGGCCGTTAGTATGTGGCCCCCGGCACGCACATGCAAAGACAATACACACAGAATCCGTTCGTCTATATATACTGCATATCTCAAACAATAACGCGGTTTAAGATGACTCACATCCCAGAAAAGTCCACCAAGCATTACACAAACAATCAAGAGGATGTTTACAAATGATTCAATGTCAGATGACATTGTAATTAGGAAGGACATTTTTTTTTTCCCCCCAAAGTGAAAAGGTCGGGTTAGGGGACACATTCACACACAAAGAGCCAAAGCAAACCTCGCTGACCCTGTATAGGCCCCACCTACCATGTTCAACCCCCCACCCCACCAGGTCTGCATATGCAAAGACGCACACATTTATTAATATACAACAAAAACGCAGGCGTTACCCTGCTATGGACTGCATGGGTGTATTAAGCGCGGACAAACCGCATGTCAGTTTGATTCTCACCAAAGACGAGAGATGCAGCATGCAGAGAGGCTGAGAGGCTTTCATTACACTGTGGGATGGGATGTGGGTACAAATGTGGCATTTCTGTCAACAACAAAGTATTGAGAAGAGTTTTAATACAATGGTCACATACCCATATGTCTGTTTTGGATTAGATTTCATTTAGAAGATAATTGCTTCAATGAAGCATAATTTTCTGAGTGTACAAGGAAATCTTTTTTTCCTTCCATCTCTTCATATCTAGCATAGCAGTAGTGATTAAATTATATATGGCCAGTTATTCAACAATATTCTTTAATCAGGAATTCATTGTCATTGGGACCAGCCTCTTAAATGTGTGTGTTTGTTGGTTTTCTTTGTCAAGTATTTGTCATGCAATGCACCAAACAAACAGTTAACTGCAGCCCTAACGTTGTGTGAGTATTATTAAGATTGACTGGAATCAACCATTACCCCTTCCAGGGTGAACAGTCACTGTAGAGAGCTAAAAACAAGCTCGGGAAACAAGGCCGTCTACCAACCACCATCATCAGCCACAACAGCCAACAGGTGACTGAGCAGCCGTTAAAAAGACAAACACAGCAAGTACTTAAACACACACATTTATGCACAAGTGAAGCCAACAGCAAGCACGTAATCACGTCCCTCTGAAACTATTTTAAGAGTTTATTTTGACAGAGACATGTCCATTAATAGTTTAACATGTCCACATTGGATTGTCTGAACTACAATAAAAAGGAAGCAGCAAACCTCACCTGACTGCTTAGCTCTGGTGAAGTGTAGTACTCTTTCTCACCACACACCGTTAATAAGATGGGACAGCCGTTATAATTCAGAGGGGCGCTGTTTCAACAAATGAGGGAAGCACGGTGAAAAGAGACAGCCCTAACAACGCGACACTAGGAAAAAGTGCGAAATAGCAAGTTTAAAAATAAATGGGTCTTAAAAAAATATAAACATTTGATGGGGACACTGGAAGGACTTAAGACAGGGTTGAAAAAATACAATTAATTATGTTAAATATTAATTTATACTTTCTGTACATGTCAGTAAAAAATTCTTCACATGGCCAGAAAAAACGTTTATGTTTATATATCTTCTGGATATAATCAGATTTAAACACATAATGTGTTTTTCTTGGACGCTGCGCGCTGGGACAGTTTTCATGTGTAATACACATGTTCATGCTCCTGGCAAGAGATGCTGGTGATCAACCTGTAATAGTTTTAATGGAATTATTGTTGGGCAGAATCAGGGTCACCCTGTCCGAGGGTCACTGGTATTACACCATTTCTCTCTCCCCCACACACACACACACACACACAGAGCTGCTATAGTTGTATTAGCAGGTTTAGGGATTATTGTTGAGAGGACATACAGGCAGCCCTTAGTTTAAAGTACATGATGTCAAGGAACCGGCTCCCGTTGGAGGCTCCGCCCCCCCGGTGGAATGTATTTGAATGTTTTCTGAATAATGCATCTTCCTCTGGCGTCAAAGTTTCTATCTGGGTTTCACAGTAAATATAGTGATACATAATGTATGCACTGGGCACAGTCATCAATAAAACAGGCAAAGGGAAAGAATATTAATATGTATCCTCGGACGAGCGTTGATTCAGGGAGACTTTTAACATTCATTATTCCGTCTGAATCATAATACTTTCCAGGGTACACCACACAAACATTGTGTCATTGTCCTTCTTTGCAGGAATGACTTGGCAAACAGCACCAAATAAATATGAATCGGGCTGTGGAATATCTCAGGAACATGAACTAATAATGAAATTGCTCTTCAACGCTTTCATAAGGAGGGTTTAAAGGGAGAACGCACACACGCGTGCTTCCACTCCTGCCTCCACCACTGAGTCATTGGCACAAAATACGTTGTTTACTCTGTCATATTCTAAATAAACTCAAGGTTTTTTGGAAGCGCAGTCGAACAGAGGAGGAGGACGGGGGGTGGGATTGCGTGGAAAGTGGGTCTTGTAAATGTAGGTCTTTGAGACAGTGTGTGTTGGTAAAGCAGGCTTACAGTAGTAATCCTCTTCACAGACACCCATCTGACTAGCAACAGGACGCGGCCCAGACAGACACGCACACACCCGCACGCGCGCACACACACACACGCACAGACGGAGCGGTTTTATCACAAGGAAATCTATTATGTTGTGTATTGTTTTTCATGAAATGCCAACGGTCATAAGTGGGCCAGGCTCACTGATCATATCATCAGGCCATTCATCTGATATCAAAGAGGTCTAAATAAAGTCGTCTTCCAGTACATTTCCAGTGTGTTCACTTCCTCAGGTGTGGCACCGAATTCTTTCCACGATTGTTTGTGTCGTTTACTTTCCATTCAGTCTGATCAACCGTTTGAATGAAGAGGGCTCCTCCAGGAAGCCGGAGCTTCTGTTGACTTTATTGGTTCCTGAAATTTGTCATTACGACTTCCTGGCTATGGTGTCATCAGGTAATGACAGAGGGGAAGGGGGACATTGGTCCCAAAATAACTGACAATTGTAAAGCCTGTGAGGAGTTATGGCCGACGGCGTCTGACTCATCGCGTCTCAAGAGGAAAATGCTTTTACGAACCACATTATGACATCAAAGTCCTTTAGCTAAGTTAAGCCAATGTTGACTTTGATAACAACGAACAGACAATATTATTTACCAAAATTGTGTTAGAAGGTTTTTAGAGAAATAATCCAATTTGGATTGTGCACAAAACCAAAGGCTAATATTAAAAACAACTGAATGAGACCAGTGCAAACCTCTAGATAAGAGACGGGACAAGACATGTTATTTGTACTTTTTTTTTTATTTTGGCATTTCTTTGTTTTGCATTTATATTAAGCAAAGTGCATCTTATTTTCTTTTTCTCATCAACACATTGCACAATACATAAATAATGATGCATATAAAACGTCTTCATATTTACAATTAATAATATATTTATATATAACATAAAATACATTTTCGCTTCTTATTTTATTCAATTAAATCTTAGTCATTTATTAAACAAAGTCCGTCAGAGTTGTTATACTTTCTTCTTCTTCTTCTTCTTGTGAAACATTTCTTTCCACTGTTTGGACCTCTCTGAAAACAAAACAAGGAAAAGAGGGTGTAGTCTGTTTGTGAGGAGGAGGAGGAGGAGGAGGAGGGGTGAAGAAGAGGAAAGCTCCTGCTATCGCGTGTTGAAGATGACTTCCAGCCAGCATGGGCAGCTGCTGATGAACTGTCTGGTGTAGCACTGGCCCCAGCCCTTCACGAAGCTTATCTGCACCGTGAAGCCCGTGCGCGGCTGCTGCGTGAACTCGTGGTCGTTGGGCCTCTGCAGGCTGCCGGCTTTGTCATAGTCAAAAGCTTTGATGGAGAACCCGGGGAACACCTTGTGCACCAGCAGCGTGCGCGAGTCCGGGTTGTCCAGTGTGGCCGACTTGATGAAGATGGGGTAGCAGCTGCGGTTGTAGACCCACACCCCGTCCGGCTCGCGCGTCAGCTGGATGCCGTAGCCGATCTTGGCCCGCACCATCTGCACCAGCTGGGACTTGTTTTCGGAGCAGAGCTGGCCCAGGCAGAAGCCGTTCCCTTGAGGTAGATCGTAGAAGATGTCCAGAGAGGGCTCCTGGACCGAGTAGAGGCGCCCGACGCGTGTCTTCTCCTCCCAGTAAGCCACCACGCACCAGTGGGCCCGATCGCCAGACTCCTGCAGTGCCAGGGAATCTAAAAGGAGACACAGGGGAGAGGGAGGTGGTCAGACCTGTCGCGAAGCTGCACGGTAAATGATTGATGACACTGAAATGTTGTAAAAGGGGCAAAAAACAAGAAGTAATGGAAGAGGAAGGGGAAGGAAAATATGAGGCTTTAAGAAGAAAAAAAAGAAAAAGAAAGCAGAAGGCGACGACACAGACGTTGCTCCTTCCTCCCAACTCCTCCATCATCCACTTCTCTTGCTTTAGTCAAAGCCAAAACTAAACCGTCAGACTCAATCTCTGCAACACAGGAAAATCCATGTCGGAATTCCTGGACTTCAGACAAGAGAAGCAGCTCGGAGACGCTGGCGGCCGCGCGGCGCGATGCTCGCCTGAGCGTCGAATGCTTATCTTCTGTCTGGCTCGCTGCGTTGCGAAGCCGGAGGGAAAGAAAATCCCGAACCAAATCTTCCACCCTGCGCCGAGAGAGCGGGACAAGGCGAACGTCGCGTTAAAAGAAAAAAGAAAACGCAGGAGCCCCTTCCCCCGTCCTCCGCCGGAGCACGTGGCCGACGGGCGAGCCCTTCGCCTCCCCGAACCCCGGCCGTCTGATTGGTCGGACAAGCTGGGCCCCTCCAGTCTAAAGTTTCCCCTGAGCGTAAAAGAAGTGTAGCATTGGCCGTGCTCCAGTTTCTTTCCTCCCCCCCCCCCTCTGGTCTCCCCTTCAGGGTGCCTCTCTCGCTGCTCCCCCCCCCCCCCCTTCATATCTCGATTCCACAGAATTCGGGCTCCCAGCTCCAAAAGTAGGAGCCAGTCAGGCGCGAGGGAAATAGAGGGAGACAGAGAGAGCGCGAGAGGAAAGAACGGGGAGGGGGGGGGAGGAAAAGAAGGAATGCTTTTCACATATTTCGACTGTTACTTTTGCAACTTTGCTTCCTCTCCCGATCTCTAGGCGTCTCCGGCGCTTTTAGGATCGTCACCTAATTCGCCGCAACCCGTCTGCTCGCCAACCTCGTGTACTTCCTCTCGCACACACACCCGAATCCAGTCGCCATGAAAGACACATTCAAGGGTTAAGAAAGCTTGAAGAGGGGGAATATATATGTGAGGGAAAAAAAAAAAATTAACAGAGCCCCTCTCAGAGCCTATTCAGCCGCCCCCGTCCTTCCCCAGCGCCCCCCCCCCCCTCCCCCCTCCTCGTTTCATCTGGCGGTGGCTGTGAATGTAACCGGTAATTTGGAAGGTCCCGTCTGAGACAAACTGCAACGTTAATGCGGCAGGATCTCTGCCGGCCTGAGCGAACTCACCGTGGCCTGTCATTAGCCTTCATTAGATGCAGGGAGAAGGCGGGGAGGGAGGGAGGGAGGGGGGGGGGGGGGGAGAAAAAGACAACACTAGGAGAAGACAGAAACAGACAGGAGGTGAGGAAGGGGCGGGGGGGTGGGAGGGGGGACTGAAAGCATGCCTTCCATAAAACAAGAGAAGGCTGTGTTCTTTGAAGTTGGTCAGAGAGCAGCCTTGGGGAGTTTATCGTAAATCCGTCCCCATGTGCTGCTGGGGGAAACTAAGTACCCTGCTATCTACCTTAGACCAAACTGGGGCGGGGGGGCGGTGGGGGGCTTTATCTTTGGGAAAAGGGACACAAAGTGTATTTTGTGTCTCGGGCTGAGACGGAATCTCCAGTCCTGCCCGAGCTTTGCTCCCGGTTCGGTTAAACGAGAACAATACAAGACCAGCCCGGGTTTGATACGCAGAAGGATGCTGTGGACTTTCTTAACAGCTGACAGAGGGCCTGCTGGTGGAGCTCACCTGTGGGGCCCTCTGTGTGTGTGTGTGTGTGTGTGTGTGTCTGTGTGTGTGTTTGTTATTGCTGGGAGAGACAGAGCCTGGCGTCAGAGGTCATTAGAGCGGCTGCCTGTCTGAGCCTGTCATTGCAGCCTGAAAACACCCTGCTATTCAGGACTTCACTGGCTGCCTCGCTTCCCCTCCCTCCCTCCCTCCCTCTCTCCCTCCCTCCCCTCTCAGAAACCCCGGCTGGTGGCAAGTGAGAACCGCAGAGGAGAGAACAGCAAAGGCACGGATTAAAGCAAAGGGCCGAAGAGAGACAGAAACATGGAGGCCCGAGAGAAGAGAGGTCAGCGAGCAAAGCGTGTGTTTATGTAAAAGCTGCAAATACCATGAAATAACAGTCCTGTCTTGCTGGGGAGGGATTTAAAAAAAAAAAGAATGGTTTAAGTCAATAATCCATAATCCATATTCCTAGTATGGGTCAAGCTCCAAAAAACGCTATCCTACACTTCCCATAATGCAACCAGAGAGCCGTATTTGTTGAACTTTCCCTGACCGATAAAATACTTTAAAGTCCAAATGAAGCTAACAGACATCATCTCAAACTTTCACCGGCCGGTAAAAAGGTGTAAAAACTACAAAATGTCCTTCTGGATGGGTAGCGAGGAACAAAACTTTTTTTTGTTGGTTATATCAGCAGCGCAAAAGGGCCAGACAGACAGACTCCTCCGTCTGTGGGGCCCCGTGAAGAATATGTTCACAGCTCGTCCTGACAGCAGATGAGCTTACACCTCATGAGTAATGCTGCTGGAGACACAACTAAACACACACACACACTAATGACACACAACAACACACATTTAACTGAATTTACATTTTTAACACATCATGTGTTAGTGTGTGTGTGTGCGTGCGTGTGTGAGGTTGCTGCCGGTCGCACTCCTCGTGTTACGCTCCCACGCTATTTCAGGTGGTTGTCACATAGGTGCGCGTGTGTGCGTGCGTGTGCGCTTGTCAGACGCTGTCGTCAGAGTGTCTGCGCCGAGTGCGTCTGTGTTTCCGTTCGCTCTGATTGCTTCCAGAGCTCGTCTGCACATCGGAGCATTAGTCCGTCTATCTGCCCCCCCCCCACTCCCCCCTCCCTCCCTCCTCTCCACCCCCCACCTGCCCGTCTGCTCCGCCGCCTTTTCAGCCCGTGCGTCTCGGGCTTCATCCTCCAACGGAGAGATAAGCGGGCTAGCCGGCAGCCCGAGGCCATCTGTCACCCCGGCCCTTTGCGCTCTGCCCCAGTTAGATGTCTGCTGCCAGTCTGTCCCAGTCTGGTTTGTCCCACGGGGGCCCGCACACATATAAACGCCATCCAAACCCCCCCCCCAGAGTGATGGTCCTCTACGGTGAAACGTAAGAGCTAGAATGTTGATGCTGGAGCAGATTGGTGTGCCTCACATCACCGTTTATAATGATGATAAAAACGGTTATAAGCACTTTTTGCAATGTTTTTTTTACGCAATTGCAACAAGCAGCTGGTGCAAGCTAATATGGATGTTAGCCATTAGTTAACACAAAAACAGCATATTGCTCGCATGTTTTCTAGGCATTTAATGGATGATCAGCTTATGGTCTGCGAGGTAGGGGGGGGGGGGGGCGAGACACTGTAAATGTCTGTGATTAAATAAAGCCCCTCTGCAATGCAAAATATTTAAACCACAGCACAGGCAGGGAACATTTGGCAAAGAGACACACACCACTAGCTCCCCTGTGGATTTTAATGGCCCAAGGTCTTAAAGAGTGGACGCCATGCTAGCTGAGACAATTGGACTTGGTGGAGGGGAGGAGGGGTGGCTGATGGGGGAGGAGCGGGGGGGGGAAAAACTGGGTGCTTCTTAAAGGGCCAGTTTGGAAAGGTTAAACATTACCTTTGTTTGAATCCACAAAAACGGAAAAGGGCAAAAACGGGCACACACACACACACACACACACACACACACACACACACACAAACACAAGGCAGGGTGGTAGTATAATTTCAGTCAGCACAAAACTACACTCTTATGGGCACACACACACACACACACACACACACACACACACACACACACACACACACACTTTTAATCTTTATCCTGGACACAACACTGTCAACATCGGTAAATAGTGAGGAGGCTCCTAAGAACGAGTCTCATATCGATCCCCGAGAGTCCTATATGTGTGTGTGTGTGTGTGTGTGTGTGTGTGTGACATGTAATGACCCTGTCGTCATCAGACACACACACAGCAGCTGAGGAGAGGAATGGGGGGGGGGGACATGAAGGCAACAGCTCTAGGGGGAAGGAAGGACTCTTCATGGTGCCTTATTTTCTAAGTCAACACCCTCTCTCCAGCCAGGGAAAGTCTATTCCAAAAAGGTCAGGGGTCACCCTGGAGGCATTTCTTTTGTTCTCAGTGCCACGCCGTGTATGTTCAGCCCTGTGTGTGTGCGTGTGTGCACGTTTCTCTCGCTCTCTCGCCCCTCGTTCACAAAAACGTTTGGTCTTTTTCTAGGTAATGTAAGTAAAAGGGTACGCGTATAGTACGAGTCCTAAATAGCGGGCTTGTTGCCTGTTGTGGTCCCGTCGCTTTCGTCTCATTCAATGACAGGCGACCCCTTCAGACAGAAAAGGGTCAGCTGTTGTGTGCAGTGAAGACAGAGTGTCCTTGTTTTATATCAATACGTGATAGCCTGTAAGTTTCAGCCACGGGGCCGTAAACTGAGAAATGAGTCATTCCGTCTTTTGGTTTTGATCACTTGTCATGTCGTAAAGAAGAGAAAAAGCGCAATAAAGTCGGCAGTCGGGCCGCACTGTTCCTCTTAAATGAGTGCAGAAGATCCCCCAATGCAAGTCGAGCCGCTGCAGTTTGATTTGGAGATTTTAAGTTGGGTTTTGTTAGAAGCAACTGAAGGAGCCTTGAGCAGCCACCCTCGAGCAATCAATTCTTCCCCAAGTCCCATAATTATCTAAAAATCGTACCAAGTGAATGCCGTGTTTCAGGGCCTCTTTGGCGAAGCTCTGAAGAAGAAAGGACATATTGTTTTAGTTCAACAAAGTATGTAAACACATGGCTAGAGAAATGGGAGTAGCGAACGTAGGAAGCTCTTCTTTAGGGAGGCAGGTTACGTATGACGCCTTTAAGTTCTCCCCCCACCCCCGACTCCAGGAAACCGAGAAAAAAAAAAGCCCCGATGGCAGGAAAACCACACAGGGGAGTGGCACAGTTTCCCTATCTCCAGATCTGACTCCTTGCAGAAACACAGATAGAGGGAATGAGTTGCAGACACGCCATCTCTAACATGAACCATCCGGCCACGACCGGGAGGAGATAAGGAGGAGGAATGGCTCGTGTTTTCATAAAGCCTCCGTCTGTGGTATAATTCTGCCCGAGTGGAAGCTTCTGCTGTAATTACCCGATGCACGTATCTTGATGCTGCCCAGGCCCGGTGTGTTTATCACAAGTTTGAGATAAAATACGTGAACGTTCCGTAATTAATTGGGCGTCATCTTCCATTTGGATCTACATTATCAGAAAACTAAAGCGCAATAGTTTTTCTTCTGAAGGACATTTTATTCCCCTGAAACACCTCCATCCTACTCCTGCAAAGTTATTATGCCAACACTTCATCATGCTGGCCCTCACACACACTGAGACATACACAATGACCCCCCGGGTGACAGGACAAATAAACACCAGCCAGTCGGACGCGAGGTACCAGGCGGGCCGTAAGGACGTCAGCAGCTCACTTTTGCAAACACACAAATCAGAGGATCACTTGCAACGGACACACAAGACAAACAATCACCCTCATTGTCGTGGTGCCAAAACATCGTGGGAACTGAATGACAAGAGGACAACCGGCAGAGCCAGTTGTGTGTGTGTGTGTGTGTGTGTGTGTGTGTGTGTGCCATCGGAGCTGTTGTTACTTTGTTTTCCAATCGTGTGAAACCCGTGCGAACGTCGGCGAATGCGCCGCCACGGTGGCGCTGTGGTCTGCGATGGAGTCGTGTCTCCAGACAGGGCTCAGTCCGTCGCTGAGATGAAAGACACTCAGACGAAAAGACAAAGCGGACTTCACGAATGAAGAGGAGGGTGTGGAGACAGCGGTGGTGAGTGTCACACTAGAAATCACTTTGACACACACATCCAGTCCACTCTCATATTTTCATACATTGAGGTAAGGTCAGGATCCACTTCCACAGAGTGACTGCAAACCACCACAATGTTCATCTTGTTCTGGGCTTCCGTCCAGCTCTGGCCGGGAGCCACATCTGCATAGTCCACCTTTCAATCAGCCGGCCGATGCTACGCTAGCTTTTTAAACGTTTCATACAGCGAATAAGAACACCGCATGAAGGATCTCCATCGGATAAAACCCTTCAGCACAAACCCAAAACTAGTTGCCGTGTTTTCCTCTTTGCCCCCCCCCCCCTCCTCCCTACTCTCCATCCTCCACCGCCTTCACGTGCTGTTTTTTCGATTTGTGCAGCATAATGACACAGGGTGGGGAACAGAGGACGGCCAAAACCAAAATTAAGTCCCTTGCCAAGAGGCGGCTTTGGCTGCCGCGCAAGGAGAGGAAGTGGGGAGTAATGAGAGATCCTGGCCCCGGCTCCGAGTGGCCCGGCTCCGCTCCGCTCAGCTCGCTGGCTGAACGACGCAGCCTCCAAATTACAGAGAGCGCAGCGGAGAGCTGCCGGCCATCTCTCCCTCCACCCAAAGCCGCCATCTTCTCTCCCTACTTCATTCCTTCCTCTTGCTGTTCAAGCGAGGGAAAAAAAAACAAAACAAATCGAGACCAAAAGCGGAGGCAGATTTGCGGTGTTCATTTTCTCTTGGTTGCCGTCTGCCAAGCTGCGTATAGATTTCTATCTTTGTACAAGAAAATGTAATCTACTACTTTCTCCCTCACTTAACTCCCTCCTTCTCGCGAGTCGGTGCACTTCACTGTTTGTTTTCCGTCGAGGAGAGGCCTCGGCTGCCTCCCCGTCCGCTCCCCTTTTCCTCAAAGACATGAGGTCACATCCTGCGCGGCCCTTTCCTTCGCCCGCTAACCCAAACAAGGCAGGAATGCCGAGAGAGAGAGAGAGAGAGAGAGAGAGGGGAGGCAGACTGAGGGCGCTCTGTTTCGGACTTGGTAGAAGTTAGTTTCCCCCCCATTAAAACATAGTGTACAATTGTTGATCTACAATAGAAAGCAGTGAACAGAGACAACACACAGCCCTTTTCCTCCGAATTAATTTGCACCAAAAATGGGCCTTCCACGCGCAACTGGTTTGATTTAATGAGCCGAGGCGCCTCGACCAAATCGAATCGCTGTCAGAGCCCCCCGATGAAGGTTATACCTCCAGCCGATTCCCCCGGGTGACTAATTGCCTGAAATGCCGGGCCGACTGTCGAGCGAGGTGACTGGCCCGGGTGGTATAAGAATACAGCCCGGGGCCTAAATTTAACCCGCAGTGGGAGGAAGCGCCTGTGTGACAGTCGGCAGCGCGCCAGGGCTCGCACCCGGTCATCCTATCCGCCCCTCGGTGCGTATGTGCGTAGATGTCCCCCGCAGCCCGACCGGATCCCCTTACATGCAGACACTCCGGCCCGGTCCCCCGATGGCACCATCCGGCGCGCCAACCGACACTACGCATCCAGTAAGAGCTGGTCTTTGGTGAGGATTAAAAGCACGAACATACCAAGGATGGGTATTGATCCCCTTCCCCCCCCGTGACTATCGGCGATCGTCAAGTAGTCTAGTTTTCAAATTGGTACCAAAACCGCAGTGGCCTCAACCTCTCTGGCCTTTCAAGCCTGCAGAGGGCTTTTATTGTCCTTCCAGGCGTCTTTCAGCTTAAAAAAAAAACAAAGGATGGACATCTGGCTACGTGGGTGCTACCAGCTCTGCTCTTAAAATCGTTTAGTCTCTACGGAAGTTTGAACATCACCCTCCGGTCCCTCCGGGTCGCCCTCCTTTCGAGCTGAGCCCCGACGCCGACGCAAACCAAGATCAGCACCCTGACTCTCCCAGCGCCGGGGCCTGCAGCCATCACCCCCCCCTCTGCCCCCCCGCTCCTCTTCCCTCCCCTCTGCTCTGTTCCAAGCTGATGACGTGAGCCTGCGAGAGGAGCTTTGGAGCCGGTAGCCTGGCAGGCAGCCTAGTTTGCATTTGCGCTTGTCGCTGTCGCAGCTCACTTAACTCCTTCCAGCCTGGATGCGCTCGGCTTTTCTCAAGATGGATAAACAAGTAGTATTAAAAAAAGGATGTTATCTTATCAGCTCTATCGGGCCGGTGTTTTGTAGATGCGTGAGCTCCTTCTAAAGCTGCTTTAGTCCACTCAAGCGTTCTCTAAATGTCTCAGTTAGTCTACTGAGATGCAAAGGAAGCAGTGGCCCGACGACAAGTCTTCACCACCCTCCTTCCCTAAAAGCCAGCCTCGTCCCTCTTCCTTCTGCCTCTCTGTAAATACGTCTGGAGAAGAACATAAAAAGGGCAGAGTGAGTGAATTAGAAGGTCAGCAGCGGGCCTCTGGGAGAGCCATGTTTCTTTTGTCAGGGCCCCAGGGGGAGGGAGCGAAGGGAGGGAAGCAGGGAGAGAGGGAGGGGAGGGGGGAGAAATGGAGCAGCCTATTTTTTTTTCTTCTTTGCTTGCCAGGAAAATGATGGAGGACAGAGAGCTCCGGCCGTCCCGCCGCGCGGCCTTCTCCTACCTACCGGCGCTTTGACGGAGGAGGCCCATTCACCGGGGCGCTGCCATGTTTGAACCGCGTCCACAATGTGTCTTTGGTTAACGGACTGTCTGAAGGTGTGGGGGGGGGGGGGCGGCAGAGGGGAGGAAGAAGGGGAGACTGATTTCTAGTTCCTCTGTTCTCGTAAGCACTACTCCAATCTCTTCCCCCATCTATGGACACACACACACACACACACGCTAACCCTCCACCCCCCTACCACCAAACAAAGGAGGGGGGAATGGGCAGCGAACACCAACTGACATAAAACAGGCTTTAAAAGGCCCAGTAATGAGAACCATCTGAGGCACAGCGCAGACTCCCCCCCCCCCTCCCTCCCCCCTCCCTCCCTCCCCCGAGCACCATCTTATTCTGTAGCCTGCGGACAGGCCACTCGGCGGGGGGAAAGGCGGCGCTGCCAAACGGGGGATTACGGGAGAAAAGCCGAGGAAGCCCGAAAACACGTCCTGCCTGAGAGACGACGGGCGAGAGAAAGGCGCCTGTGTCTCGCCTCTCGTCCACACACACAAGAGCCCGGAGGAGACTTACCCGTCCACAAAGACGTCCCCTGTGCGCACAAACACACCCAAACAAACACTCGCACGTCAGTCCCAGCGTCTCTTTGCTGCTATTCCCCCCCCCCACAACACCGCACGCACGGAGCGTGTTCCTCTGCGAGCAGCCGTCCGCCGCCGCGTCGGCCTTCCATTGCGGCGCGACACGGGGAGCGAGCGGAGGAAGATGAGAGGAGAGGAGCGTTGATCAAAGAGCCAAGAGGGAGGAATGTGTGTGTGGATGTGGGAGAAGTACACCGCCCTTCTTCACTGGCCTGTTGTTTTTTGTTGTTTTTTTACAGCGGGGAAGAAGGGGCCCCCACAATCAGCGCCTCTTCATTACAAGTAAGGAGGGAACATGTGTGTGTGTTTAAAGGAACGCAACGGAGAATGAAAAGGAAACACAGGAGGGAAAAGATGACTTTCAAAAAAGGAGGAAAACAATCTGTAGTAACATTTACCTGAGAGCCCCACAGGGGCCGAGTACGTCGTTCCCACAGTATCACTAGATGATGGTCCAGAGTCTGGAGAATCTGATGGAGAGAGGAGAGACTTTGAATTAGGGACTCTGCGTGTGTGTGTGTGTGTGTGTGTGTGTGTGTGTGTGTGTGTGTGTGTGTGTGTGTGTGTGTGTGTGTGTGTGTGTGTGTGTGTGTGTGTGTGTGTGTGTGTGTGTGTGTGTGTGTGAGAAGGCAAGGCGGCAGCTGTGAGACCGTCAATCACTTTAGTGAAATCAATGCCTGATGAAGACGCTGACGACGAAGCTCACACTCTCACACACACACACACACACGTGGAAGACTTAGTGAGGAGAGTTTCTTACACCCCTGATAATCCCCCATAAGCCACTGCTTCAGAGGGAGTGTTAGCCCTGCATCTCTGTGCAGACGAGCTACTGATCTGGAAGGAGATGTATTCATTCTGCGAAAGACAGAAGGAGAGTTTTCCGCCTGGAGACTTCTGATGCCTCAATAATCAAAATCGTTTCCTGTTTTAATAGAGATCCCTCCTCTGATCTCTTGAGCAAAGCAACGTTGTGCGGCACAATTCCGTTGCATCGGAGTTTGTGGCAGGAAGAGCTCAGAAACGGCCCTGGAAGCTGTTCACCATAAATATACGGCGCACTAGAAGGCAGACAACAAAACGAAAACTCTCTGTTAGCATTTCACTGCTCAACTCCCACCAAAGGCTTGTAACCTAGACTTGTTTCAACACGGCACTCTGCGAAAAAATAGGCGCTGTGTGCGGTGAGCTGCTGCAGAGCCGCCGCCGCTGGTAGCTCGGTATTCACTAATGATACGTTCCTCTCGCTGCACGTCAGCGCCGCGCTGCGCCTTCTACCCGTTCCACCGGCGGCGATCTCGGCCACTGGTTGCGTTCGAAGGCAACCATCGAAATAAGAGAAATGAACATTTATTTGAAGTTGCTGTCATCTGAGGGGTTTTGTAGGAAATACATGGAATGCAAAACTTAAGAAACTTAGAGAGTAGGGCTTCTATATGTATGAGGTCCACATAAGGCGAGGAGGAGGAGGAGGAAGAAGAAGGAGGAGGATGGTGTTTCTGTTGCATGTGGCTAACAAGAAATAAAGAAACAGCATCCGGAGCGGTTTCGCTGCCGGCCCTCCGTCCCTCCGTCCGTGCCACCCCTTCGCCGCCGCCGCCCGAACGCAGCCGGGTTCTGCTCGTGGCCGCGGGTGACGAGACACACACACACACACGCGGGCATAGCCAGAGCCATGCCTCGCTTTCATTGGGTGCCAGCAGCCTTTGCCCTGGTTTCCTGGGCAACAGTTCAGTGCTGACCGCAGGGCCAATGGGGCATCAGCGAGCAGGAGCTAAACAGTGTGTGATTTATATTCCCCGGGGCTGAAACAGGGCAGCGTTTCTACGTGTCGGCTGCTTTCATATTGGCTCCCGCCGCCGGAGCGGACAGGCGCCCTGACACACACACACACGCACACGGACCCACTTCCTGCTCGGTGGAATAATAAAGCCGCCGTCATAAAATCTAGCGCTTTTCCACTTCATGCGGATTTTTCTTTTGCGTCTCGCCCGCCTTCTGAAAGTTCTAAGTGCAGATTTTCCACGTGTCACGATGATTTAACAGAGCCTGAGATAAAGCAAATACATAGAGGACTATAGAAAATTGGAATAGCCTCCGGTAATGAGATGGAATTGATGATTGACAGCTTCCAGAGGCCACCGAGGACCGCCACCCCCACCGTCTTTCTGCATGATAAGCTCATCTGTCCTCTGTGTGTTTGTCTGTGGCCTCCAGCCTGCTCCATTGTCCTATTTATATATGTTGTCTTATACCGTCCTCCGGCAGACAGACGGATACGTCTGCACCGAATGAATGAGCAAACAGCACGGCAGGTGACTCAACACGCCCTTTGCTTTGAAGAAAGGCCAATTAAAACCTCTCTTCAAAAGTTTAAAACCTCTACTTGGGAGCAACCCCGGGATATTCATTTTGCCTCGATCCGTTCTTGTTTGGCTATAATGAATCCCCACAAAGTGAAACTAACTCAAGTCAGCTCCCAGAGGAGAAGGGTGGTCACATGGGCTCTATAATCATTTCCTTTGTCTGCATCCAGCTTGTATTTCCTATTTACCTCTCTTGCTTCCTTTCATCGCTGGAGCGTTTCCAACTGGACCCGTGTACGGCCTCTACGCTGGCTCTCCACCCGGAGAGGGACGCCGCATCGGGGGGGCGGGGGGTTGGGGGGGGGTACGAAGAGGAACCACTTGGTATGAATCCTGCATGTATTTAAGGTTCCGCAATTGCTTTTAGGTGAAACAGTATGGCGAAAGCCTGGTAAATGAAGAGCGGGAGAAGCTTGTGTGTGTGTGTGTGTGTGTGTGGAGGGGGGAGTTGAAGAACCACAGCTGCAGCTGCAATGACTTCCTATTGTTTCCACTCACTGAAAGCCACTTTCTCCTTCTCCTGACTAAACGGCCGGTCGGCCGACCCGTCTTTGTTCACGTACGAGCTATTCCTGCGCCGACAGCCGAACCGAGCGAAGCAAGACAACAACACTGCATTTTCTATATTTGTCACCCTCCCTCTGTCTCGCACACCATTCTGCTTATAGCCTGAAATGAAACACTGTGAGAGCCGGTGGCACTTTCCAGCACTGGGGGAGCAGGATGACAACCACAGCAGCATGTGGAGTCTCACACAGGTGGAGGGAGAAAACAATTAAGCAAGACCGAAGCTTGAGGGGGGGGGGGGGGGGGGCAAAATTAAAAACGACCCCAAAAAACACAAACGCGCATCCAAACAGAGCCTGTGGGTCCGGAGGCAGACACACACGCACACACACACGCGCGCACAAATCTTCAACCCTAATCTGATGATTAATTCAGCTGATGAATGGCTGCTGGCCGCAGAGACGCTGCTGTCTGATAAATGGGCACATCGCATCAGCCACGTAACCCATTCCACACACACACACACACACACACACGCACACTCTCTACGCCCCTCTGGGGACATGCCAGTCGGTCTATAGGTGGTGTCTCAACTTTGTGCTGCTTCGCCCTGGCCGCCAGCCACGACCGGCCAGCCAGACGCTTCACTGCGATCGTAAATCAAAACATAACACGGGGTTGTTTCCGTGCACACACACACACACACACACACACACACACACAGGCACAACAGTGCGTGAGAACATGTACAAATGGGATGCTAATCAACATGTAAACATCCATTGATAGCTTTTTAAGATATGCGTGTTTTGCAGTAAATCAAAAATGAAAAACATGCCTTTAATAAGCATGTGTTCATTGAGCTCACCTGGTGGTTTCAGATAGTCCATGGGATACCGCGAATACGGAGGTGGAGGAGATTCTGCGTGGAAAAAAAAAGAACATGAGTAAAAAAAAAAAGAAAATTTTTAATTAAAAAAGAGACAAGTGGGAGATATTAACGTTATGATAAAGAGTTGTCATTCTTCCGGGAAAAAGGTTTTTGTGTCTGTCAGCTGAGCCCGGAGAGAGGCAGGCGCTGAGGCCGGCCGGCTATTGCCTTTCATTGGCAGGCAGATAAACAGGGGGCCGCCTGGCGCCAGGAGGGCCACTATCAGCGTCTAGGACAAACTGAGATACGGGCCTCTTTTGGCTTGGGACGCCAAGCAAGCCAGCCAGCCAGCCCACACACACACACACACACACACACACGCACACACACGCACACAGGAAACTGCAAAGCCCGGGATGAGTCTTCTGTGCACTTTGGAAAGGTTGAAATGGCAGATGGGTTGTTTGTTTATTAAAAAGTGGGGGATTTTGACAAATGTTTGGGGGGGAAAAAATATGCGATGGGTGATAATAAACAGCTCGTAAGTGCACAACAAAAACATGTTTAAGACGGGATGCAGCCCGATTAATAACGCGACGCGCTTGATGTTAAAAACAACCGACGCGTCATAATCACAAGCCGATGTCATTTGTGATGGGAATAAAATTATACATGAAGACGGTCATTTTTTGAGTTTATGGAACCTCAAGATAACAATGATGTCATTTCAATTGAGCTAAATAGGAGTCAGGTCATTCTTTAACACAATGACACGTTGGACTGCACGTATACTCGAATAAACTCTTATTTTCTCCCCCCCCCCCCCCAACAGAAACTTTTTCCGGCTTATTGAATTGATTCAGCTCACCGAGTTCACAAAGTCTGCTCATGTGGTGCGGGTTGCAGCAAACGAGCTCCGGGTTGATTTTCCCGTAGGATTCACAGCAAGACAGCCTCTTGAGCTCCGAGGAATGCCTGAGGTCCGGCCACCGGAACACTTTGTAGAGCAGCATGGGGAGGGAGTAAGACTGTTGACCCACTTTGGCGTCTGCCTTGCCCGGCAGGAGCAAGCAAGGGCTTCGGGCACCCCCCTTGGACTCCACCGCCTGCAGAAGCAGCTCTAATTGTTTCTCTTTGATCTTCTTCAGTACGGAGTGGGTCAACGACTTCAATTCAGCCTCCGACCCGGCGTTGGACTTGGCCACCTTTGTCGCTTTGCCCATGCAGCAGCCTCCGGTGCCATGCGTCCCTCTATCCGTCTCCCCGTCGCCCTCCACGGGCGCGCGGCTCCTCCAGAGTCGCCGGACGAGCCCCGATCGTTTGGTCCTAAACATGCGGGACGAAAAGAGGGTTCCCCGGCTAAAAAACGAGCATGGTGTCCGCAAATCATGAAGATTCCGGGATCCGAGTCCAGGCAATGACAAGCAGCCTGAGGAAAGACGGTGGAAGAACCGGGAGCTGGATAAGCAGAGGAAGTCTGTAGCATGCGCCAGTCTCTGTTGCCTCTTCCTGCAGACTTGATCACCAAAAAGCAGCCGGGGTTCCCGGGACAGTCAGCTTTTTCTCAGGGGATAGATAACCATCATATCCCGGTGGTTAAGACCAGCCTATAAAAAATGTAATCTATAGCAGCATGAAGCCGGAACCTGTATACAAATTATTCCCGTGGCGATGCGCTGTGAGCGGACCCCCCTCGCGCGCGCGCCGCCCCCCACCACCAACACCTCTCCCTTTTAAAACAAGTTCCGATTCTCAGCACATATAAGTGTCAAATATCGTTCAATCTTTGCTAAATGAGCTGTGGTGAAAATCACACAGATCGGGGCCTAATTAAGCCGCAACGCTACCACACAATTATCCCATGAAGAAAAAAAGAAAAAAGAAAAACGAGGCTCTCCGTCGCGTCTTCCAAGAGCATTAATCCACAAAATCCTTGATCCGACTGCGCGGAGTGGGGCTCTCCAGCAGGACGAGGCCTTATAATTATTATATATATATTTGTTAAATCTGTACGCTTCTAAATATGCCACACGTCTGCAGAGGATGTGATCTTCTGGCACCAGTCAGCCTTCCATTCGTCCAAAGAGCCGGCGAGCAAATCCGGGGCTGATTCTCACACACGAGTTGAGTTGCGTCTAAAAAGCGCGAGAGAGCGAGCGAGAAAAAGAGAGAGAGAGAGCGAGAAACCCCCCCTCCTCCGGTTGCGTCCGCGCGCCGAGCCTCGAGACCTATTTTTAAAGTAGTCGAATCCTCTAAGATTAAATAATCCGAACGCGTATCTCACACGAAGTTCCCGTGTCCGAGTGCCGTCGGGGTCGCAGGGCTCTCTGTCTGCAAATGAGGCGGATGGCTCGGGTGCCCTTGCTCCGTCTCCAGTGCGCATTGACGCGCCCGGTCACGTGTGTGTCTAGACACCCTGTCGCTTAAAAGAAATGTGATTGTGTTGCGCAAACAACAGATCAAGTAGAGCCCACAGCGCGCATGCAGGCGCGCGCGCGCGTACACAGACACACGCATGCACGCACACGCACGCACGCACGGAGGCGCGCAAGCACGCTCACACACTCGAAGGAGAAGGAAAGTTACGAATTTTTTTTTTCCCAGAAAAAAAAGTTGAAAGAGTTTAACGTTGCGGGCGCGAGGACGAAGTTGGGAAACTGAAGCGGTTATAGGCCAAAGATAAACTCTGAATTACAAGTCTGTTAAAATTGAGAAATATGCATCTAGTGAAGAGACCCTTTATTCCTTATTAAAGATGTGCAAATGGACCCAACTCTGTCTAACGAGCTTTGATGACACGGGGGGTTCGGCAAAAGGAACAAAGTGGCCGTTTTTGGTCATTTCGGGGCTGTTGATGTCGGATCTCTGTTGTTTGAGGCGTTTAATTAGTGTTTCGTGATATTCATGCTTATTAACTAAAGCATGTACGCTAAAAAAAATATGTAGCTATTAATGGAAATGGAACACAGTGGAGTTCAAACAAGACAGCAGTCCCCGTAATTTCATGATACAACATTTAGTTATTGTAAAGTGAATCGATCGATATAGTTTTCCTGGAATTACTGTGGGATTTCCCCCCTCGTCTTGGCTTCGCAGGCAGCGTTGCGCCACCAGTGAGCTCTGCAGCTCAGTCATGTTGTGGTCAGACCTTGCTCGGATTTGGGTTTTTGTAAATCGAGGTGATGTCTCCGACAAACAAACAAACAAACAAACAAAGGAATCCAGGGAAGAGCCGAGTGCGTGTTTGTGCCTGCAAGTCTGTACTCGGGGCAGCTCGGACACCAGCCAACACGTCCGAAACACGGATGGGAGCGCGCTGCTGCCGCCCTCTGGACGTTTTGTCTTTCGGGTGGGACAATCCCAGGTGTCCTTTGTGTTGCTCCGTCTGAGCCATCAACACAACACCACAGCAATTATATACAGTCGATGGGCTGATGATCAATTTCCCTCTACGGCCCGTGTGGGTTCTGCCCACTTTATAGGGTCGATCAGCTGTAACGCGTATTCATTAAGGCTCGCGCGCTGGATGGATTTTGATCACTTTGTGGTATTGTGTGAAGTGTGAGAGACAAATAGGCTTTAATAGCCAGCTTGAACAAAATAGTTACACCCTTTCGCTATAACGAAAGGGCCCTTGTTGGATACAATGTGGTCACATAGAACCGATTGATTGAATGTTGCATTTTGGGAACCTTAACCGTATAAACACGTGACATTTCAAGCAACGTGTGCGGCTGCAGAGGACCACGTACACTCCCAGAGCCCCCCATCATCACACTGAGCTCCTTTAGCATGAATGCGTTTTCTCAATGCGTGTGCGTGTGTGTCCCCTCCGGAGCCTAATTGGGTTTCTGACAGACAGCAGTCCTGCGCAGGAGGCGCAGTATGTAAATGTGTCAGTGAGCCAGTGTGGCCGCAGGGCAGAAAGGAGGGGGGGGGGAGGCTGATAATGGGGCTGGGATCGCGGTGCGCTTCACAACATGTACGCGGATAGGGGGAGGCAAAATCTCTTCTCCGCATTGTGCCGGAGAACTGGAAACTTTCAATATACACTGGTGCCGCAGAGCCGAAAGAAAAAGCACGCACGGGTCAGAGGAGTGCCCCGTTTAAAAGATCTGAATCACTCGCTAAGGGGAGGAGAGTTTCTCTAGAGGTTTCGTGAAAGTTTATAAAACATCCCTGCCCCCCCCCCCCCCTCCCCCCTCCTCTCACTCCCCTGTCTCTGTCTCTCTCTCTCTCCATGCCCTTCCCTTTGATTGTGTGTGTGTGTGTGTGTGTGTGTGTGTGTGCGTGCGTGCGTGCGTGCGTGCGTGCGAGTGACTAGTCTCCAGACTCCAGGAAGTAGCCAATTTTGTCTACCCGTTTTCCATTTCAGCCTGGCTGGAGGAGGCTGTCTGCAAAGTGGCTTGAATAAGGGTGCAGGATTCAGAGATATGGGCTGTACATATTGGGGCCTTTATGGGCGGGACATTGTTTCACCACCTTCAGCAAAACACGTCAACGTGTAACATTGCTAATTTCATGTTACTTGTGACGTCATGTAACCCAATTCAAACTACTCTAAATGGAACTTTGAGTAAAAACTATGATGACATAACTGTTACTAATAATTCACACACAGGCCCTGAGGAAGCATACTAAGTTAAAAAGTAGTTATTAGGAAGAGATTTTGTCGTAGTTTTTATGTATGGTGGGAGATGTTGCAAATCAATGAGCTTTTTTATACAATATAAGGAAAAAGAAAGGTGTTCCCGTCACAATGTTCTTGAGATGAGATGTTTTCCAGCAATTTTAATATTTTGAGTAAAAAAATGGAATTCTGGTTTCCAGCATGAAACATGTAATTGGTATCATGGAGCCCACAGAGCTAATTCAAAAGAGGCCAATGTGGAAAAACAGCCTTATAGCAGCAGAATGAGGATTAATATTCTAGATAGCAGTCTTGGCCTTTACTATAATTTATTGACACAGCGACTGCCTCCAGACAAAGGGGTCATGCATATGTAATTAAAGAGGCTTACTCTGTCTGAACCACAGCGCTCAGAATAGGCCGAAGCTAGCACACAGGGATCTCTTCATCACTTAGATAAGAACAATAAAAATAAGAAAAGTTTAATTAAAAAGATAGCGTAGAATTAATTTTTCACCACTTTCACATCTGATATCATGTCAGGAACAAGAAAAAAGACATACATCGGTGGATGTCACTGCATAATTAAACATATTTTGAAATAAATCTGCAAATCTGTGCGGCTGTTTGAAATATACTGTGTAGAAAAAAGCCTCCAGCTGTTATTCCACCGTAACGCCCTCAAACCCAAAACCCAGAAGTACAATGTAAATTGGAGATCTCCCTGCGTTACACTATTCATAACCGGCCTTTCTGTGAATGGTCAGAGGTCAAACGTCACGGGACATTTTGATCGCTTCTTGCGAGAAAGTGAATGAGTTTTATCCTGTCAGAAAATGTAGTTGTATTGAACCGTCTCCACCAGGAAAAACACAATCCGACAACAAACAAAAGAGATGCCTCGAACAGTAAAGCTCATCTCAAACATCCACAAAGAAAAACTTGGCAACGTGAACAGAAAAGCTCAAGGACATATTGGTCGATGGAAAAGATACAATGTCAAATCACAGACATTATCTTAACAGCAGGCATTTAGAGAACAGCAACACGGCAAAAGATTATCATCGATGAATCGCTTGTAATATAAAATGTCAGAAAATGGTTTAAAAAAGGCCATTGCAATTTCCAAAAGCCTGAGGGAGTGTTATCAAATTCTTACAGCAGATGTACAGTTGAGATGCCAGGAATAAGGAATGTTTTGTTAAAAAAAACAATGAATTAATGAATCAATAATGAATATAGCTGCAGATTAAATTTCTTTCCACAGGTCAATCGATTTTTCAGCTAATTATTTTAGCTTTTAAACCAAACACGCCAAATTTAGTGTGAAAATAATATGCATAGCATGAAAACTACAGCAAAATAAAACATTTAAAAAGGACATCTACTAGAGTAGAGTTTAGTATTGCTATTTTAACGATAATTGTGGTTACTAATAAGATTATCAACTTATGCATGTGATGTAATTAAGCGTAACCAAAGGTACTTTTAGGACAGAGCTTCTGTGATCGGCTCGTAATGTCTGACCACCGCACATTATCAACTTCACTGTCCTCAGATTTTCTAAACCTTAAAGGAGTGAGTGATCACAGTCCGTTGGAGACTATTTTTTGGAAGGTTTTCTCTCATTGAAGAGGTTTTAGTAAAACATCTTTTCATTACGGGATTCATGTTTATAAGCGATGTTAGATACAAGCTGTTCCCAGTGGTGGACGCTGTTAAGGACGGGTCATTTTATTTTTTTTTCAAGTTCCTTTTGTCTGTTTTTTGTTCAGGGATTCACTTTGTGACATTTTATCAAAGTAGCTGGAGGCCTCGGTGACCCAGTTCTCTTTATATCCCATTAGTGTGAAGCAATTTTAAAGATCTGCACTGTGTAATTGGTCTACATAAAAAAGTGCCGGGGCCCAACGGATAGAACAAAACATCTCAAATGAAATGTGGAAAATATTGTACATATGGTCTGTGTTTAGTGACCACTTCAATATTCCCCTCTTTCACCAGCAGGTCAAAATATCTTCAACTAAAACCCACAGACAGGTTGCCATGAGATGTAATGAGCACATTCATGTTCCTCAGAGGACAAACCTTTTCCATGAGTCTTTGCAGAAAAATGACACAGTATAACTAGTATTGTCCAACTAATAAAAAAAGTCTTTGTCTGTTCAGTTTTTTTTCAACTTGCCGGCGTTTAGATTCAGGGTTTTAAAACTTTGAGCCAGTTTTTACATGCTAACGTGCTAACGTGCTAACATTCGAAACAAAGCAGGACTGGCGCCGATTGAAAGTCAAATGTTTGGTAATTGACAAATAACCTTTTAATGACGTCATCGTACAGAGAGTTAGTGGATCTTAAGATTCCGGTATAACAAACAAACATCAATTCATGAAAGGCTGACCAACCAGACGCTATCATAGATACGCCGTCAACATGGCTAAAAAAAGAGTCGCGTCTTACCTTTTATTGTAGGTAAGCTGCTATCTTCTGAAATGTAAAGCCATCCATGTTGTTAAAAGGTGATGACCTACGAAAAAATGTGCATTGTAAAAAAAATAACAGAAAATAGTGTGAACTATTTAAACGCTAAACTACAGTTATAGTATTTTGAAGCCTGTCCTCAGGAGCCAGGAGCTGGTAATGTTTGCCTTCTGTAACCTGTGATGACTAAAATGAAGTTCACTGGTATCTTTGGGACATCATGCTCACTACACAGCCTGTCTGTCTCTTCTTTATATCTCTTTGTGTATTTCCATTGACGGTCCGGCCCATTGAGACTGTTTTCATTCCACTGAGGATTTGGAAGGAATGACAGTAGCAGGCGTCGTCTGCGTTTATTTTTGTATTTATCTCTCTTGGTGCTGTTCTCATGCTGTGATCAAGCTTCCTCTCTCCTGCGACCTAATCCTAAAAGCCTAACGACCTTTCGTCACTGTGGTAATCCGTCAAAGGAATCGGTCCCGTGTCACTGGGGGCTACCGGCAGTCAGGACGGAGCCACTACGGCAATCTGCTCCCCGGTTACTTTTCCTATCATTCAATTGACGCCGATCAGAGTGGGACCTCTGCGTCTGGAGCCGTGCTGAGCTATGACACCGCGACGCAATCTCACCTTGACCCCGAGGGAAAAAAGGAAAAAAAACTACCCATCCCGGAACGCCACGTCCCATCCGTCTTCCTGCTGTCACCTGAAATGGTAAGGTGACCCCCCCCCGTCCCATGATTGAACAAGAAGGGCCATGTCGCTCTGTGAACACCTCCCCTCAACCATCTGGCACGGCAATAATGGCGCTGGAAGCAGGTGAGCGTCGGTGCACACAGAGAGAATGGGCGCCTGGTAATTTTGTCCTCCAGCGCGCAGCCCAACTGTAACCTGCCGACGACCCCGGGGTGGAAAATGGGCCATTCTTTTGCATGAAATTGCTGCCATTACATTGTCCTTGAAAATGGGAGAATTTCAGGCATGAAAATCAATACAATAGAGACGAAAGGCACGACATTCCCTCGGGAAGTGGGAGCTCTGGTGACACAGTGGGCGCCATTGTGCCACAAACTTTTCCTCCCAAAGTGGTTTCATGCCACCGTTTCTGCTGCCTCGGCGTCTACGAGCACAACAGGCAACAATGAGACGTGAGAGAAAGACGCGGTGGCAACGCTCACGGATTTCTGTGATGCAGACGCAAAAACAGAACGGGACGGCTGCGTTTTAAGGCAGATGTGTCTTTAGTGTAGGCCGCTCCGTTGTGCTAAATTCTAAATTCATGGTGGTAAAATCAAAAATGTGTATCAGTTCAATGTGAATCCAAGATATTCCCCCTTTATGTCCATATTGTTCCAGACCTTAATAACCACGAGACACTTTGGTTGCTTTGATTCCTTATTTTTATTTAAACTCCTATTTCCAAAGTAATATCTGCCATAAAATGACAGTTGTTGTCATATATGTAATAATATAAAGCCAGTTTTTGCCCTGGGAAGAAACAAAGTATAGTACAACCGTTTTAATTTTAGTACTGCCAACATTTACATTTTGGGAAAGTTGAATATGAAAAAAAAACCCAAAAACATATATATGTGAAAATAAATAATTTAATACAAACTCTCTACTGAAACGTGCAGAGTGACCAATCAAAGATTCAAATCAACTGTTATTATTCACAACAGATCAAGAGGTTCAATTCTCTGAGCCTCGCGTTACATCAGGAGGAAAAAGGAAACGACAAGAGGAAACAGTCAAATAAACGAGATGGAAGTAGAAATGAAACCTCATGAACAACAGCGATGTGGACTTCTAATATCATCCAGGGACTGAACACAAGCATTATTTATGAATCAACGTGGGTTGTTGGCAGTAGCCACCAAACAACACTGGTGTACTGAAATATGCCGGGGATGCGGCTCTTGCTTCTCCCCGACCCTTTTTAAAATCCTATTCCACATAAACAAACATTTTATACAAACAAACCGTCTCCAGAGGACAATGTTGGTCAAAATAAAACGCTACTTTATGAGATACTTAAAACCCAATATCATGGAAGTTATTCATGGATGTGTGTTGTAGGTCTTGAATATGAAGCCAGTGCAGCAGTATAACTCACCAAGTGTAAAACCTGTCTACATGTGTTTTAATTGACCTTTTCTCTTGGCAGGCAAGACGAAAAACTAACAAACAGGATTATCCATCGCCGGCGTCCTGAGCTCCTCGCAACACACACACACACACACAACACTTTAGCGTGACCGCACGGACGTGGAAGCCACGCAGGGAACTCTCGCCCCGGTTTCGGATGAAGCGGAGGATGTTTTGGGGAAAAGAAAACAAGGTTGTGCATCAAAAGAAACACCAGTCTGTACAAGGCCGAGGCACTTTCAGAGCAGCGTGCACATACTATAAAGGGTAATGCGCGCACGCACACGCGCACGCACACGCACACACACACACACACACACACACACACGCACGCACACACACACACACGCACACGCACACACACACACACACACCGGCAGTCTTTCTCTTCCTTTCCTATACTGAGCGGGGAGGAAAACACACGTCTGCTGCAGCAGGCGCCTCAGCCGGAGTCCATGCTGAACAGCTCGATGCCATGCGGGCTCCAGTGGAGGCCGACCCCGGAGTTGAAGACCAGGGACCAGACGTACGGGATGAAGAAGTCCTCCGGCTGGTCTTCCTCCACGTACTTAAACTTGAGCTCCGGAAACTTCTGCCAAGGTAAGAAGAAAAGCGAGAGGTGAAAAAGGTGTGTGGGGGAGGGGGGGGGGGGGGGGACACAACCCAGATAGTTCTGGAAACGTTGGAAATGGAGCGAAGACTATTCTGCAGTGGGATAACTCAGGGTTCCAGGGACAAACACGGTCACATCTCCACTGGCACACAACTTGTTTGTGGTGTCTCGGTAATTAAACTTTGTTGTGTACAGTAGCTCGCTGGCAGATGTAATTCCATCGGTGTGGGAGGTCGTGTCGCTTACGGGGGGGGGGGCGACCTCCGACCTCGTAAAAGGGACGACGACCAATGAGAAAACAGACCTCAATACAAAACAAAGCAAATATTTTTTTTAAATAAATTAAAAACTAAAAATGTAATAGACTGAAAGCAAACACACAGGGGTCAGCCACCGTGACCTTATTGTTTAGACCAGCGGATGAGTAACCTCATTGCTCGGTAACAGCCACTGTGTCCGGACTCGTCAATGGACAAAACAGTCAGTGAGCCGCACCAGGAGAGGTTATCAAGTTCAGCAAGTGGGGCCTCCGTGTGGATTACGTGCAGAGCAAGCTACCTACAACACGCTCGCACGCACACACACACACGCACACACACACGCTGACTGCATTATCTTGGACACACTTATGTTGGATAAGAATTTCAGAGCTGACACAATTAGTTAAGTGACCGGGAAAATATTTTGATAGTAAATTAAGAATTTTCCATCTTAAGCAAAAATGGTCCGGCTTTTTGAAGTAGTTGGACATAATGACTCTTTGTTCCACATAATGGCCTTATTTTAATGGCACTCATCTATAGCAAATTGTAACTTGGCTTATTTGATGAAATCGCACTTTGTTTCTTGAGTTTGTATCCTTATGGTTGAATGCACTTATTGTACGTCGCTTTGGAGAAAAGCGTCAGCTAAATGACATGTAATGTAATGAATTTAATGTCTTGGCATCTGGGGGATATTAGATTTTTTGGAAAAAAAGAAATAACAGGTTTGTAAATCATTTATTTTGTCTCCAATGTGCATTAGAACTTTGGATGGTGATCAGTTACTTCTTTAAATGTCTTAATTTATTCAACAAACTGTCCAAAACCTAAACACTGTCGGATTACAAAAAAAAAGAATTTGATTTGCAAAAATTTCATAACGGAAAGTTTGTCTTGAAAAGACGGATCCATGCGTGGACTCTTCTTCCAAGTGTCAGCGCCGCACACACTGGATGTTCGATTTCTCTCCTCCAAACCTACACAAAGCCAATACGAGCCCACTCAACAGCAGGTAGGCAGCGGAGAGAAGAACATCAATAATACAAAGGTCCCTCATTATGCCCTCCTGTCTCCACGCGCACGCATCTCCACACGCGCAGCCGCTAATCAGTCGGCGCTGAAAGACGGGACGCCGAGGGTCCATTGAGTCCCGGCCCGCCTCTATTCACGGCCACACTATCGGTATCACAGTGACACAGACGGAGGGGCTGCGCGGGGGCCGCAGGCCATATGCCGGCTTGCCAGGGGCCAGACCGACCACACACACACACACACACACACACACACACAAGCGCCATTGTGACGGCCTAACACAATGCAGGAGCTGTGTTATCTGCCGGGTATGTGTGTGTAGGTGACGGTCGCGTAGGCGAACTTACGAACTCATCACGCGTCTGCTTTTACTCGCTGGCTCAGTGGACGCAGCAGAGCAAAGGTTTGGGATGTGTTTGCATGATGGAAACTAGTGTTTTAATTTAATTGGATTTTTTAAATAGGAGGCTGTTGTGCTCATTAATGTCCTGCCATGAGCATCTTGATCAATGAAACAAGGCTAGTTATGCTAAATCCCGTCATTGAGGTAATTGAAGCATTAATCAAAACACGGCTGCGTCGACAAACATGCGTGTGGTATTAAACATGGTCTCTGTGAGCATTAAGGAATCAAACGTTTCCCTCATTAAATTTGCAAATATATGAAAAGAAATCGCACCAAACACTAATCAGATAATTAAGCATTTAAGATAAAGAAGCATGCGGTGCAAGCAGCAACTCTCATTTAATGTTTTAAAGCAAATGTTGTTATTAAAGCACATCTACACACAGACATAAGGCCAGTGTGGCAGTTTAATCCCGCACATTGCAGCTTTCATTGGCGGGACATTAAAAGACGAATACTTACGAAGTCTTTGAGATCACCACATGGCTCACAGTAAAAGAGCATCTATGCGCCGCTCGTTGGGTCGACACGGAGGCTTCCTCTCCCTCCCTCCCGCCCTCCCTCCCCTGTTTTGTTCTCAGTCTGCCAGTTGCCGGGCCCCACTTGGCCCGGGCTCATATCAGTTAGTTATGGGTCGTGGCGGGTCGGGCCCTCGCCCCTGAACACAGACTGGCTGGCCTCGTATCTTCACTCGGGACTATGTGTTCCTTTTCCCGCCCTCTGCATGCTGCTGCTGTCAGAGCTCAGTCAGACGGAGAAGAATGCGTCTAGGGAGCCAATATGAACTCACCCAAACACACGCACGCACACGCACACACACACACATTTGGATGCAGGTACACACACAGGCACTGAAAATGAGACATAAGGAATAATAGCGATTTCAGGCCACGGCTAAAATGAAAAAAAAAAATAGAAAATCCACCCAAACCTCTTCAGATAGCGTGTTAAGAATGTTACATGTTCACTGTCTTCATGTCCGGTTCCCACCTGCACTCGATATTGAAGTGGTTACTAAATTGCTATGATTTTGCAGGTTTCTGCTTCCAAAACTGGAGGACATGTTGCCTCCCTCTGCTTTTCAATGGATCTGCTTCCAGATGGAAAGATGTACATTTTAGAGTTTAGATGTCTCCAAAACGGTGCTTCTTTCACTTGTCTTCAGATGTGGCTCATTTCATAACAACTCAAGTCGTGAGGCTTGATAGGAGCAATACTTGTGGTAGATTTACACCCTGGACGTGTTTCAGGCCGAGGCACCACAGATCGGACACGACGACAGCTTCCTACCTATAAACACCCAGGTACCGGGTAACAGCCGGTGCCCCCCCCGTCCCCCCGTCCCCCCACAGGACCCCGTCCCGAGGAGCCAGAGAGTCTGTTGGCTCTCAATGCTCAATAAGGCTGATTTCAGCTGGTCAGGCGAATCAACAGGAGAGCCTCACACACCCTGGAACCACACACACGTACACAAAGACTGAGAGCGGGGGAGGGACGGGGGGGGGGCGGCTGAGTGACGAGCTCGTCCCCGGGGGATCCAACGCCTCCTTCTAACCCTTTCTTTCAGTCGACACCTAATTTACATGTCTGCGTGCTTTCAAAAGCCTTGGAGTAAACAGCCTCTCTTTTGTCGTCCGCGCGCCTAAAACAACACGGGGCCGTATTATCGGGCAACTGTCAGTTCCTCCCTGCAAACAGATTTACACTGCGCACCGCCCTAAAGTGGATGAATGTGAAAATAAAAAGGCTAAAATAATAGAACATCCTCCTTATCTTTTCATGGACACGTACCAAAACTGGTCATCGGATCCACAATCTGATCATGTGACAGCGCGGTTCGTCTTCTTGGACTCGTGTCGCTTTCGGCCCGAGCCGAGGCGCTTCATTTCAGACTGCAGCGCATTCATCTAAAAGTGCTGACACGGTAATCGGATGTGTGCCGGCCAAACAGGGCGCCTGCAGAGACATGACGTAATCTCCCCCCCCGGTTAAGTTCATAAAGGATCGTCTAACTTTCTCTGCGATTGATCATTTTGAACGTGGAGCCGTCACCTTTCACCTGTGTGACCTCATCATTGAGAGGGGCGGCTGGTTAACAGGTAGGACTCACGAGCGGCGCTTGTGTCACCCCCCCCCAATATGTGAATACATGCATTTTATCGCATGCATCGTTAAACTTTATGCCACACAAACTACAACGCAACATCATCTCTTGTTAACTCCTGCAGCATTCCTTGAAATGCACCGTGCTGCTGTCACGTGTGAAAGCTGCTCGGACTCAATTGGAGAGGAAGCAGCGTCCCCTCGTCTCTTCGGCCTCTTCGTCGTCAGCCCCCGTCCCCGACGCAGCCGATTGAGACACCAGCAGTCGTTCCTAGAGCCTTTCGCAGAGCAATTACCGGCTTATCGGTGACTCCGCACAACGTTAATCCGACTTACGGATCCCGGCGTTGGGAGCGGTGAGCTCATGAGAGGCGGGGAAGCGAGAGGTGGAGGAGACGGGACTTTGTTTGAGCGACGGTCCCGTGGAGCAGCAGCCGGGGGGGGACGTCTCGCTGAGGAGGCCGTGCCCGGGTACGCCCTTTATTCTCATGTCACCCGGTGGAGCGGGAAAGCACTCGGGTGGTGGGGGAGTCAATGCGAGACTCGACAACACAGAAGACACACACACACACACACACACACACACACACACACACACACAAGCATCGCAAATACAGTTGACTGCATGAGCGCGTCACTTCGGAACAGCTCGCTCTCCCTGAAGGACACGGCGGGGTTACGCGCAGGGCCCCACGGGTAATAATCGTTACACGGAGGGGCAGAATGGGGGCGGCGCGGGGACCCGTGGCCACGCGGCGTCCCCAGTTTCTCGCCCGGCTGGCGAGACGAATGCCTTGCAGCCGGCCCGCCGAGTGCAGAGCATGAAACACATGATGAAACATGCAATTAAGAGCTCGGGGCTGGTGAGGAGGCGGCGGCGGTGGGCGGGGGGAAGGGAGGGACCACCGGTTACATATTTCCTCGCTGATTAATGGAGGCGCTCTGAGAAGGGCGGGTGTTAGCCAGCCCGCCAGGAGAGCGGGGACGTGTTGGGTAACGACGCGCGCTGGGAGATTTATGCCGCCCTCTCCCCCCCACAATCTTATGGGCCCATGACAAAGTGCCCCCGAGCCCCTCCCCCTCCATCCCATCTCCCTGAAATGCCATTACATGTTCTCCTGAGCGCGGCAGCGCGGCCGAGAGATGGAATGGAGATGGACGTTAATGCTGATGAGAATTGGGATTTAGCCTTTTGTCTCTTGTCCCGATGGCGCTTTCCATCTTTCCCCTTCGCCCCACAGACTTATTCCACACCGCCGCCTCGCTCACCTGTCCAGACAAACTGGTTATTTCGTCCTCTCTTTCCCTTTACACCTGATGTCCGCTATGTCCCGCTCCTCCATTCTTCAGCCGGTCTCATTGTGCACTGTTCCTTATCTCAATGCTCGTCCATAACATGCAACCCCCTGCTGTGTATCAGTGTGTGCGTGAGGCGGGGGGGGTTACCTTCAGTCGGTCTGTGGGGAGAGCTTGAGCTCCTTTCATGATGACTTCCTGAACCCTCTCGACTGACAGGTCACTTCCAGCCTGCTCCAGACGCTGACTGAAGAAGCCGATCACCTGCAAGGTCACACGAGAGAAAGTGGGCCAATCACAAAACAGAAACTAGATTTGCACAAAAAAAAATAAAAAAAATGGGGACGAGACGATCAATAGCGAGGTCAGCTAAATACAAAGCAACAGACAGGCGAGGTTTAGCTTAGCCGAGCAGAAAGAGCGGCAGCAGGGAAGCAGGACGGAGCCCGCCGGGCTTCTGGTCCTGAAGCAACGAGATCTGCCCGTCAGCATCTCTGAGGCTCCGCGATCAACTTTTCATCTTTTCTTTTTTTAAACTTATACATTGGTATCAGTGTGCATGTTGGCACATATGTAGAAAAGAAAAGTAAAAGCAGTTAATTAAAGTAACATAAAAAATCAACACCAAGTTAAAATACCTGATTTATTGAAAAAAGCTAGTTGTCACTTTGGGATACAATTCCAGTTAATAAAATGTCAGGCTGCAATCCATGTTTATTGTTGTTTGTGGCCTTTTCAAGACAACATTTTCAACATGTGCTGCCTGCTTGGAGGCGTTGATTTCATCCGAAATCAGAAAGTCATAGAATAGCTTGAATGTCAATAGAACAACACGTAATATCAGTTATGCTGTTGTTCTGACTCGAGCGGCATTATTGGCCTCAAACATCCAGTAAGAGTTGAACCCTGGTCCGGTTTAATCTAATCCATTGCATCTCGGTAGCGTTTCTTAACGCCCTCCTGATCTCTTGAGGTTCACTATGAACCCTCAGCTCTGTCGTGAAGCCCCGTGACTCTTCTAATCCCGCTGTTTGGAGCCGTCACATTGATGTCGCAGCCGCCCCTCCCCTCCGCCCCCCTCCCCCTTATATGATGACACCGGGTGCAACCTGGAGATCCAAGTTGGAACAAAGTGGCAGCGTGCTACACACAGAGGGCCTCTACAGCAACCCTGGGGAATGTGCCAACGCGGCACGTTGACTAAATGACACGGCGTCCGGCTGATTTGACACTACGACAACCGTCGACACGTCGTCGCGGGTTGTCTCCTAGCAACAGTACTTAAATGTCTCTTATTCTTATAAGAAGTAGAGAGCTCAGGAATAGCGTTGCTTGTATTGCAACTGTGCGTCAATGCGCATTGAGAATCACTAGAATTAGGGGATAAAAACTGGCTGTTGCACTACATGAATTGCGCTTTCAGAAAGGGAAATATCTCCAAACCAACTTCAACATGCTATGAACACACACATATGCTAATATGCCCATGGGCTGCAAACCACGAAAGCGCACACAAACATACAGCATTACACATTCACTGCAGGCTTTGAGCAACGTTTCATCCCACTTAAAATGAACACTTCACTGCTCACGTTATCTGATGCCTTCTGGGTTTGAGCCCAAAGTTGAAAGGAAACTGCATTTTTATGTTTCCACTGCTGTGCGAGGTTCTTACCCCAGATAATTGTTTGCTATTTGAGCATTAAAAGAACTCTGGGTATTACAGATTCTTTTTAATGCGCTTATTTGTCTTACCGACGGTGAAAAATGCATCTACAGGCAAATGTTCCCTCTGCTCGCCCACTGCGGCTGCCTGAGAGAAGCCAAACACTCCGGAGCCTACATGAGCACTACGTGTGTGTCTATCTAATCCTAATCTCTTTTGGAGGAGCCAAAGAGCAGCCCCTCATCCTGAATCCTGAATCTCGTGCTCATACACACACACACATAGATTTGGCAGAAATGCCTTTGGGATACGGACGTAGCTGAGGGATTGCAGGTAGCACGCTTCCCTCATACTTGTGGATAACCGCGAAACCCGTGGCTACACACTGATACACACCAGAAGCTCCTGCTCCACCTCCTCTATACGACTCATCTCACGCCGTTCCTTTTCCTCCCCCACAGTCAATGAATATTTGACGCTGGGCGTCTCGACACGGGGCGACTGATTAATTCATCGATACTGCTCAAGCTCACAGGGCTCAGCTCCACGCGCTAGCGACGCGGCGCGCATACGTTCCAGCGCTGCCTCACTCCCTGCAGACGGAGAGGACAGTCGGGAGGGAGGGGGGAGATCTGTGCAACCTTGATCTATGGAATAATTACCACACCTCCGCCGGGAGGTAAAGCGCTGCGCTGCCCGGCTCACGCTTCCTCGCTCCTGAAATACTCAAAAAGGGGACGAATCGGAGGGGGGGGGGGGTTAGAGGATAAACTTTTGACTGACCGTGTCCAGGTTCTGCATGATGTCCTGGAACGAAGGGTGCGTCCTGAACTGCTCGAAGAGCTCCCGCTTGTAGAGCAGCGCGTACACCAGGTTGGGGTTGTGGTGGAGGGAGCTGCACAGGCAAGAGTTGATGATCTCCAGCATCATGCGGATCACCTCCTCGATCACATTCAGGTCCTGGGCCTGGGTGGGTGGGTGGTGGTGGTGGGGGGGAAGAGGACGTAAAAGGTTAATTGGTTTCTCCACTACGCTGGTTTCCAATGGAAATTGTGTTTTTACATGATTGCTTCCTGATTGATCAGTCTGTGTCGCAGCAGGTTTCCTCTCGGGGCAAAGTCGCCCGCCTGTGAGTGACAGGTGACACCGTGGGGCGAGACGGGGCGTGGGAACGAGTGACAGGCAGAGCGGCTGCCTCGAGGAGTCATTTACAAAGTTCTTCACGCCGGGCCGGCTCGCCGAGGAAACAGATACCACAAAGAGTACAAAGTCAAAAAGGTAGATTAAAAGGAATTCACCTTTATATGAGAGAATCAATACCTCTCTCTCATGCAAATCTACCATAAGCAGTCAGCTAGCTTAGCTTAGCACAAAGATCGGAAACATGTGGCAAGGTAACACAATCCAACTGCGATCCCATCCAGTCACTAAGGGAGTAAAAAATTGATAAAATGTGTCAAGATGTTGCAACATGAGGGTGTTTGGGATTCTGTGCGTCTGCCGAATCTCACCGTGTTCCTGCTTTAAAACCTCTTAACGCTTGTAGATGGCGGCGGTTAAATAATCAGCTCACAGCCTTAGATCAGAATTCCAAGAAGTTTTGGTGGTTCCCGAGGAAATCTGCCTTCTTATTAGCGTGGACATCCGAGCATCGAGGTAAAAGCTAATCAGCCCATCTGCTCCACTCCGGGAACGTGCGCTTTGAGAACAGAGATTCTATCGTGCATTGTTCTGCCGCGTTCTCACAATAATGTGTCTACGGAGACAGACAGACAGATAGACAGACGCCACCGTGATGAGATAAAAGCGCCAAATGGGTTCTGTCCATTGTGACACATAAAGGAAATGGCAGAGAGACTGTGGGAAAATGAGTACGCTTAAAAAGAGATTTCAAAAACAACAACAACCCAGTTAGAGAACAAGGTTGAAGAAGATGTGTGATTTCCCGCGGTGTGAGAACCGCGGGCGCTCTGCAAAATCTATCATATACTACATTATAGATTGGCTGCATCCTCGCAGGATCCTGTTTCCGAACCAAATGAAAAATACAAAACAATGAATAATAACCGGCTTCATCAGAGTGGAAACAAACACTGTTTGCAAGATTTTTCATTTGCCAAGAATGTTATGACGTTTTTACAAGAATGAATATTGACTTTATTTTAGAAAGTTTGATATCAACTGCTGATCCATGAGATCTATCTAGTCCATAAACATTGCACTGTGTTGGGCAGAACAGGGCACAAAGACAAAACACCTTAGAAGAACTCAAAAACGCTGACTAAAGGAACCCAGAAGTCAAGAGCTTCCCAAGCAGCTTAGCTTAATGCCTTGGTGCGCTAATGAAATCCGAGGGTAAACCAACAAACACTGTAACACACACGGCAAAGATTCCCGAACCCTGATCGTGGGTCTGCGTGATCAGCAAGGACCATCCCGGCCGCGCTGAGAAGAATTAGTTTATCGAATAGCTCAGCACGGTTGTCTTACATAGTATTCTTTTTCAAACGCATCACTCTTATGATCCGAATAAACTAAATTGACCAAAAACTTTCTTCTCCTCTTTGCTTCACAGGAAGCCTCCTCAGACTCTGTCTCATCAGCAGCTTCCAGGTCACATCCTGCCTCATTTCCGACTCTAAATGAGAGAAGTGGAAGTACTGCAATTCCTGTAAAATATGTTAAAATGAGGTGCTGAGCAAGCCAGTTTAATCTTTAAATTTTAAATCTTTCTTTCTTTAAATCTTTAATATTTATACGCATGAATCAGTAAAGCGCTGGTTTCCTCTGCGCTGTAAGACATTTACAGCCTTAAAAAGTGTAATAACATTGTCAAAAAACCTTAGAGAAGAGAGAAGAACCATTTCAATGGTGTTGTTGTTGTTGTTGTTGTTGTTGTCGTCCAAAGTGAGACTTAACCTTAAGGATTGTTTTAATGGCACGCCTCATTGTTCTGATGACGACCTGTTTTGACCGAGTATCTGCTAATACCGGCTAAGACCAGATTCCAAACAGCAGCTCAGTGAGACGGCGAGATTCCACCTCCAATCAGGGCGGCCCACCTGCAGCATTTTGTGCTCCATCTTCGGCGCCCCGACTAAAATTTAAACTTGGCTTGCTGTGTGGCCTTCGTTTTTATTTATTTATTTATTCTCCGTAATAAGCAAACTCGCACAAACACACACCATCTCCCCCCCCGGAGGCAGCCAGAGGGATCAGGACGGTCGTAAATAGAAAAAGCAGCATTCCTTCGTGCCTCGACCATGAATCCGGCTCGCCACGCGGATGCAATGACGCCGTGAGAACGCGACGAAGAGGAGGCACGAGGAGCAGAGGAAGGCAGAGTGAGAGCGAGCGTTGCCTCGTGCGTTTGTTCTCTGGCTCCGGCACCCGTCTTAATGAGATTAGCCTGGCAGCGAGAAAAAAAAAGAAAAAATGCCACAGTGGGGAATTCAGGTCAAATGAAAATAGGCGAGCTAGACGTCTGCCTGGCCCTGTGTGCGTGTGTTTGTCAAGTGGATGAGATTAGGCGCTCCGTGGTCTACTTGAAACCCAGACGGGATTTAAATATATCGACTCCTCCTCCTCCTCATCGTCGTCCGCTCTGGTATCTTGCACTTGTTCCCCATCTGCTAGACATCCCAGAAGCACATGACGTGTGTTTGTGTGACTGCAAGAGACCGTCGCGGCCTTTCCTCTGCTCATTCTTTCCCCTCCTGCTCCTTCTCCTCCGGTCATGTGCTGCTTTTCCAGCCTGCTGCATCGTCCTTTAGTCACCGCCACTCATGCAACTATTAAAAAAAGCCTCCTGCGCGCCCAGACAAACACGGGCCTCAGACACCAGCCACATCATTAGTCTCAATGCTCCTGCCCCCATTTTACTCGATTCACCATTTACACAAACCTCACGGGAAGGCTGTGAGGGTGCCAGTGTGTGTGTGTGTGTTTCCATCCGTCTGATTGTGCTGCTAATACTTCAACACGCTAAGCACAAATGTGTTATGTCTGCAGGTATGTTTGACCTTTGCTATCCATCTGACAAGGGAACATTTTTAGAGCCTGCAGATGCAATCAGGGACCGGGAAGGACATCGCCGACACTGCGCCATCTGTGTGTGTGTGTGTGTGTGTGTGCGCGATTCCAGCCGTCCTACCGTACCCTCGTGTGTTTTTATGCATGTTTGTGTGTGTGTGTGTGTGTGGACAGGGTGTTTAGCGACACAGACGAGTAAATCCCTTTAAAGCGGGGGCTGGCATCATTAAACCAATAGCTTAGTGATTCCCTGGCTGGCCCTGCTGCTCACTGCAGACATATTAAGAAAGAGCACTGACGAATACAAGGGCAAGGAGATAAACACACACTCAGAGAGACAAACAGAAGAGAGTCGAACCCCACACCTGGACGCGACGCTAGAAGCAAGAGGGACGGCGAGACAGACAAAGAAAAGCCCGACGAGACGGAGGGAGGAAGCGGACATCCAGAGAGGGTCGGACTCGCGGAGCCGTGTAAATAGGTCATTATGCTGCATTATGGTGCCACCGCCGTGTCATAATCACACCATGTTGTGGCGCAGTGTGCCAAGGTCAGCCTCTTATTACCCAATAGCTTCCCACTAAACATCCTTTGTTGCAAGCACACAAACGGCAGCCGCACTCCGGCAGACAGGTGGGCAGCGCTAATTGATCCGCTGCTGGCTGTGCGGTTTCCCTGCGCATTGATCAGGAAAAGATCAGGGCACAGCGGGGAGGGGGGGGGGGGCATTTGGAGAGGGGGCGATCATTAGGACCCCGGAACGCCTTCCCGCCCGCAGGAGGTGCCACTCCTACGGCCCGAGAATAAACACAGAATGAGTCAGAACCAAAAGAGGAGAGAAGATGAGAGGCAGACAGTATATGGAGGGACGGGCTAACAAGGAACTTAAAAAACTAGGACCAGTATCGCCTTCACCAGGCAGGTGAGGGAAGAAACGTGAAGATAAGAGACTAAAAAAAAAAAAAGGGGCGGCAGTGAGTCACAGCTCTCAGCAGAATACCGACTTAATGAGAGAACTGCAAAGGGGACCGAGTTATATTGAGACAGAGGAGAAGGTAATGAGCAAGCAGCATCAGTCTAAGAGGTTACGGCTCCTATTGTACTGCTTGGGGTAGTGTGTGTGTGTGTGTGTGTGTGTGTGTGTGAGACATCGGACAATGAAATATGAAACAGGAAGTCCACTATGATCCCTGCGCTTGAAGGCCTAGCAGGCAGCAAATGAGGACGAGGAAGTATTCTTGCTATCCCGGATCGTTATCACAGCGGCAATCAGTGGCACGTTCGCCGCGGCAATCGGGAGGCAAACAGCAGGAATATGGAGTTCAGTTACAAAACAATCCAGCAGGAATGTGCGCACGCATGCATTTGATTGCGGTGTCCGATAGAAGCAGCGCAGATACTAGAAAAGAGAGTAGAATGCGTCACACTACTTCCGTAACAAGATTAATTTAGAATTACTTAAGAACCTACTTAGTATTCCTCATGCTGCCGTGTGCAGGAACACCAGCCCAAATGTTGAACTGGAGGAAAATACATTAAAAGGTTTGAAGGTTCTAAAAATGTATAGGCGCAGCTTTACATTCCTCATTTCTTCTTCCATCTTTCCCCTCTGGGCTTTTTCACATCAATTGGAAAGTGTGTGTGTGTGTGTGTGTGTGTGTGTGTGTGTGTGTGTGTGTGTGTGTCTGATCTCAGGGAAGCGCTCTGATAATGCATCGGTCTTGTCGGGGGAATTGGTTCTACATCAAAAGACAGTAGTTTCAGGTGAAGCGCGTACGAGGGGAGACGCAGTGGCGACGAACTCGCCGTGGGGTTGGAGGCCACGGGCGTGTGACCGGCTGGTTAAACTGCAATATTTAACTATTTCAGAGAGAGGAAGAAGTTAAGCGCGAGATTCCCTTTCTGGTTGAACTGTGTGAAGGCGACACCGAACAAAGTCATCTCATACGAATGATAAAAACGTGAAAAAGATCGGCAGAGGACAGAAAGGTACGGGAGTAAAATGGTTGGTATGTTATTATTACTATTGTACTAGTTGTTTTCCATTTTAAAGAATATATATATATTTTGAATTACTCATAGCATATCAGCATATTAAGACTCTAAATGACTCTAAATTCTAAAGCCCATATAGCTTGTGACCACCGACGGATTATTTTTGGTTTGACCGGTTAATATTGTCCGTTTACCTACATACGCTCCAGAGACTGTATATTAAATCAACCTAAAGACACAACTTCAAGCCACAAAAGAGCTATTTTAGCAATAACGGAAAAACCGTGGATTCCGCTAAACAATTCCGTCGCCAAATAAGAAAGTGGCAAATCCCTGGAAGGCCTGATAAAAAACAGAAGGCACAGTGTTTATTATCTGTTGATAGGTCCTCGGGCTCTGCTGTTTGCCTAAACAAAAGGAATGGTGCTACAAAGCCACGGCATGTGTCTACTCCGGCTATTAAAAAGAGATCTCAGATTGTGACTCAACCAGCACACATAAACACATAGGCAGGGTGGTCCAACATGCTTCTGGCTGTGTGTGTGTGTGTGTGTGCGTGTGTCTGTGTGCGCTTGTAGACTCTTCCCAGGAATGTGCAGCAGTAAACACACAGAGAGGCACAGAAGTAACATTACCCTCAACGCACAACGCGACTCGTGCCTCCTTCCCTTTTCATGTTTGCTGGTGTGCGCCAGCATGTGCTGCATGTCACTGCGCACATCTCAAAAGGGCAGGAGAGGAACAGCAACAAAAAGAAAAGGAAAGGGTGCAATCAGCGCTGCAGAGCGGGCGGCCGAGGGGCCGAGGGGCCCCCCCAGAGAGCCGGCCTGCTTGGACCGGGAGCCTTTGGCGGTTCCCCCGAGGGGGCTCGAGGGGCCCTTTCTACCCTGACACTAACCAGACACAGCAGCACAAACGCATACAGGGATGGGGAGGGTGGGGTGCTTTGGCAGAGAGAGGGAAAAATGTAAAAAGAGGGAGGCATTAAGGAGAATGCGCCACGCTTCAACCAAAAGCTGAAAGCATTTGATGACATTTTGTTCTCATCCTCCTCTCAGCCTTTCCCCTCGTGAAAAAGCAGCAATTACATGTGCAGGACAATCCCACATTAAACAAACATTAGCTCTCCCTCCAGAGCCGGACGGGGCCAAATCACATTGTTTCCAGATGCACATCACAAGGCCTCGCTCTCTCCAAACCCTGCTAACCTCCTGCTCACTTCTCCTCTTTCTATTGTTCTCCCCCCCCTACTCATTTTCGGCTCCTCTTTCATCTCACCCCGTAGTTCCTCGAACCCCCCCCCCAAATTGAAATGAGGTGTTGTGAATCACGCTGCCACAGCCACTGCTCCTGGAGGAGGAGACGCGGGGCCCGGCGATGGAGAACACGGCGGCTTTAAGATGTCACATGTGCAAAACCTCTGGAGGACGCCGGCGTGCGAGGTCATTACGACGCAGCAGCCGGGCCGAGCTGTGCATACGATGTTCATACAATAATCAGCTGGGAATGCTGCTATTGAGTACTATTAAAAATGAACTTCAATGAATCAATAGTTGAATTTGGTTATAAACTAAAAAAATCCCAATTTTCCGAACAGTTAATCCTCAACAACACCTGCGACTAAGACCAAGATTTTGTTTACAACCAACTAGAAAATCGAATGGTGCTCTCCCCTCTCAAAGACACAATTAAGCTGAATTTATGTCCCCGAGGTGTTGTTTTTTTTGTGTGTGCACAAACTCGGCACGCAGACAATACAACGTGTTCCTTTTAATCCGGAGATGTCGACAAAGCCGAGAGTGGACTTCAATAAGACGAACGGCGACCCGCGTAGACTCAGGGGCCGACGTCACGCAACTTAGTAAAGTCTGAGCTGGAGGATAAACAGCGGCGTTAGAAACGCTGACCAGCGCGGCCTTCGAAGTATATGAGCCGGACTGGATGGCTGACAACAAAACTACAATTTCCATGAAACAATCCCACTGGATTGAGCAGCACCCAAAGTGGGAGCGCCGTCGTCTGGTGGACCACGTGCTTTGATTGTTTGTGCATGCATTTGCCTTGTTATTGTTGTCACTATGATCATATTCACAGAGTGCACGCTGCTGTGGAAACCGCTGAGAAGACTTAATAAAAGCAATTCAAATCTCTGTGTCTTTTCTTTTTACATTTTCCATCATATATGCGGGGTGTGTACGAATGCGTGTAAATAAAACACAGCATTAAAATAAGCCTTGAAGGAAGGAAGCATCCAAACAAAGCTGGATAAATGCATTATATACGATTCCGTGTGTGTGTGTGTGTGTGTGTGTGTGTGTGTGGACTTCTGTTAGTAAGTGGGTCTCATCAGACAGAGGTTGAAGGAGCACTCAAATACACTCACGTTTCCACATCACCTGAGGGCATCTAGAGGGACCTCAAATACATCTCCAACTCCTAACACACACACACACACACACACACACACACACACACACACACACACACACACACACACACACAGAGAGAAACATGTTTACACCCCTATAGAGGAGCAAGCTAATCTACTGAGAGGGAGACGTGTATTGATGGAGGGTGACACACACACACACACAAACACACACACGCACACACACACACACACACAGACACACACACTGTAAAAGGGGGTGCGGTGGTACAACTATAAGAGAAAAAGTTGTGTAGTTGTGTATGTCCCGAGTGTCTCAATGTATTGACAGCAATACAGGAGTAAAAAAAAAGAAAAAAGAGTGACAACCAGCTGTCATTCACAACTCGATCAAACTGTCGAACTAATCAGCGCCAATACAATTCTGAATCAATACCCGGTTACTGATTGCCTGTTATTCTTCTGGCGCGTTAAAAAGACACCTGTTTTTTTTTGGGGGGGGGGGGTTTCAGCCAACAAAAAGTGACCTTTATTGAAATTACCCAGTGTACCTTTAGAGTGTATTTCTTATGTTTTGATTTTCTATTCAGTATTCCTGTGTAAAACCTAATTATTCAATTTGATGTAATTTACTTTTGGCAAAAATCACATTGGCAACATTTCTGTCCATAAAACTTGTTTGAATTTGATTTAGAGCGAGAGAGAGATACTCACATAGTCGGGCAAGGCAGCGTTTTCTCCCTGTCGGCCCCTCAGAGACTGGGTTGCCTGCTCCAGAACCTTGTTGTGCTTTTTGGAAACAAAGCAAACAAACTGCAGGGGAGACACAAAGATAGAGAGAGGGAGAGAGACACTTTCCAAAGAACCCAAATACACGGCCGTCATACTTCAGTAATCAAGTGCTGTAAATTACTCAAACATCGGCCTTAACGTGGTTTAACTGAAGAGAGAAGCTTTAATCAAGACTGATTCTTCTTCCCAAATGAGGCCTTTAGAATCATTTGTAATAATTAGTTTTGGAATGACTCAATAATAATGGAATTTGCTGGAGACAGCTTCAGAAAGGATGTGTCGAAATAATGAACATTATGCTAGGATTAGTTTATCATATCAATATGCAATCAAAACTCATTTTTCCAACCTGGCTTTCATTTGGCCTCATTTGTTTTATACACGTGTGTGTGTGTGTGTGTATATATATATATATATATATATATATATATAGAGTTTTCTGGTGGGGACTCAGACATACGTACATCAAAAGTCCTTGAGTCTGCTTGGCCGACCTTAGGCAGCGACAGGATGGGTCAATAGGGGCGCACACACGCACACACGCGCACACACACACACACACACCATTGTAGAACAGCGTTGCCGCCGCAATGAGCTCGTTCCCTCGTGTGTGATCAAGACCCTTGAGACTTTATTGCAAACAACCGGCTGTCACTTTGAGTAGTTTTTTTCTCTTGATTACATCTCATCTCCTCTCATACATCATCCTTCTTTTTTTTCCCCTCAGTATCTCATAACATATTCATTCGGTGTTTATGATTATAATTATTAGAGACCTTCTGCTTTAATTACAACTTTTTAATACTTTTTCCAGGACCCCCAAGGCTGTCGAAAGTTTAATTTGTGTGTCAATCAAGAAAAAAAAAGAAAAAAAGAATTGCGGAATATATTAAATCCAATAAGAGCAAAGTGCTGCAGAATCTCTGATGCAGAGGTCTGCAAAGCCCCACAGAGCAACACCTGTCCATCCGTCAGCACTGGACAACACACACACACACACACACACACACGTGTCAGCATTTCTTCCTCGGTCTAATTAGCAAAGTGAAAGCCTAATAGTGATATGGGAGCAGCTACAGGGAGGTATACTTCTTATCTACTAGCCACGCCTACTTAATGGGATCTCTTGTACCATGTAGGCAGTTCTCTCGATTTCCAATGAGACCACCAACAAAGTTCCACCTGGGACGTTTTGCCCACAATAACATCCCTCATCTGATCCGAGGCATCGACGGACACGACAAGGGAAACACACCCACTCCGCTCGCCCGATCACAAGATCAGTTATGAGGCTGCAGTAACGACAGACGTGCCCCCCCGGACACACTGAATATGTGTAGGTGCTCGGTTTCTACCGGTTCAAAGGAACATTTGTACAGATGTTTACACAGTAATGTTGAGGCTCGTGTGTGACTTTTTAATTTATTAAAAAAAAAAAAGGAGTAGATAAATGACTTCATCGATCACCTTCATTGCAATATATCCAAGGAAAAGACACAATGGAGGTTATCTAATTAAATGAGGATGAAAAAAAGTTAAGATGTCATTGTGGAGTCTGGAAACTTAACGTAATAAGCATTGTTTGCTTTTCGCTGAGGTTCGGTCAATAAAGAGAGCAAGTTGTGGATAACTTGGAGGACACAAACAATGCTGCAGAAAGAGAGTATTGATCGCGGGTCAGAATTAATAGGCAAAAGTGAAAGATGTGAGCCGGTGGTGGTAATGCGGGCAATTCAAAGCCACTGCTGCCTGTAGATAAACAGCAACAACTGAATTAAGGAGCAGAGTTCAGCACTTCCTGGCAGACGTTTGGAAACGCCTGGCGGGATATTCCCTTTATCTAGCCGGCTTCGCTCCGCCATCACGGTCTTCATCATCATTACCGTTATCATCGGACATGGAGTCCCTTGAGGACTGACATGCAGACATTCACAGACGGTGTTCCTCTCTGACTCACCACAGAGCCACAGATACGAGGGAGAGGATCCTCGAGTGTGCGTGGAAGCGTGCACGTCTTCAGGAAAGGAAACATTCCTTCCTTCCTGTGTGTGTGGAGTTCACAGGCGGACGTGAGCGCGGTTTGGACCCTCGTTCTGTAAAGTCACCTCAGTTGCCCCGTGTGACATAATGTTCTTCTCTACACAGGCACACAAATGTCTATTAATATCCAGAGTCAGTCTCTCCTGCTGGATTGTGGAGTTACGATAACAATCATTAAAATGAAGGAACTTTGCTGGTGTGTGAACTTGGAACTTTGTCTTTGGGCAACTTTCTGCCTCTCTTTTGGCGTCCCTCCTCGCCTCGCAGGTGAACGCCGTCGTTGCGTCAAAGCCACTTTGTGAAGCGATACACACAACTCGAACTGTTGATTTTGATGCGCGAAATTACAAAAAAAAATGTCAGGAAGCCGGTAAGCTCCTGGGCGATACTCTCGTCAGAGCAGAGTTTATTCACATTCATGCCCAGAGGAAGGCCTCCGGCTAAAAACACATGAACTGCTTTTATGGTGGGCCAGCTTATTCTACTATACATTTATTCATATATCTCTCCGAGAAGCACACTTGTTGCCTTTTTTTATTCAAATTATCAGCCAGGAAGGAAGTACATTCAGCAAGAGAGTTAAACAGCCTCCAACCGGCCTTCCTGCATATTATAGTACACAAGGTAAAGACCCTGATTTCCATTCAAACCGGCAAACTTAATATTTTAGGTCAAACAGACAAAGCGCAGAATAAAAAAAAAAGTTTTACGATTTCACCGTTCGTTTTTAGAATTAGGTTACAATAGGACGACTTAAACAATGGAGGAAAGAAGCTGCCAAATAACCGGCGCTACCAATAGGTCCTACTGAAGGTCCTCACCTGATGATGCGCTGGGCAGCGTACTGGTGGAGACAACGGAACTGTGCCGACATGTTGGCTAGTGCAGCAAGACAGTTGGTGTGGAGGTACTTATCCTGGAGAGGACGACAGACACACAAAGATATACTTTACCGAATGTTACTGTTGACTGTAAAATACTGCCATTACACTTTAGGTGTGTGAATGCATGGCCGGAGGCACAGACGGTGGGAATCGGCGCTCGACTCACCCTCGTGCGGGTCATGTTGAACTGGATGGTGCGGATGACCACCAGGATGAGCAAACTGCCGAGCGAGATCTCGGTCAAAGTTCTCTCCGAGTACCACGAGACGTTCTTCAATACCTGCGAGAGGGAGACGCATCGGTTGAAAGCAGCGGCAATTCACCCCGATCATCCACCGAAGGCAGCCGTGCGGCAGCCAGGCGCGTGAGCAACGTGCAACGGTTTTCACCCACCACCTCGTGGATGGAGCGGTTGAAAGCATCGTCCTCTGTGAGGATGAGAAGGATGATGAGGGCCATGTAGACGTGATGAGAGTTTCTGTCCTCCACGTGGTAGAGGATCTCGAGGATAGGTAACACCTGAGAGGAGGAGGGGGGGGGGGAGAAGGTCTGAGAATGTATGTATGTAATACCTGCAGGTATTACATCTAATAAATGCTGGATTTCAAAATATAACAACCTCAGGGGGGAAACAAAAATGCTAATATTCAATCCTCTTAGACGAAGAATGAGGTACGCACAATAATAAATGCATGCGTCAATAATAAATGCAAGCTTTTGTTGTCTTGTCAAGGGGACTTTTTATTTAAGATGAATCTGCCAACGAGCAGCCAAATGATGGTTATTGCTGTACATGAAGCCCTATTGCTACAGCTGGTGGTTCAAACTGCTAACTAAGAGACAACAGAACAGTAAAAGCAGCACTGAATCTGCCAGTCGACATTGACATTACTTCCTAATTATTTGCTGCTCCACCATAGGTGGAGGCACAACCTACACTCAGCAGAATGATGGAGTCAGACTGGCAGCGGTCGGCAGCTGGCATAGTGAGCCATGAACGCAGGCGGATGCAGCGTTAGCTCATCGCTCAGTGCTTTGTTGTTGCTGGAGTCAGTGGGAGCCCAATTTAGTTGCGAATTAGCTCAGACGGCGGATTTTTTTTTTCTTAGAATAAAAACAAATAATCTACTGATGGCGCCGTGCGAAGTACACCCTCCCTCGTCCCTCCTACCCACCAGATTGTCCATGTCGGTCCTGGACAGCATGTACGTCCTCATGTTGGCGTTCTGGTGAAGGAGGGTGTACAGCAGAAGCGTGGCCTGGTCGGAGCGCTGCTGCTCACACAGCGCCGTGTACAGACTGTTGAAGTTGATCTGGAAGGTGTGCGGTTGCTCCGCGGACGACGACGACGTGTCTACGTGAGAAGTGGGCAAACATTGTCGGGATCGTTACCACCTCGCGTCACGTCATCGCCCTCCTGCATACAGCGGACGAACAAATACGGCACCTTGCGTGTTTCTGAAACTAGCGATGGCCTGGCGGTAGGGGTTGGGCCAGTCGGGCCCGTCTGTCAGGTTGGCGAGGACCAGCAGTAACAGAAGGCTCTGATTGGACAGGGGTAAGGGGTTCTGCTCCTGGTCCGTCGCCACTTTGCTGCCGGCTCCGCCCAACGTGAAGACAGTCCAGAGTCCGCCTGGAGACGGGAAACACGGTTAAAATGTATTCAAATATTTCCGGTCCATCACCCCTAACAGGGTGTCAGTTACCCATAATTCATCATTGACCAGTTTCACCGTTGACAATATTGAATCAAATTGTCGCACCCAGCTTTCAATTTAGCCAAAGGCGTCTTGTTTGGTTTTCATTGTGTTCTACACATCTGGTTAGACTGGAGAGCACTTTGGGTCCAACTTCTTTTTCTTTTTACCTGCTTGATCTGAGCTTCAAGACTGAGTGAGAATTGCGGATCTATGGAGGTCTATGAATCTAGACCTTCTAACCAGTTTACTCTTCATAGAGCAGCACAGTCAGAATAAAGTAATCAAGGCCAAAACGAGCACAATGGACTCACACACACGATGCTTCGCAGTATCTGAAATTTGAAACAACATAGACGGCGCCACAGAACAAAGACAAACTGGAACGACGGGCCAACCGGAGTGAGTGGAGTTCATTTGTCTTGTTCGGGGGAAGGGGGGGGGGGGGGGGGGGGGGGGGGCGCTGCAGCAGTGCTGGTGCTTTCAGGCGCCATGAGAAGCACGGGAAGCATGAGCGCCGGGGTACACAGACGACAGCCTCTGGCTCCTTCACGTCTAGCCACACAGCACGAGCACGAGCCCCCAACCTCGTGGCGACGGGCCGTGCGAGCGTGTGGCAGGTCGACACTGATCGAGCACCGGGAGTTTGGGGAGGAGCCCAGTAGATTCGTTGCCATCTAGCGGCGAAGGACGGAAGAGCAGACATCCCCGATCCGTCTCCGACTATGAGACACTCGCGCCATCCGTCGCACAAAAAACCCCTTCAGGGGCGACACGCTTCATGCGCACTGACATCCTGCTGCATTAAGAGATTAAGTCAAGGAGAACGTGGGAGTTCACTTCCCTGTGTTTGCTTTCTGGACTGTTTAAAGAGGAAAGAGGCAGAACAAAAGAACAACTCGGGACCGTTTCCCAACCTCGACTTCATCAATTCCAAAGTGACTGAATACGAGCTCGGCCTTAAGCTTTAAACTTCTCAGTGACCCCTTTAGGGTTTGACATGTTGGTTCGCCGCTCACTTCACTGACGGAAAAAAACAGGCGGAAAAAATGAAAACGTTTAAATTTGAGCAAAAAGACATGAACTAACTGCATCCACAACATAAAGAAACACCCCAGAGAGAAATTACATCATTTATCTCTCTCTCTCCACAAGAGAAGTGAGTGAGAGGAAAAAAAGGGGGAGGGGCCAGTTGTGACGGAGCCCTGTTCATCTCTCCACTGGCACCAGGGTGACTGGCCCAATAGTGTCAGAGGGCCCGGTCTGGCAGCCACATTTCCTGCACTCCCAAACACACACTTTATCACACACACACACACCTCTCTATTTTACCTCAGTGGGTGCCGTTTGTTATCCGTCGGGCTCGGTTCCCCCGGCCGGTCTGCCTAGCCCACCACATAAACCCAATAATGCTACAGTGCTCCGGCCCTGGCCGGCCGCCCAGTGGAAAAAGAGGAGGAGGACAGGGAAGGAGAAAGTGGCGGGTGAAAAAGAAAGAACCACATGGACGGAGAGGCCGGCTTGCCGAAATCTGAATTTGGGTCCCGGGACTGCAGGAGGTGGGGTGGGGGGGGGGGGGGGGTCATTTAAAAGAGTCCTAGCACGAGACACGCAACATAACTGCCCCCACTAAGTCTTATATCATTCCAGGCGGGGTCCACTACGGGGTATCTACCAATCCACACCTGGGGCTGGTCCTAATATTTACAAGGGCTGTTAAACCGCTCATCATGACACAGTTTGTGGTTTAGAACAGAAGGCAGTGTGCCGGATCTTATTTTAAATGGCTGCATTCGACACAACTTCTGGGAGGAAACCCAAACTTTCTATATTCCGAACCGAAATGTCATCACGTGATCAAATATTTGCAGAATATTTCCCCTGATGTCTACCTCGCCTGACAACAAATTAGTCTTTACTGTATGTAAGAATAAGGAATTCGGTTAATCTACTTAGTCCCACCCACAGTAACACAAACGAGCCTCCTGTTTGCTTATGATTTGGATACACAGTTATATAAGAGATTTTTTAGAAATACAGAAGAATAAATATTAGGACATTATAAACTAATGAGGCAGAGGGCAATGCAATCGATATATTATGGACCGAAAAAACATCCACATCATACTGGAGGCGAATCACAAACTGATCGCGGCGCTTAAAACGGGTCATTTTCTGCTCAGTACTCATTGGAAAACTGCTGATTTAGGTCTTTGACACGGACCCACACAGAAATCCACCAATCACTTATGTGAGCGGCTTCAAGCCTGAGAAGATCAGTTTGGGTTCTTTTCTAAATACATTTCTGAGGAGAAGTGAAAGCCTGGACTTACTAGTGGCCCTGGAGGAAAAGTCTGGGGATCACAAATGGTTGTAGGAAATTTCAGTCAATACCTTTATTAAAGCTCCACCAAAGCTCTGCGAAATCTGCATTTTTAGTCCACGAGCAACATGTGTTCTAACATTTATGTGAACATCTCGGTGGCCTGTGGATTCGTACAGCAAAGGCAGCTTATGTGAGGAGTATTTTCCTCAAAGTAACAGCTGAGACCAAACACTTCAGTGCGCAGGGAGATGGAATCCAGACCGAATGTGCAACTCACTTAACAACTCGCATGGCACTGAATGAAATATGACGAGGAGGCCCACACAGATGCTGCACACACACACACACTCCAGACGTTAACGCAAAAATGCACATGGGGGAAAACATGCTGAACAGACAAGCAAGCAAACCATTCTGATAATCTTGCACAAACGAAAATATATGCAAGAAGCGTTTTCATCCAAAACGGATTAAAAGCCTGTGAAGACATTCCGCAGACTTAGTTCTGTATGCTCATAATCATAATAAAAAGCATGGGCTAAGGCCTTAAACGAATCTCCCGATACACTTGCTCAGCGTGACGAGCAAACGTTGTGTTGAGTGTGCCGTACAAACGAGGAGCTAACGCACAAACAAGACGCCTGTGTTTGTGTAGCTGTCAGCAGCATCGATGGAGCAGATTGGGACCAACGCCCCGGGACGACGAGAGAAGAGGAGCTGCGTTAGCCCCTCGATGGCAGCAACGTGGCACGTGGAATTATCTGCATTTCATGGGCGTCTGCTTGCAGGCAGATGGATGGCTTAACTAGTGTGGTGTGTATTTGTGTGAAAGAAAGTTAGATAGAGAGAGAGCATCAACAATTACAAGAATATGATCAGTCTAACTCAAATAACCGTATTGTGATATTGGCTACATTGGGTCTATTCTGCTCAAACTTAAGTGTATTTGCCATACAGTGTATGTATGTGTTATATATATTTATTTATTTAGACTTGTTTAGATCATTGTACTAATTGATAACAATTCAGTTAATGCTCATCTATGTACGTATAGCTGTTACTTTAGGAAAGCGTTGTTTTAGTCTGCTCCAATATACCGCCTCGGCCGTTAAATAACGGTCCAATTCTCTTGCACATAATGAGGGGGGAGAGTAGAATAGACGATTCGAGGCAAACGGGCGAGAGCAGACTAGAGTAAAATAGGAGTACAGTATAGAATCGACGCGAACATTAGAGCGCATTGGAGGAAGGACGGAGCCGATGTGGGGCGAGGACAGGGAAGAGGCTGCAAGCGCCTCGTCTTGGTGATAATCCTCGTGCAGACTCTCGGACAGCGGAGTGAGTAAGCGAAGGGAGGAGGAGACGTCCTCTCCACCCCCTCGTCCACATCCACACGCCGACGGAAATTAAGCTGTGCTTTGCCGATGCCCAGTGCCCGTTTCTGGGGAGAAATCCAGACCGTCTATGAATGTGATTTCACGTGCCACTAACATGAGGAACAGGACTTCCACAAATGAGCCGGTTCATGTTCAAGCTGTGCTGGCAGCATAAGAGAGTCCAGAACAATACATACTGTATGTGGAGTCATTATAGGGGGGAAAAAAAGGCATAAATCCTTCTGTTAGACCTCTACTGCCGTTTGTAACACACAGAAGCCATTACAAGATAATATGATTCATTTAATGTTATATTTATTGACTTTTTTCCTAATTCTGCCATTAAATGAATTTATTTGATATTTAGTGTTAATATAGAACACCACGTGCATACGGCCATTTTAAAACATTCAAACGAGCACAGCGTACTCTGCCAACCCCAGATGAGCGCACATGTGCACGAGACAGGGAGACGGAGAAAGAAAACAAGTGTTGTCTCTGAGCTCCGAGTAGAAGAGCGCCTGCGTCTCTGTTGGTCTGTGCGTGTGTGTACAAGGGAGGCGGCTGCAGACAGACGGGCTCTGGGGGATTACAGCACGGGGCACCATAACTCACTGGGCCAATCAGCCGCCACAGACAGACAGGCTGGGTCGAATGCTGATGGTTCATTGATAGGAATCTGCCACCAACAACCGACAAAGAGCGTTTATCTGCAGGGGGAAACCCGGCCCCATTCTCACACTCAAACAAACACACACACACGCACACACACACACACACACACACACACACGCACACAGAGCGTTATTAGCAGTCCGATACGGACGCACTCATTCCTTTTTGACTCATCACTTTCATCCACCATTACGGGCAGCATTGCACGCACTTAAATTTATCACATTATTATATCCCACTCATTTTTTGTTTGGTTTGTTTGTTTACTGACTGGCTCTCATCTCATCATTCCTACAATATCTCAAAATGTTTTTTACCAACCAGCTTCATTTTAATGTGGGAGACAGGGCAAAAAACTGATCAAATAATAAGAACAGAATATTTGCACCTCTTACGGGGGTAAAAAAAAAATAGTTTAGCTTCACATGATTATTAAAAACAAGTAGATTTCTCAAACACAAGATAAGGTTGACGGTTTCCCTTTTTTTGGATAATTCAGTATCCTGGAGTCAAAAGTGTGAGAGTACCACTAAAAAGAGTACCATTGAAAACAAAGTGAAAAAAACAACAAATAAAATCACTCTTCTTGTCTCCATAGAACTCGGCCATTGTGGTGAGTTTGTGGCATTTATAGAATATTATGACCCCCGTTGTGTCTTTTTGTCTTAACCCCGTGTGGATGTGCGTACTCGTACTTGCCACCCCCGACGCCAGGCCGTAGAGCAGACCTCCTTCGGCTTTGGGCTCAAAGATGTGGGTGGGCGGAGGACATTTCTCCTGCCTGATGAAGTTATAGAGCAGGGTCTTCACCAGACGACTCGTCAGAGACAAACTGGGGAGCACGGAGACAAATGGAAAGACAGGGTTTAAAAAATAATAATAAAAAAAAAAAAAAGACAGCCGGGGATTTAAATTGGTCTCAAGGCCATAGAGGACAAATCCCTCTCGTTGTGCCTTGACACAACTACGCACAGGTGTGTGTGTGTGTACAGCTGGACAAACTGAGATCCTATTGTGCGTCTACAGGTGTCCATATCAGGTGTCCTTTTACTCCTCCCTCATCACGCCGGCTCTCTCCCAACGAGTGACGTTACATCGCTATCCGATGACACGGTTTATTTCAAAACTACCAAAACATTTCAGCTGCTTGGAAGCTTTTCTTCAGCTCGGTAGCCATTAATCAATAGTTTTCTTGTTTGGATCCTGTGCTGAGGGAGCGCGAATAAAAGAAAATGACTTCCATTAGCTGTCCGCCTGTATGAAGTGCATTACTAGACTCCAGAACGCATTACGTGCTCCAGCATTTATCAAACCAGTTAAGGACCAAATCAGACTGTCGCTTTGATTTCACTTGCCTCATCATTTAGTAAGACTCCACATTTCCATTTTTTTTTTTTTTTTAACATGAGGACAATAAAACTTAGGAGCCTTGTTCAGTTTTCCTCTGAATCCCGGAGCACGAGGCCACAGCGGAGACGGGCCCCTCGTTTGAAAAGACTTATTATTAAATCGGATGACACACAGAGACGTTGTCTGGAACGCGATGAGTTTTGTCTGGGAGCACAGAGAGCATCACAGTCTGGATGGATGAACCGTGGGCCGGATCACATGCTGCCAGGAGAAGATCCAAAATGATCCGGGCCCGCGTTCAAAACGAGGCGTCGACAGATTGTGGACGACCCAGTTACAGAGACGGGGGAGTGCGACTCTCAGAGCAGCCAAAACTATAGGACATTAATCCATCCTCATGTCCTATTTTGAAACTTGTGTCGGGGGAGTCGCGGTTACGTTTTTTTTGTTGAATATGAGGGTTAAAGTCGTTTTAATAGTCAGTTTTGAGCATTACGTTCAATTTTCTGCCTCAGTAGCGCTTAAGCTGGTGTGAGTTTCCTCACCATCGCCCCTTCATGATGTGCTGGTAGATGGGTCCATCCCGGAGGATGTCTTTGTGGAAGAGCTGGTAGGAGAAGAACACCAGCAGTGTGGTGACTGCTTCAAACAGGATGCTGTAGGTGATGTCCCTGCAAGGAAAGACAGACAGTTAAGGAAGTACAGTTAATGCGAAGGAAGATGGTGGTTCCATATGTTGATGCTAAAAGCAAAGAGAGAACAAATCCTTCCCGTTGCTAATAACCTCTCTCACTGAGAGGTATGACTTGACTGTGTGTGTACAGTTAAGAGCTTTAGTAAATAGAATAATTGTTTCCATGATCCATTCCAGGTTATAAATTAAATGCATTATTATAAAATACAAAAGCTGATAATGGAAAAAAATATTATATATATCTGATATCAGGATCAATTATACTCTACTTAATTATTCGGCTCTCTACGTCACAATTCAAATACTTTTTTTTTTCCAATAAATATCATTCAGGTGTTCAAGTTACTTAATATCTCACAAAATAGATTTTGGTATAAGAATAAGAGAACGATGCGACGCAGGCGAGGGGAAAGGGGGAGATGCTGCTTCAAGGATTCGTGTTTCTGTGAGCTTGTTTTGACACCGCCGAAGGAGGGGCGTCGTCCACGGAGACGAGCGCGCCGGTTCTCTGTCTCCCCGTGACAGACTGAGTGGCGGGCGCGAGATAATTCCCGGCGCTGACGAGTAAACACGCTGAAGCATTGGCTCATTAAAAAGCGGAGCGTGCGGGGGGGGGCGCCCACGGGGAGCCCGAGACGATACCGCTTGTTCAATCACTGCGTTCCCGTCCCCTCCCACTCTTTCACTTCAAGTTGTTCTCACCGAAAACTATGGACGTCCTCTGCTTTTTTTTTTTTAATTTTATTCCGTCTCTTTACTCATCAGTAAGATCAGTGCTCATTTTGCTGAAATTATAATGCCAAACAAGTGACCCTGAACAGAGAAGAAGAATCAGTGTGTGGAATGTATAAAAAGCCCCTTCACAGTGTCGTATCCAATCCAATGTGGGACGGTTTAAACGCACGCACACGCACACGCACACACACACACACACACACACACACACACACACACACACACACACACACACACACACGTCGACATACTCACAGTTGGGGCACTTCTACGATCAGGTGGATCAGGTTGGACAACAGCTCCTCCAGGAGGTCCTCGCTGCCGCCTTCTGCACAAGAGAGACAGTTATTGTAGACGACATATAAGGCGGCTCCCTGCCGGCCATAGTCTCTCGTCATTGGGGTGCTTCTCACCCCCCCCCCCATCTCCATCTCCATATTTCATGCCCGCTGTACAGACGGACGGCATTGAAAGGAATGAGTTAAGTGGGATTAAAGGCTTTCTGCCGGGTTGAATTTAATACTTCAATACTTCAGACATTTTTAAGACCACATTGAATGCAATTTCAGAGCAGTTTCACCATCACGCCGGGCGAAGTATGAAAGTACAACGTAAAACCAGGAGAGACGGCGAATTATTGATTATTAAATCGTAGTTCTACCATTTCCCAGCAGTGCGGGGCAATAAAAGCTAATGCGGTAATGAATCAAATGAACGCGCCGTGCACACGGATAAGAGGCAGAAAATGAATGGATGGTTGAAACAAATTAATATGATTGTTATTGCTAAGATTCATACTTCCCCACTACGAGATGATGAGCTCCCCAGCTGCAGTGGCTTTTACAGGTATGACGGCGATAAATAAAAAAAGGGATTTGCGAGCCTCCTGCGAGTTAATTCAACTTTGGCAACAACTACCCTTCTGTGTATGAAAGGTGTGTCGCGACAGCCGAGAGAAAGAAATTAAATAAATGTAATGAGAAGATAAAGATGAAACTATTTTGTACTGTCATTTTTTTTGAAGACCTGCAGATCAGTGATCATCTTCCCTTTACCACTGCTATTGTCATTTGCAGGCATGTTTATTTGATAACAAATACCCGAAAACAGCAGGCCCAACTGTGTAATGTCTGCAGCGAGTCGCAAATGAGTATGTTTTTGTAAAGAATGTCACAGTTCGTGTTTGCGAGGGAATGCTGGAAGGTGGAATAACAAACAGTCATGGCAGGATGATAGAGATGAAAGAGGGTTGATTATATTTATCACGGCTGCACACATTTGCAGAGCGTTTGTTTTGAGACTAACTTCATACAGAACTGTGGTTGTAACGCGAAAAGTAATATGCAGTTATTGGACGCAGAGAGGCTTTTATTAACAGTCTGTCAGCGACCGCTTATACAAGTCTGTAGGAGGCATTCAATAAAAAATAAAAAAAACGAATTGGTTGTCTCTCTTTAGATTTGACATAAAGGGCTTTGCATTTGACTGTTGGTGGATTCTAATACCTCATATTTAAACATTCAAGGAGTCGACCGGGAGCCACTGTGGCTCCAAAAGACTTTTCAGCAGAAGAAGTGGATTTTTGCATATTGTTATGCATAAAAGGAAATATATATATATATATTTAAACTGACATGCAGGACCTTCATTTTTCTCTCAGACCATTAAGGTAAAACGAGAGGTTTTCACTTCTGCAACTCGGGCCCGCTTCAGTGACACAGCTTCCCTTTCCACAGTGGTCTGAAATGGACGGGCCTCACCTCCACAGGAGCCCAGCGCCCTCTCCTGGTACGAGAGCTGCAGGTGCAGCTCCGCTTCGCTCATCTCCCTGATGAACACCTTGAGCAGGCAGCGAATCATGAACAGTGCATTGTGGGCCTGCCAGATAAACAGCTGACTGTGGGGACAAAAAAAAAGAAACATCACCATCAAGGTCATAGATGGAAAGAAAGGAAATCGTTCTGTTACACCTCTTCATTCAAATGTTGCCATATCATTTGGAAACTGGAACCGAAGCCTAGCCTTTAATTTCGTCGTTGCAAATAGAAAAAAGACTCAGGTTATCACATTTTGGGCATCACCTCTCACCGAGCACAACGGCTGCAGTAGAGTAGAGGGTCAAATAAAGACGCTACCGACAGCCTTTGAGTTAATGAACACCCTCTTCCTTTGTACCACTTCAGATGGTGACGACGAAGCGTTCCCTCAATGCCGCATTACAGCCGACGCGAGGGGAGAATCATCGCTCTCCCCCGCAGCAAACAAGGAAGAAATAAAGAAATGATTGGAACCATCCGCCGTCAGCCCGAATGTTTCCCCAACCACCGACCTCCAACGCGGGCGGGTCCAACCGGTTCCACGGACTGACCCTTGGCACAGCGCGGAGGTTTGTTTATGGGATAAAAGTGTGCGAGCGGTTTGGAAAGTGGGCGAGGGCGTCCGGGGAGCGATGAATGCAACCTCTGACGGCGATTGATGAGGAGTGAAGCCTTCTGGGTACTCGGGCGGGGTCCATGTCTGTGGGCGTGGAGCTCGGCGGCGAGTGCAGAATTGTGCAACATGTGCTGACGGTTAAACCTCAGCAGTTTTCTCATGAGAAACAAACAACCACTGCGCACGTGAACACCATCAAACAATAACTGGCCCGCCCCCGCTGACGTGCACGTGGTTCCCATACTCACTCCTGGCATTCGGTCGAGATTTTCAGCTCTTTGGTTCTTCCGAGGAAAACTCGAACAAGAGCGCCAAAGTTCCCCGTCCTGGGATTGTTTTCAACTTGAAGAAGAAACAAAGAAGATAAAGAAAGATATATAAAGAAAGAACTTATATATATATATATATAAATAAACTTTCCAATCTGATAATTTGGCAAACAATATAACAAGCAACGTACTGAGGGTCTTGGCGAGGGGGATGACGGCCTCTTCCAGTAACTTGGAGTCACCACTGGTTTAAAGGAAGAGAATTAGAGAGAAAAGGAGCCTCAAAAGATATGCAAAAAAGACATTTATCAGAAGATATCTGTTTTCATGCTAGAAAGCACCAGTATAAAATATAGTTACTGGTTCACTCGATCAGTTGGGAGTATTAGTGGTTGATATGCACAACCGATATATTTGATATGAGCCCAAACTGGCAGGAACTGTTTACCGCAGACAATATGTCAACTATTGCCTCTTGTGATTAAACTTAAACCACTCCAATAGTCCTGTTTTTTATGTTAGCAGTGCAGATATCATAAAAGGGTCATTCCACATATGCGTGTGCTCTGTTATTAGCCCAGTCCGGTCTTTCTTTACTTCTCAACTAGATTTACAAATTAACTGGAAGTCAAATTGTTCCCATCCAAGCAGGACAAGAAACCTGTCAAATCATTACCGAGGTGAGCTCTGCAAACATCCGGGCTACGGTTTAATGTTTGATCCGGGTTGAGAGTCTTCAGGTTGTGTGTTGTTTTATAGATACTGGACCTCTTGAGAAGATACTTCGGGGGAATGGGTCAAAAGCTGAGACATTTTCAAGAAGCTGCGAGTAGCAACCTCAATAGTTTGATGTCCTCTATTAGACTGTAATGAAAACACTTCCAGGCGATGTGTAGTTTCCACAAAGTTCCATTCAGGAAAAGCTTTTACTGCAGTTCATTTTGCTTCCAATGTCTTTTCCCTCCTGAACAGGGCTATGAATCACTAACCCACGGTTTCCTTACTAGTTTCCTCCTGAGCTTTCAGCGGCTTTTTTTTCATGATCTTCGTGCAATACAATAGGACCTCATTTTCTGAATTAATTCCCTATTAAAATTGTCACTGCATGATGAGAAATGTGCATCTAAACTGCAACCGGGGAATGTTCCGCTCAAATTCCATTCCAAATTAACCACTCAAATTAACCAATTAAATTTAAATTTAATTAAATTTGAACCAATTCTGAAACTAATAATCATTGAATCTTGCAACATTCTGGATCATGGCCGGACCCACGTCTAACAGAGCCTTTTCACGTGTGCATGCGTGTGTGTGTGTGCGTGTGCGTGTGTGTATGTGCGTGCGAGTACCTGCTGGTGGGACTGATGAAGGTGAAGGAGATGAGCTGGTTCCAGAAAGGGTCATTCTCCGATATGGACTGTGTGCCCACCAGGGCCTTGAGGCTGGGGTTCTCGGACAGGTCACTGACCTGGCTGGTGTTTGCTCCCATCTCCCGCTCTGCTGGCTCCACTCAGCCAGACTCGCCGCTCTTCACTGCTTCTTTGCCGGGCATAGGCCGGATCCTGGGTCAGAGGAAACGGTGGCTTTAGGCTCCAGCCGTTTAACAGCAGCATCATCGGTTTGAGTCAGGGACCGTCATTTGTTGCTCTCTTTATCTGTAACATTTACTGAAGAATGCATAAACCTGCCTCGACCTCCAAAGTTATCCAGAAATGCTTGAAAGAAACTAAATTTGCTCTTATTATTCCTCGATTGTGAAATGGCAGAAATTCTTCCGATTCGTGTTTTCTCGAACAAGGACGGATTTGCTCAGTGAAAACCAGAAGGAATATTATCAAAGCCAATTCGATGACATAAACTGGCTTGAATAAAACAGCAAGTCTCATTTAAACACGAGGAGCCAGCCCATCATGTAGACATCTAAGTTCCTAAATAATATAGAGACTATAGAGTTCCCACTGGAACATGTCATGTAAGCAACACCCCCCCAGGTGTCCAATACATTTATTCAAAACAGAGGTCAAGTGGACTATTGGATGACGCATCAGGAAGCAGGATGTTTGTTTTGTTTTCTTGAAACACCTTTAGCACACAGCTGCTGCAGAACCCCACACAGAATGAGTTGACGTTAATAGCTATTTTTGTATTAACAGTAATAAAAAGGCAACAAAAAAATATGTCTTCTCATCTTTTTTTGCATTATCAAACAGAACTTTGTGGTTTGATCGGATTCCAAATGCTATCTCATGGGTCACAGCTGCACTGCATCGGCTGCTTGAGGTTAAAACAACTTGTCACGTTAGCTAGCTCATCCTGTTCCCGGTGCCGGGCTTGGTCCCGGCCATTAGGACTGTAATACCCGGCGAACCGAAAGTCACACATTAACATGAAATGGTAGCGAGGTGAACTGCGGATTGGTGCGCTCGCCCGGGTTTCCCGGGGCTGTAAACGACGCACCGTGCCCGGAAAACTGCTAACGTTGACGGCGTGTTTGCTATCAGCTGACCGCTTACCTGTCATAAATGCTTCTCGCAGTTTCTGTGTCCCTCGATCCCCAGGAACGTTAAAAGAGCGAGAAGAAGGTACGTTTATGCAGTTGATTTTTCTCGAGTGTAACTTCCAAATGCAAACCTTTCAAACAGGGGGGGTGGGTTGGTATTTAAGAAGATGAAGTTTACTCTAAATACTCCTTTCGTCCATGTTTTCCACGTTGCCACCCATTGCGTGATGACGACACACAGGCGTTGACGACGTCTACGTAAAGCCGTAGAAAGATAGAGTCGCGTCATGGGACGTTCTTTACGTTGGTTTTGCATTTCCCGTTGGTTTTTCGAGTCTCCTTAATAGTCTCATTCCATCACCTAAATCCACAACTCCACATTCATACACAAATATACTAACATGCGCATGTTTATTTTTACCTGTCGTGACTCTCATTTCAAGGCTCTGGTTTATTTATTTTTTGGTGACGTCGTATACAGGCCAACGGACCGATTGGCTGGCGCGTGCTTCCGCGTCTGCGTCGTTGCGTCGACGCACTCGTTTCAATTCCTGCAACAGGAAGTGCCTCAGCGAGTTGCCGGTGCCACAATTTGCGCCAGCCCTCTCTCCGTTGTATTCGACGCAATACGCACCTGCAGTACCACCTCCAGGCCGCTAGAGGTCCGCTCCGACACGTGTGCTGTTTCAGTCGCAGCGAGTTCACGTGTGTAGTGCCGGAATACAACATGTCGGCGTTCAAGAGAAAACGTGGACGACAGGCTCTTGCTGGTAAAAAGGCAAAGAAAGCGAAAATTGTTGCAGATGGGGCCGAAGAACCACGGGTAGCTGAACAAGAGAAGAGTAATGAAGCCACCATTCCGCCCCCTGTTTCGTCGGTAAGGGCTCCTGCTTGTTATTAGCCACCAAGGTAGCTAGCTAACTAGCTAACTTAAAACATGGGCTTGTGTTTTCTAAAACGTAAGTAACGTTATTTAACTTCGTAGTTTTACTGATAACACCGGGTAGTTAAGCCACGTACATCGAATCGTATCATTACAGCATTATGACAAGAAAGTCGTTCAAATCGCACGGTTTCACACTTGGCAAACGTGGCTAAGCAAACATCTAACATGTTGAGTATCTCCTGCTCATTTATAATAATGAAGATAGAATAGAATGTGATAGATAAGATAATTGAGCCGAACGCCATCGTAATGAGCGTGTTTTTGTTTTGTATGTCTTTAACAGGGCAGATGGACCAACAAGGAAAGAGTTCTCATTTTCTCCTCAAGAGGCATCAGCTTTAGAACAAGACACTTGATGCAAGACCTGAGGACCTTGATGCCTCATTCAAAAGCAGGTTAGTATTCTTTCACCCCACAACATGAGCTGACACCACTTCTTACTTGTGTCAAGTGGAGATACAGGTTTTGTTAATTATACTGCCTTAACCGCTTGCTTTCTTGATTTTTCTTAGATACAAAAATGGACAGAAAGGACAAGTTGTTTGTCGTTAACGAGGTGAATTATCTTATTATTGAAAATCCAAACGTCATGTATATCACATAGCGGTATTACTAAATATCTGTTTTGTTCCCAGGTTTGTGAAATAAAAAATTGCAACAAATGCCTCTTTTTTGAAGCCAAGAAGAAGCAGGACCTCTACATGTGGTGAGTCATTTGTGTTTTTTTACTACAACTAAACATTTTAAACCCTCCTTTTTGAATTGCGGTTATAGAAAACATCCAAAGATGATTTCATCAATGTCCTTTCCCTGCAGGATTTCAAACAGCCCTCATGGACCTTCAGCAAAGTTTCTGGTGCAAAACAGTGAGTTACTTCCGTCCGTCCTGCAGTTTTTAAGCGGAGTAGACGCGTGCCGTGGGGACAAACTGGTCAATGTGATTGTCTCTCCACAGTTCACACGCTGGCTGAGCTCAAGATGACAGGAAACTGCCTCAAAGGATCCCGGCCGCTGCTCTCGTTTGATCCTGTGAGTAGTACTGGCCAGAAGGAGAACTGAGCTACTCCGACCAGAAGATAACTATCAGAAGTACTGGGGTTGTGCAGCTGTGACACAACTACCTTGAATCCACCCGAACGTACCAGATTTATTGTTTGGATGTGGATGAATTGATCTCTAATATGACAGATTTGTTCTTCTACACCTTCATAGATCATGCATGAGTGACCTCCTATAACAATCCATCTTAAATATGCATTTCTGTATGTCGACAACTGCTAGATTGCTAAAGGTAAGAGTGTAAATATTAACAAGAGTTGTCTTCTCTTTTCTTCAGAAATTTGACTCGGAGCCCCACCTTGCTTTGCTGAAGGAGCTCTTCACCCAGGTGTGTGGACAACATGCAAACATTATTTCTAAACGTTTAATGAAGTACATCTGATCAACTGTGGCCAGAAGATTGTTGTTGCGTGTCATTGAACTGGAATGCTTAACAATCTTAACATTTGTTTATCTGTCATTGAGCATAATTGACTACTCGAAACGACTGAGGTTCTCTACTGTTGCGCTGTGTTGGATTAAAGTTTACTTGATGTAATTCTCATTGTTTGGATTCAGCAGGGAACTTTGGAAGAAGATTCTTTCATGTGTATTTTTATATTGAAGGATGTACTCAATACGTTTTACTGTTGCAGACATTTTCCACCCCACGCTACCACCCCAAGAGTCAGCCTTTTGTGGACCACGTCTTCACATTCTCCATCGCAGACAACAGGATATGGTTCAGAAACTACCAGGTAACCTAGAATTCACTCATCCAGGCTAACATTTGTATTTGTCTTATGTTCTTCTGTTGTGGGTTTGGTTCTCAGATATTTTCACTCAGCAAAAAATATGATCTCCCTTTTCAGATCATGGAGGAGGATGCCGCTCTAGTGGAGGTCGGCCCCCGCTTCGTTCTCAACCTCATCAAGGTCTTTCAGGGGAGCTTTGGAGGACCCACGCTTTTTGAGAACAAAGACTTCAAGTCTCCTAACATGGTAAAGGTTCTAGTTTGTACCGTAAGCACGTTATGTGCCTGATTTATGCCGTGTCATGCCTTTCTGACTGTCTCCTGTCTGTCACGCACACAGCACCGGCGAGAGATCCGACTGTCTGCAGCGGCCCGAGTGCGTGAGAATCAGATGGTGAAGGAGATGCTGAAAACAAAGAGGGCTGAAGCTAAGGTGGAGGTAGTCAAAGACGTCACAGCAGACGTCTTCCAGACGCCGGCTCAGGAGAAGGCCGTTCACATCCAGATGGAGGCACCCACAGCAAGAGTACTGAAGAAAAACAAACTCAAAGCGCTCAAACAAGAAAGGAGGGCACGCAGATAACTGGATTGGCCAATGAATGGCTTACTGCTGATCTAAAGCAGTATGCATAGCAGACGAGGTGTTACAGTGCAGTTGAGTCCATTTTACGAGCTTTGGTAGGTTAAAAAAAATGAAGACTTACAACGGTGCAACATATTATGACTTTTGGCAGAAAATTTGAAATATACACGTGTTGTGTTCGATGTCCTTTGCCATAGTTTGTGTGTTCACACAACACATTTATTTGCTCCCTCCTTCCGGAGGACCATACTGTTTGTAGCTGGGCCAGCTTTATTCGCAAACAATATTTACTCATCCTTTTTTGATAAACGTATTCCAATGTAAAAAAAAAACATTTTGAGTGACCATTTCTTTTCAATGTCCTGAAAATAAAACCATTTTAAACTCTTCCTGTGTTATCTGATGTTTTTTAAACATGGAGGACATTTGAAGTGCATGAAAGTCAAAGGCCTGTGGCGTTCTAACCTAGTATACACAAACTAGACGTGAGCAAAACTCCCCTAAATGGGCGTCAACCAGCTGACTGCCTGTTGAGGACTGACTGGTCTACAAACGTGTCCCGCTCAAAACGTTACAGGTAATGTCTTCACAAAAGAATCTAATGCATTTACAGTAGCGTTAATCTTTCCATGTACTTATGGCAAAGAATTACTGGACAGGACCAGGTATGTTACATTTCCTTTCTACAAATCCAGTGGCAAAGCTCCACGCAAATGATGGGCCGGCTCATGTAGAGACAACACCACTGTTCCCATTGTCCATTATACCCGTAAAGTCCAGTATGTTTCAGTCCTGAGCAGCAGCTCTGCTACCTTTCTGCAGACTTTACACCCTTTCAAAGCGACTGTGCCTCCCCCTGAATTCATTCAACAGACAGATCACTCCTCCTCCACCTCTTCATCAGGACAACAAAAGTATTCCACAAAGCAGATCTGTCCGTCGTCGTTTCTGACCAGGTACTGCAGAGACAGGAAGCCTCTGCTGTCTGTCCTCACGGAGACTTTACAGGACAAAGCCAGGGCTTTGGTAGACGGCTTGAGAAGGGACATCTTGTACCTGAGTGTGACAGAGAGGCCAGCGCACAGTCACTTTTACATTTATGTAATTACTCACTCTGATCTGAAGTCAAATGTCTCCCATCAAACATTTCAATTAAAGTAGAGTACAGCGGTATATGAATTTGATAGTAATCGCTTGTTTTTGGCTTTTTAAGCACCATGTATTGATATCTGTGTGCTAACCTGTTGGTTTGTGTCTTGTCACATCGAAACAGCTCCATCATGTCTGAGTCTTTGGGATAATCATAATGGGCATTTCCAGAGTTCCCAAATGTAGACAATCTAGAGAGCAGAACAAATCCCAGAAGTATAACACAAGAAAAGTAAAATTAAGAATCTTTAAGTTTGATTTCTTCACTTTTAAAACGTTTTTCCCAGTTACAATAATTAAATGAGTATACATGGATTATAAACATAGTTCTTTGGATCAGCAATATATTCATTAACCAAATATGCAATTAACATTGAACTGTAGAAAAAGGATTGGCAACACACCTGAAGTATGGCTGGCTGGGGGACATGGTGATCTGCAGCACCTCGCTGGTCATGTCCAGCTCAGAGAAGGCTTCCTTCAGACTCTCTGACTGCAGGATCACCTTTTAAAAGAGCCAGAGGTATTTGCCTAATGTATGTAGCAGTATATATAAAACACAGTACATGAATTACATGAAGTAGTGTAAGTGCACCTTGTTTGTGACGTTGGTGCTGCAGAACTCAAAGTCTACTGGCTCCTCCGGTTCTTGTGTGTTGATCTTGCACACTGTCACTACCCCGCCCTCCTCCAGGAACAGGGTGAGGGGGTAACCGTACCCCCGGTAGCACATCCGCAAGGCTGTTGATACTCCTTCAGCATTGCACAAGAGACATAATGTGAGATTGATACTTATTCAAAAACACCAAGAAACTGAGTCAACTTTGTTTGAAGAGGATTTAGGATGTACCAGGGACTGTGCTTCCGCCAAAGATACTAAGGCAGTCCAGCAGAACTGTGAGGTTGACCTGGAAACCCACCGAATCTTCGCGTATGGTGAACTCTTGGAAGATCTCCGCCTGGAAGAAAAAGAAGACATATCTGTAGTTCCGGGCTTTACTGCCTTTCAACCAAATGCCTCTCTCTGCGCATGCTCGACAGCAGGGGATACGGATGGGCCTGCTGGTAAAGCAAACCCACCTGGATGAAGGCATTGGCCTGCAGACATTTGGACTCCTCCACGGTGACCTTCAGGCCGTTGGGCGTGGCGCTGAAGATGGCGTGGTCTTTGAACGTGATGGCTTTCAGAAGGTTGGACAGATTGCGCGCGTTGTCCAAACTGGCCACTAAAACGTATTGCTCGTCATCGGCCTGCGACTGCGTTGACAGAGGCATGGCGGCACTGAAATTAAGACACACGGTATTCTATGAGAATTTATTGTGAATGTTTTATAGACGACAAACGTGTCATTGTATAGTATTTAACGTCACTTAACTAGTTCAAGCTGGGCTAACGGTACCTAAGTTAACGTTATATGACAGCCTAACACATGAAACGTTATTTGGTGAAGAAATGAGACAACGATCATTCGTGTCATTAAATGTATGTTAGCAGCCACAATAAATACACATTAAGGTGTTTCAGGTAACGCGACAGTTACTTACAAAGTTTTATATTGACGGTAGAATCTTATCTACATTCAGGTGTTTTGAAGAAGTGCGCCGCCGACAACTTCCGCTTCCGCCTTTCACTACGGAAGTCAGCTTTGCGCATGTGCAGAAACATTCCAGGTACTCAGCAGCGGAGACGAAAACACCCAATAAATATCCTCTCTTTAGTGGCAGAAACCTCACGTGTCAACAGATCCAAAGAGGTGAGAATTATAACCGGTATACACTTACACCTTTAATGGCTTTAAAAATATTTTCCCGACTGGGCTATATATAATGTCGTATACCGTTTACGTTCCCCGAGCCATGGCAGGAAGCTAGCATTAGCTAGCGTTAGCTGAGATGACGGAGTGCGCCGTTAGCACTATTTACTTTCTTAAGCGAAGGCTCAGCCGATCAACGGGTCTTTCTTGGTTTAGTCTTTACTCAGGGCTTTGATACCTGGGGGAGGGATGCGTATTACATGTGGTTACGTGTAATGATGTAACGTTACAGCACGAATATTTTTCTTTTAAAATCAGCATGTTACAGTTTGTTATAATAACAAGTAAATCATATTGTCAAAAGTGAAAATAGTATATTTTTCCCAACTCTACTTCTACAAAGTGAGTGTTGTTTCGTTTGACAATCTATAATGCACACTTGGACAGTTGCAGAGGAAATTGAAATAAACTGAAAGATTGCATATATTACTGTACTTTGTCCAAGATTTGTGGACGCACAGATCTTACCTCTCCCATCACAACAATGTTGCAGCTACATTGCAACCATCTAGTAAAACACATTGTAGCAAAACATTTTGGTTGGACAGCATCACTAAATGTAGTCTCAAGACAAGAACGTGTATTTTCACGTTTTCGAGTATTGAATTTCCTGAGATGTTTTAGGTGTTCATCCCTTTTTGAACACCTCCTTGCTGGGTACAAACTGTTGTTTAATTTTAAATTAAAGTTAATTATCATGGAAAAAATGGTCACCTCATTGCTCACAAAGATAACCATGTTTAAAGCGCTGTGGGTTGTGTGAGATAAAACATTGTTATATTTGTTTTGACATGTAAATCGCTGTGTGTTCTTCTACCTTCTCTAGATCGTGTGTCTAAGCTGCAGTCATGGTGTGCATCCCCTGTATTGTGATTCCTGTCCTGTTGTGGGTCTACAAGAGGTTCCTGGAGCCTTACATCTATCCTTTCATTTCACCGATTATCAATATATTCTGGACCAAAAAAGCGGTCCCGGAGACTGCGGCTAGTGACCAAAAAATTAGCGACAAAAAGAATGGAACTTTCACGGTAAGTGGATTTAATAGTAATGATATTATTAACCATTGTAATGTTAAATTCTTTTGCTTTTATTTAGTTGTGCTGGGCTCAATATTATCCTGCTCATGTGAATGTATGACATGTAAAAGCAGGGACCACTTAAACACTCATACAGACACTGAATCTATTTCTTGTAACTAACACCTGATGCATTTTGAGTGTCTGGTTGCATTTCATTTGATCTAATCCCAACTCACACTGTTGTTAGTTTGATTGTATGTTGCTAATAACTGCATTTTTAAAGACATTTTCCTTCTCATGTGTTTCAGCCTGAAAGCAACGGGGAGGCAGCTGCCAATGGATCCACTATAGTAGCAGACAAGAAGACCGATTGACAGCTCTAAATTATTATAACTCATTTAAAACTGTGTAAATATTCCAGTTGTATAACCTAGAGAAACTATGAATTAACTTATAATAATTGATTGAATCAAGTGGTTTTTAAGACCCTTCTATATTATCGTATCTTGTTTTTAAAAAAATTGAATTTGTATAACAGTGACTTTAAGAAATGTTTTATTGTTGATATATGCATTTACTCTCAAGAGATTAGTTTTTCTAAGACAAACTTAGTTTAATGAATAAATAAATCAAAGAAAACCTTCAAATATTTTGTTTGTTATTTTGGAGGCGGTAGGGAGAGATGGAGACCCTACCATTTAAATTTCCTGCCATATATTTCCTGGAATTATCTACATGAGGCACATGAGGTGATTGTCTGACCAAAACCACTCAAATGTAAAACATAGAGAAATGTATTTATAATGTGAGTTTGAAGTGTTTTATTTAGTGATGTAAATTATGAAATGGCAGCCAGTAAACTCACCTCCAACTTTGTATGAGACGTGACACTTTCTTTGGAGCCTAAATACTCAACGTACATTGCATTTAAGCACATTAACGAAATTAATTGTTTTTTTATTCCATCTCACTTTGAAGCCTTTAAGTCCAATTTAAACATACCAAGTCAAAAAATAGCAAAATTACCTTATAAAATACCTACAATGTGTATGTTTGAAAGTTAATTTAAAATTTAGTTGTATGAAAGGTTCAACTTTCACCACTAGAGAGCACCATGGTATTATAACCTATATACATTCTATGATTATAACTAATAACAGTAAGATGGCATATCAACAATCCCAGATTCACTGTAGAAGAAGTATAAACAGGTAATCAACGTGTATTGTATCCCTTCGTGGTTGATGTATTAATTTGATTGAAGTTATAGAGGACAACATACAGAATTAGAACTCTGCACATACACGTATTACATGTAAAATTATCTCTCTTATATTGTTTGGCATGCAGAATCTTAACTGTTGGATCACCACACAGGTAGTTGTTACGACCGACAATGTATCGCTCAATTGAATTGAATTTACGGTACGAACAGTAGAGGTCAGTAACACTTGTTACAGCTTCCACGCAATTCTCGCGAGATTTGTCGGCCCGCACAGTACAACTATGTACTAAAAACAGTGTACAGTGCTGGCACCGGGTCGTAAGTTAACCTAACGTTATATTGAGCTATTTTTAGTTATATTTGGGCATATTTCAATTTATAAGAGCCACATCACACTAGTGTCTCTATCATCCGAGAAGTATTGGTGATTTAGTCATAAAGATGTTGCCGGTTGCTAGCACGCTGCAGTTAGCATAGCTACAAGCTAGCTCCGCCTGGGACAACGCGAGGAGCATCTTTCCTGAATAACGTTATCTAAATTAGTCCCGATTCACAATGAAGTGTCACTATGACATCCTGGACGTAAAAAGAGACGCGGGGGACGGCGACTTGAAGAAAGCGTATCGTAAATTAGCACTGAAATGGCACCCGGGTAAGTTGTGTTAGAAATAATTCCATGATATGTCAGTTAACCGGTGTAACGTTATCGCTGCTCTCTTATCACTTCAGCCTTTGGCCTAAACTACCTCAGAGATGCAATGGAGGTGTTGGGTGTAGAACGCATTTGTGCTTCCGTGATATCAACTAACAGGAATCCTCCGTTTCTAATGCTGTAACGTTACACGTTTGTATCACGTCTTGGTTCATTCCCCTCGACTTTAACATCATCAATGGTTTCCGTCTGATATCATTTGCAGATAAGAACCTGGACAATGCGGATGAGGCGGCGGAGTATTTTAAGCTGATTCAAGCAGCTTATGATGTCCTCAGTGATCCGCAGGAGAGAGCCTGGTGCGTACTGATGTTGGCAGGAGAGACGAGTGGCACTTTCTGTGGCAGTGGCACTTCCTGTGGCTGCCACGGCTTCCACTAACAATCACACGAATCTTAAATGTGGATAGCTATTTCTTTTTCATCCGTATTTTGTTCCACTGCCTCTAAGTGATTATCATTGTCGTAGCAACAAGTGCCAACTGACCTTAGCCTTTATTAGTGTATTTTAATCAAATGGTTTTAATATCAAGAACCTCAATGTGATGTCACATCACACATAAGTGTGTTGTTTGTGCGAGCCGTGTGGCTTCAGTCAGCTTGTGTTGGTTTGATTCCACTGTTTCCTTCTGTGTCGCAGGTACGACAATCACCGGGAGGCTCTGCTGAAAGGAGGAGTCAGTGGAGATTATGAAGACGACAGCATTGACCTGCTGCAGTACTTCACGGTCACCTGCTACTCCGGCTTCGGAGATGACGAGAAGGTGAGAAGTCGGCAGTGACACGCGGCCACGTCCACCATTCAACCGGCGTTTTTCTTCAGTCCAGTTCTTGATCTGGAAGAGAAGTGGCTCTAGAATCAGGATCTCAGTCTGCCAAAGACATTTCAGCGATTTACGTCATCATGACAAGATGACTAGACTGTGGCACCACATCATTTAGGACCGTCTGTCCTTGTTGGTCGGCAGTGCCACTAAGGGGGAAGCGGTAATGACCTCATCAAAATGCAGATGGCAGACAATGACAACACTCAACAGAATTGTGCCTCACTTAAAAAAAAAAAAAAGCTAATTTGTGTAACGCAATAACACACAAACCGAACAGAACCGTACAGGGAAACCAAGCCAAGATCTGATGAAACCCAGGAAGAATATTTGGCTTTGACACAGCATACATCTCCTTGACAACAGGTGCTCTGCTTGGTGCTGGCAGGTTCTTCCTTTGGGGGCATGAATTCATTCCGCATCTCGGAATATATATTTCTTTTCATAAATAATTCCCTTTTCATTTGGATCTGTCCTTTTTTTCTTTTCTTTTTTAGGGCTTTTACGCTGTCTACAGGAATCTCTTTGAGTCCATTGTGAAGGAGGAGATGGAGCATGTCAAGGTGGATGAAGAGGAAGAAGAGGAGGACTTTCCTCCCTTTGGAGACTCTGAGAGTGACTATGATAGTGTAAGCCAGCAGCGCACCGAAACCACTGATTCAGTTACATGAATAAAATAGCACATTTAAGGAAACCTTATTAGTCGGCCCGTGTACTCATCCACTCTCTGCATTTGCAAATGGCAGGTAGTGCACGTGTTCTACGGCTGCTGGCAGAGCTACTGCACTCGCAAAAACTTTGCCTGGAAGGAGGAGTACGACACGAGGCAGGCCTCCAACCGCTGGGAGAAAAGGGCCATGGAGAAGGAGAACAAGAAGACCAGAGACAAGGCCCGGAAGGAGCGCAACGAGCTCGTGCGCCAACTCGTTGCCTTCGTCCGTAAGCGCGACCGGCGCGTGCAGGCCCACAAGAAGCTGGTGGAGGAGCAGAACGCGGAGAAGATCAAGAAGGTGGAGGCGCTGCGGCGGGAGCAGAAGCTCAGCCAGGCCAAGTAAGTCGTGGCCGTGTAAACGCGACACGAGTCTTTCTCCGGGTCTTCCTTGTACTCTTGACGCTGCTCTGTATGTCCCAGGCTGGCGGAGGAGTACAAGGAGCAGAGCTGGGCGGCCATGTCTGAGCTCGAGAAGGAGCTGCAGCAGATCGAGGCTCAGTGCGGGGAGGAGTTTGGAGATGCGTCGGAGAGTGAGGAAGACGAGCTGAACAGTGAAGAGGGAGGAGGTGAGTGGGAAGTTTGTCTCTGGGGTTCAAGCCTCGCGTCTACGCCTGTTTTTATGGGTTTCGGAGGCACACACACACAGCAGGTGCATGAGCACCGTAACACACTGATTTGGTGTGAGAGGTTTGACACGGCATTTGAAATGCCAGGTCAACGATATCAGCCATTTCCGCTGATTTAAACCGGTAAGTGATGTGTGTGTGCTTGGTGCTTTTCTTGATCGTTTCTTTTCTCAAATGCATCAATATTCATTCACAGAAGCAGAGCAGCCCGAAGGAGACGGACTGACGATTGATGATTATTATGATGATCTGTACTGCGCAGCCTGTGACAAATCCTTCAAATCAGATAAAGCGTGAGTGACCTTTTGACTTCACTCCACCTGCTTGTGCCTCATGTGACTGTGTATTGATGTGCGATGTGTTTACATTTCGAGTGACAATGTCAATTGTTGTCATTGTTCATGTGTTGTTTCTGCCTTGTTTTTGTTTTCTCACTCTTGCGTTTTTATTCACCCAGTTTAGCTCATTTAGTTTATTTATTAATTATTTTCAATAATAAAATTGTTGTAGGTAATGATGCAAATCTGTGAATGGTGTTTATCCACTTCACACACTGTTATTAATGCTGTTTTCTTTCCATTTTTTAATCTCCTTTCTTTGTACAGTATGAAAAACCATGAAAAATCCAAAAAGCACCGGGAGCTAGTGGGTTTGCTACGACAACAGCTGGAGGAAGAAGATAATTCATTTGGTCTTAACTTAGACCCAAAGGAGGGAATAGAGCAGGATGAAGATGAAGAGGAAGAGGAAAACCGGCCACGGCAAAAGTGTGTCGCTTTTTCTTTTCACCTCGTTGTCCCGGTGGTGTGAACGGCCTGATGACTCGTCAACATTTACCTTTACCTTTACATTTTCCTTTTCACTTCCTCAGGCTGTCCAAAAAGCAGAAGAGAAAAAAGAAACAGCAGAAAGTGGCAGAGGTGAGGGTCGTCTTCTCTCTCTTTCAGAAGCGCTGTAAGGGTTTCAGCGTGTGGCGAACCTAACAAGCCAGATGCGTTCATGCTCTTCTGCCCACAGCAGAGTGCTCCGGAGGAGGTGGGGGAGCAGGAGGAGGGGGAGGTGGAGGTGGAGGAGGTGGAGAAACCAACAGTGACCACCAGTGAGGTCGACGCCCCCGCGAGGTCAGAGACCACCAAAGAGACTGAGAAGCAGGGTGACCCCTCTCCTGCAGGAGTCACGAGGTCAGTCCCGTTCAGTCCGTCTGTTGCTGGGCAACTATTTGACAGCTAGTTTCAGTGGAGTTTTTTTCCTGTTGTAAATGAGCTCGGCGGGATGTTATGAGTCATAGAATGTTAAGCACTAGCAGAGAATGACTACAGCAGTAGTTTTAGATTGAATGCTTTGTATTTCTGAATGTCATTTGTACTTATTTGTTGACTAAATGTTTCCTCAGCAGCTCTGGGAAGACAAAAGGAAAGAAAGGAGACAAACCGAAGAGTGTCAACAAGTCTAACACTGGAGTGGAACAGATTCCGGAGGTTGGTGCCGTTAAACCCAGAGTTTAAGAGGATTTATGGGAGTGGTTGTCTACATCTTGGTCCATTTAAAGATTGCCTCAATACAAATCTTACACCAACTTTACGCTATTACATCATTCACTGCTAGTAAATCGTTCCCTGGTCATATTATTAAATCACATTTCCATCTCCAGAGTGAAGTAATCCTCTTCTGTGTGACCTGCAACAACGAGTTCCCCACAAGAAACAAGCTGTTTGACCATCTGAAGACCAGCGGCCACGCCAGCGCGCTCTCCTCAAACGGTCCTCACAGCTCCGTGAGCAAGAGCAAAAAAGACAAGAAGAAGAAGAACAGATAACACGCCTTCATCGGGGGTCGACGGGGCGGGGACACAGGAATCTTTGAGGGCGAGCGAGAGAAATACAAGAACCTGTTGAAGGTGGACCTTTAATGGACCCGTTGGCTCAGCCTGAGGGATTGTTTTTATTTTTTATTTGTTACCTGATTATCCTGTTTTTAGCGAAGCAGTTTTTTTGGGGCGAGCGATTGAAACTCTAAGTACATTTCAAAGTAACTTATAAGCGTCTCTGTGCTGACGAACCATTGGAGGAAGAACATACAGGGTGTGAATACGTCCTGTTTTCTGACCCGTTACCGTTTAGGGAATCCCGTCTGTTGGTTTGTCAGCTCTGTGAAGGCATTACTGCTTCATAAAAATAAAGGTGATACTGCACACCGGTATTTATACGACAACTCTGGAATGATCTCCACTGATACCTCTAGAAACAATTTCTAACAATAAAATACAGTATGTTCATTTAAATGTTTCATTGGGGACACATAAAACCAAAATGACATAATTGAGAAAGCATTTCATTGCCCAGATATTTGCAATACAAAACAAGTCAAACAAGTGATAACTGTTACAATTAGATATAAAGGTGACAAATAATCATCATTGGATTAATTCATGGATTAAAAAGTAATTAAGAATTAGTGATATTTCCCACGTGTGAGAAAAAATGAGCTTGTTATAACATGCAGAATATATTAAGGAGGTGAAGTACCTGCTTACAAATGATTAATAACACTGTTTCACAACAGGACGAGAATAATTATCTATTTAACATTTGACGGATGTACAGCAGTCAGCTGCTGAGTGGTGGTGTTTCATTTCCTGCCATCGACTTTCTCCTCGGACCCGTTCATTTTCTGTCCGTGTAGCTCTGCACAGCCTTGTTAAAAACCGCGAGGAAGAAATCTACGTCCTCCTCTGTGATGCACATCGGGGGCTGGATGCGGAACGTCTGAAGGGGGAAAGAAGACGGGAATTGTTCTGTGCAGCATTTCTGCACATGCGATCAGAGACGCAGCTCGGAGTAATTATGGGCCAGTGTGGCATTCCTGCGACATATAATAATAATCTGAGGAGGGAGAGGTGGAGCGAGTTACCTGTCCGTACACTCCTCCCTTCCCTATCAGGACTCCCATGTCCTTTATGTGCTCAAAGATCTCACTCATCGCCTCGGGAGGCAGCGGGTCTCTGCTGGCCTGTGGACGACACAGACGATGCCCCAATAAATAAACTGAAGGTAAGAACACTATTCATCTGCACGTGTCCAAGCAACTAACAAGTTATCCTCAATGGTCCGACAGGCTTCTACACTGTAGTGATTAATAACAAGCAGTTAAGAGGCAGACAGTTCGAACACGGCAGGAGTATTGATTAATCTGCATGGTAAATAGTGTCGGTTTTGAATATTAAAAGGATGAAATTATAGAAAAGAAATTCTACAAATAGAAAAAAGAAAAGATGAAGGGAGGTGAGTGGTAAATAAAATGAATACCTTGTCTTTAACCATTTCCACACCGATCTGCAGGCCTTTTCCACGGACGTCCCCGATTATCTCGTACTGGTCTCTGAGATCTGCCAGTTGTTTCATCAGATAGGTTCCCACCTTAAGACTGTTCTGCTGCGTGCCGTCTTCTTGGATGGTCTGTCAAAGTCAAAGTTCAACTGACTTCACTCAATCCTCCTTTTTTACTGTAAACAAATAATGTTGGGGCGGTGGTGGGCAAAGTGTGATTGAACAGGGACATAATACGTGCAATTTCACCCTGTAGAGAATCATGTCCCAACGTCAACTATAAATTCCTCCACTTGGTTGTAATTCAGAACGCTTGAGTCACTGTGGACTTTTGACTGCAGCTTATAATCTTGTGCCAATGAACAGGACTGATGTGTAAAGAGAAGATTCATTCTCACGTCGAGCACCGATGAAGAAACAGCACAAGCCAGAGGACTTCCTCCGAAGGTGTTGAAGTGCACGGCCTTACCAAAGGAGGCAGCGATTGCTGGAAAACACATAAATGAACAAGCTCACACTTCCAGCCTCTGCTGCATCAAACAAGGTTTTTCTGTCTTGCATCATAATCTCACCGGGTGTTGTAACCACAGCTCCCATTGGGAATCCATTACCAATGCCCTTCGCCATGGTAACCATATCGGGGATGACGTCGTGACCCTGGAAGCCCCAGAAGTGGCTTCCTGTTCGCCCGAAGCCGGTCTGGACCTGTCAGGCGCAAAACAGATTAGTTTCTAGACATTTTTAATTCAGGTGTCATGAGACAAGACGCAAGCTAAAGAAAAAAGATTGAACCACATTGAACCCGAGTTCTGGGAAGTACGTTCTCACATTGAATTTTACTTGTTGAGGCCAATAGTCCCCGAACTTACACTCGTTACACCGGTTCACTTCATGTCCTTAATACTTGATACTTTGTGTGGCTAACCTCATCTGCAATGCAAAGCCCTCCTCTCTCTCGTACTAGTTGGTAAGCCTCCTTAAGGTAGTCTCTTGGGTACTGCACAGCTCCTCCCATTCCCTGCACAAACAAAAAACATCCCACGGACCCGTCTTCATCAACGCAAGCAGTCACACTAAACACGAGGAAACAATCATCATAAAAGGATACACTCAAGTTTGACTTGTCAGATCAACACCAACTGCAGAAAAGGATTTTATACCTGAATTGGCTCTGCAAATAAACCAGCAATACGGCTTGGCACACTCGTAGCAAATGTCTCTCTAAGCTGTCCGATGTAAAGGTCATTTGCCGTACAGTGACCTGTGTGAGGAAATTTTGCAAAAGAAGTATAACAAAAATAGTTCACTTAATGTCTTTCCATATAAGACCAAAGTATTCCAAAGTATTAAGCCATTTGAAATGTCCCATATTAAGTTCAACATGTTGTTATTGGAGGAATATTGCAGGAATTGTCAGTTTATTTCACCCACAGTTTATTGAGCCACGTGTGTGTGTGTGTGTGTGTGTGTGTGTGTGTGTGTGTGTGTGTGTGTGTGTGTGTGTGTGTGTGTGTGTGTGTGTGTGTGTGTGTGTGTGTGTGTGTGTGTGTGTACCTTGGGCGCAGCTACATTCTCTGATGGTCTGCACAGGAGAGTCCCTGCAGTGGCTTCCTCCCCACGGACCTCTGAACACGTCGGGACTCATGGCCTATTTGTTTGGGAAGAGACCCAGTCAGCTGGAGGAACCTGACGGGACCTCATCATGAAAGGCTGCACACGGGAGGGATGAAACCTGAGAGATGACTATAAACGATGAATTTGTGTTGTTGCGTGCATACGTGTGTGCAGCCGGAAGTGGTGGCGACGGGGTACTTATACGGCGAGTTGGAGGTGAGACCCATGGTCTGTTGTGTGCCACCGTGGTACGATCCTCTGGAGGATAAAAAACGAAACGCACAAAAGAACAATCAGAATCATTTAGGAAAATGAAAGCGAGTATTGTTAAAATCTCTGGCTTGCACGTACGGATGTTGGTACCTGAAAGTGATGATGTCAAAGTTCCCCGTGTGAAGCCGAGCCATCAGCATGGCCAGGTCATTGGCCTCTGAGCCGCTGTTGGTCAGATATATCACCTGGAGAGGGGCAGACATTTCAATCACAGCCTACATGTTTATTCAGGATCCTGTTGGGAGGGGGGTCCACCATCGCACCTTGAGAGGATCCGGGAAGTAGGACGCCAGCTTCTCAACGTACTCGTGCAGAGGAGGATGGACGTAGATGTTCGTAGTGTGGCACAGTCTCTTCAGCTGTCTCTGTGTTGCTTCTGTCACCTTCCTGAAGCCACAGATGGCAAATGTCAGAGCTACAAGGCACACAGAGCTCTTTGGTTGATAACTGTCGGCGCTTACGGGTGGCAGTGGCCCACACTGACAGTCGCCACGCCGGCAAACAGATCCAGGTAGCGCCTCCCGTCCACGTCCCACAGCCACTGCATGTGCCCCTGATGGATGAACACCGGCTTCTTATAGTAGGTAACCTTCATGGTCATGGGGTTGCAGTTCTGCTGGCGGATCTCCACCATGCGCTCCTTGGACATACCCTGGACGGAGACAAACGGATTGGAGTACTCGTAGAAGACGATGACATGGATTGTGTGTGTTTTTGGAGTCCACAGAGGAGATGAGTACTGGTTATTTAGTGTATCTTTTGATAATTACAATTTCAGTTAAATTCATACTGATTGTTAATGTCTACTACAATGTTGCACACCCCTAAAAATGCCCCAAAACAAGATTTGACCCAGCGAGATCCTCTTACCTTGTATTCCTCTGGCTTGAAATCGCATGAAGGCATCTCTGCGTCCGCGGGTCGATATTTGAGAGGTGATTTTTGACATACAGCACCTTTGAACGGGTTTTGATAGAAATTCAGAAAGAAATAAAGGAGGTTGTTAGAGGTATTGCTGGTGTTCTACAGTAAGCACGTGGGAGGTGTGGGCAGAACAGATCAGCAGCATCATAAAACTATGAAGTGGTACAAAGCCCTGTTTCGTCCGAGATGCTGAGAGCTCAGATCACTGAAAGACAACATTATCACACAACGAGACCGGACCAGTCCAAGGAGACAGCGGAGACACCTGTAAAGTTAAAGTACACCATTCCGGTTGAAGGCACGCCATGGGACAGTGCGTGTGAAGGTAGACAGGAAAAGCCGTGACGCGTGACACGCTGTGGGATGCGCATTGGCAGGAAATCCGAGAACAAAAGACTGACTCAGTAAAAGAAGAATTTAGCAGCTTCGAAACACTTGAAATTCATTTAAAGAATGTCCATGTTGGCTTGTTGTTTTAAATATAAAATCTCTGAAGGAGGAAAATAAAAAGGCTACAACTGATGTCACAAAGCTTATGACTATAGTTCCAAACACAAAGTATGCAAAAACAGAACGGTCTTCATTTGGATCTAACGTTTTTTTTTTATCCTATTATGTGCTGATATATTCAGAAGGAATTGGCATTCTCCAGTGAATTGCTGACCATAATTGCAGCTGTGAAAAGCGAAATAGAATCACGCTGTGATTTATCTGTAGAAATCCCACACTTATTATTTTACATTTCTATTATATGGTACTTGCATACATTCTGAATTGTCTGGTCAATATGAAACTGAAATCAAAACCTGGTAAATAGTTGAACTGCATTAACTTCCCATTATGTAACACAGTTGCAACTGTGCTTCCTTTTTTTCTACTCATGGCTGTAAGTAAATGTTAGTTAGAAAGTACATGTTTGGAACTGGTCTGAAGAAATGCATCCTTTCTGTTGTTAAATAAAATACAATGCTGTTGCTTTCTGGAAAAACATTTACTCTGAGATTACGACGTTTAATTGACTTGCACATTTTCTTGCCATGTTTGCAGGATTCTATTGTTTCTCATTCTCTGCTTTTAACAAAATTGAGGCAGTTTACGTCATTCTTACACCACCATAACAAGTTTGAGTGTATGACCTAATGTGGTGCTCCAATCAAACCAATCATTATCTCAGTTTCACAAAAAAAATAAGATGATGTAATTAATTCCTCAGCCAACACGCTAATATTATTTAAAACGTAATGTTTTGCCAGCTGACGTTCCAAACTAACTATGACACGCATAGAGTTTACGGTGCATAAAACACAGATCATCAGCAGCAGATCACCATCAAGTTGTTCTTGCGTTTGTTCATCTCCGTGGTAACTCACCACTTCCCAGGTGAAGTTCAGACAAACCGGGTGAACAGCACGGCTGCCCTGTTAAAATTGCCCTACGGCCTCTCAGAGAGGACATAACTTTAAACATGATGAGCGAGTACAGAGGGATCTTATCCACTTCCCCTTTGTGCACTAAGCAGCAGACTCTTCTTTCACTTAAAAAGGCTCAGGGATGGGAGGACGGGGAGCAGCCAATGGTACCCTGATCCTACAATGATTTCTCTGGAACGTCACATACGTGAATGTATAACCGGTGGCCGCTAGGTTTCCTACAAACATGCTCACTTATTAGGCCAGACATGTACCGGTGGTACCAGTTCTTTCCTGTTTGAGGACGGAGAAGATCCGACCTCATCTGCCCGTCAGGTGAGCGATGTGTGTCTGCGATGTGTGACTGTGCTCGTATCCATGGCCTTAAAAAGCCCGATGCCTCATATTGAGGCCTCTTAGGTCCGCTTCCTAAGTGACACTAAATGAACTCCAAAACCATTAAATATAAGAGGAAGCTCCTATGTAGTTGGATGGAATGTTTAAAACCCGCTGCACTGTACTGCACAAATAATACAGCACTGACCTCACTTCTGAAATGTGCTCAGCGTGAAACCGAACGAGCCTAACGAAGGTTGTGTAACACTTGTTGTTTCTGTTAGGAATCAAGGGAAAACTAAAGTTAGTTTAAAACGTTGACATCTTTAGATTGCATAGCACTTAAATACAGTCAGACCAATTTACCCATTTAATTATAATTACACTTGAATCGAGGAAGAAATAAAAAAAAAAAAACAATTGGCCCTGCTATGCCCATTTAGGAGAGTATTTCCAAATACGTAAGAAAGAGAGCAGAGAGTAAGCAGAGAGCCACGTCATTTTGGCAAAAACAAAATCAATATTCATGTCATACAGACGGATCACTGCTAACACGAATTAAGTGCTTAAATGGCCAAAAGCCTCTGTGGTTTTCAACTCTGTTTTTAACACAGTTGTTGCAGTCGGGTGTTATCAGCATGCCCTTTGGGTTTATATTTGCATGTGAGCAGATTTCAGTGTCTGGTGGGAGGTTGGTTCAGGCAATGTGCTCTTGTATTTGAACAATGTGACCCACTTGTGTGCACGTACAAGGAATTACCCGAAAGTAAAACTATATCTAAGTATATTAGTCTTTCAGAAGTGACTAAGCATTTGATCATATGTGATGTGGTGAGAACGAGATATGAGACACACAAAATATCCAAATCAAGCTATTTGGATATTTTGTGTGTCTCATATCTGAAGTCTTTGACTGTGTCTTTATGTCCATTTACGTCACCCAGTACAGGGTTCACGGAGATTAACCCATTGAGCCATTTGGACACTGTGGAACAAGACATTATTGAGGAGTTATACAAGTTTCAGAAACAAGGTTGTTCTTCAAGCTAACAGATTTATTATTAACGCATTAACATATTTTATAAACAATGTTACATCAGTGTTCCATTCCATAATTCAGGAGATGTAAATGAACAAGTAATCTTCAAGTTATAAAAGCCCTGTTGATGTCCTTCCACATCCATCTAGTGAGGTATATTCAAATTGGAGAAACCTGCAAGTAAACCCTATAATAAAAAAATTATCCAAACGAGAACCTGGAACTCTTTTCCAACAGAAGTAACTGGCAGCACTGGCTCCAAAACTTGCTTAAGATATGAATGTAAAACGAATTTCAAACAAATGTACCATTTTTTTCTGAAATAAGTTAATTACGTAACTTTCATTACAACATAAGCGCATATGGACAAAAAGTACCCTTTAGATATTGACATGCAGAGGCAATAAACGAGGTATAGAATTCCTCAGAAGGCAGGTTTCTTCCTCGGCAATGATCAACCCGGCTGACCTTCATCTGACTTTCATCTTCTCTCCATGTAGTTGTGGAGGGACTTGTTAAAAATGGCCAGGAAGAAATCTGCATCTTCCATCGTGATGCACATTGGGGGTTTGATCCGGAAGGTCTAAAGTGGTTAGAAAAACAGAAATGATATGAAACCAACAAGGGAAATGATGCCTGAGTGCAAAAGATAACTTACTTTATTCAGTGTTCCTGAACATATGTTAAGCAGCAGACGTAGCAATGTTAACAATCTGAATCCATATTAAAATGTATCGTTTGTCAAGCCACCACCAAAACCAGCATGGGTCCATAACGATGTGGTGTGAAATCTAACTTGCGATGTTGTTGCCTGCAGGGTTGCTACCACCCGCCAACTAAACAGAACTGAGCGGCAGGGAGCGAGCGCCATCACCTGGCCGTAGACTCCTCCCTTCCCTATCAGGACGCCCATGTCCTTCATGTCCTCGAAGATCTCACTCATCGCCTCGGGAGGCAGCGGGTGTCTGCTGGCCTGTGGATGACAGACAAGAGGCGAAAGGAGGAACGAGTGTGGATGTGTTTCGGTAACCATGGTAACCGCAGTAACTGCATTAAATTAGCGGTGTGCAACTGCTTTAGTCCCAGCACTTTACCCCAATTGGCTGGAGACGGTGTACTTAACAGGCATTTTCTTCCGTAGAACAGCGAGTGATTTCTTTATCCGGGGCACTTTGTGTACGGACATTTTTGTTTCATTGTTATGGAGACGGTCAGAGTTTTTTATCCATTTGATGATAAAGGGCTGTAGTTTTAGTTTTAAAACACTAATTGCTGTCCACATTTACCATATTTTCTTTCCCAATATGTCTGTTGCCACTTCTTTGCTACCAGTTATCATAAAATCTGGTGTCATTCTCCTTCTCGGGTCTTTACATAATCTTGGAGTGTTCGCTGTGACACATCAGTATCACTGTTGCAGAAGCTGCACTCCTTATCCCCAAATTACTGGAAAAAAACATTACGCAATGCAGCAACTCTAAAGGTCTCAAACCACAACGCCACATGCCAACCACGGGAAAACATGTTTGTATTTCCTCCTGCATGACAACCTTTGAATGGCCGACTCAAAGAACTCTGTTTCCCTCGGTCAGACGACTCCTGTAATCGGTGTACATGTGGTGGGGCTTTCAAGGCCCTTTTCAGTCAGTAGGTGATGTGTTGTCATGACAACATTTGTGGGGATGGGTGAGAAAGATTGTATTCTTCTCGTTATTATTAATGTGGTGTAGATTCAACGGTTTTATTTCATCAGTATGTTCTTTTCAAATCTGTCTTTATCAACGTATAAAAACAGAACTCAGGTCAGCAGTGTTTTCTGCGGCGGCTAATGCTTCACTGAACATTGCCCCTGGCAGCTTCAGCTTGCACGCACGTTGTTCTAGCACGTGAGTCGAGGCGAACGCCACTTCTGTTACAAATAAATACCTTGTCTTTGACCATTTCCACGCCAATCTGCAGGCCTTTTCCACGGACGTCCCCGATTATCTCGTACTTGTCTCGGAGTTTTGCCAGCTCTGTCATCAGATAGGTTCCCACATTGAGGCTGATCTGCTGCGCGCCGTCTTCTTTGATAGTCTGTAACGTACAACAAGTACATTTCATGTTTGAACCTCCGGGATTCTGAGAAAAATTATGGTTTATTTAGATGATTATTTCTTACATCGAGCACCGATGAAGCAATAGCACAAGCCACAGGATTTCCTCCAAAGGTGTTGAAGTGAACACCTTTGGCAAATGAGGCTGCAATTTCTGGAGAAAGAAATAATGGGCTCACAAGCATGCAAGCATTTCAGTCTTCAATCTAATATTTTAGAATATCTTTTTTCCATGACATTTTTTGGCAAAATATTTTTGTACTTTTCGTTCAATACATTTCCGACCAAATATATTTTGACTTTTTTTTCCAAACATTTTTCGACCTAATATTTTTGACTTTTTTTCCATGAGATTTTTTGACCTAAGATATTTCAACTTCTTTTCGACCTAATATTTTTTCCCATGATATAATTACGTTTTATTCTAACCATTTTTGACATAATATTTTTGCCTTCTTTTTAAATCACATTTTTTGACGTAACACATTAAGACTTTAGAGAGAAAGAAAATTCAACCTAACATATTTTTCAAAATATTTTTGGACCTAATATAAATATATGTTTTTTCAAAACATTTTTTACTTTATTTAGAATGACATTTTTCAACCTAGTATCAACGGAAACAATAAACATTTTTACGTCTTGGGCTATTCATCTCACCTGGTGTAGTAACAACAGCTCCCATTGGGTAACCATTACCAATGCCCTTGGCCATTGTAACCATATCGGGAATGACGTCATGACCTTGGAAGCCCCAGAAGTGGCTTCCTGTTCGCCCAAATCCAGTCTGGACCTGTCAGTTACAAAATAGTTGATTACGTTGATACAATTCTCGCTTCTTTTAAACCTGCAATGCTGTTTGTGTGTTACAATGGGTCTTTGAGTAATGCAACAGGAGTCACTGGAAGCAAAAAAAACAAGTTTTACCTTCTCCAGTTCTTCTCTTTAGGGTGAATGATCAATGATAATGTTGTTATTTTACAAACAACACCATTCAAGTTATAAATGAAAAATCTATTAAAACAATATATTTATAACAAATGAAACATCTCTAACCTCATCAGCGATGCAGAGCCCTCCTCTCTCTCTTACAAGTTTGTAAGCCTCCTTCAGGTAGGTTTTCGGGTACTGCACAGCTCCTCCGACCCCCTGTACGAACGTTCACTCGATCTTACGTTATTTGCAAATAATACGCAATATTAATATCGACTACGAGAAAGCAACAGATCAGACATACAAATACAAATCAACAACATGGTGACAGTGAGACTAGATTACGCGTAATTATAAAAGCAAAAAAAAATTTCACACCTGAATCGGCTCTGCGAAGAAAGCAGCTATGCGACTGGGGACGCTAGTGTCAAATGTCTCTTTGAGCTGTCCGATGTACTGGTCGTTTGCCATGCAATGACCTGCGCGATTAAAAATAAAAGGGATTATTTTAAACGAATACAGACAGTGAGAAACCGTGTGTATACAAGGACAATAGTACTCTTCATGCAAAAGATAAGGTGAAAATATTGTTAATCACCTTTCCATAAAGCAGAATCATAAAATACTCATCATACTACCACATGGTCCACGGTTTATGAATCAGTCCCATAGTTGGATCCTAAAGTCTTGAACAACTACAAATCACCTTTTTCTTGTGGTCGAGATTTCACGATTTCCATTGTTGCTGTTTTTTAAAATATCTTTGCAATGAATTATGTTTCATGGCTGGAGATAAAGATGTTAATCACAACAACAACAACAATAAATGAGGGCATCAGAGTAGTTATTAACGGATATTAATGTCACATTTCATGAGCTTGGTAGTTTGTTTTGCATAAACTGGTTCCAGTTTGGCGTGTAAAAGGTAAAAGGTTGAAAGAGGTAAATGATCGACTGTCAGAGACTTTGGACTTTCCAGGGTGTCAACTGACCTGTTTATCCCTCACGGCTTTTAAGCCAGTTATTAGAGAAACACAATGGTGAATTGCAACACTACATAAATTCATTATAATACAAATCCATCTAAGCTCTCACATAGATCTGTACAGAAACACAAAACTAGACAGATGCGTTCAAATGTCCTTTTCACCTTGGACAAAGGCCAACCATTTACTCTTTCACAAGAGACCACGGTTTTATGTGGAAGTGGTTCTGCATGTGAATTCATATGCAATTAAAACAGAAATGCACGGCATGTAAACATTGTTTATTACTGCCCACAAACACAAGATATTTAAAGACAGCAAGTTTATGTTTTGTAGGCAAAGGGGTCAAAAGGATTAATCTCACTGTTAACGAAGGGCGTTCTTTTTCCTGTTTCCGAGAGCCACGTGAGTGCTTTGAGACACGTGTTCACGTGTGTGTGTGTGTGTGTGTGTGTGTGTGTGTGTACCTTGGGCACAGCTACATTCTCTGATGGTCTGCACAGGAGAGTCCCTGCAGTGGCTTCCTCCCCACGGACCTCTGAACACGTCGGGACACATCGTCTGTTTGTGTGGGGCAGAGAGCAGCGCAGACATGCAAAACACTGTCAAATTTAATGAGTTGATGAAAAAATGCATTAATTTATGCACCACGAGCTCAAACTTCTCTAAAGTTCAGGAACGTATTGCTTGTATTCTATTTATGTAAGGCAGATGCTGGATGAGCAGTGTGTGTGTGTGTGTGTGTGTGTGTGCACAGGTTCTCTCTGTTCCATGAGGGCATGTATGCACTAATTGAAACTCTCATTTCAAGGCAGATTTTCTGCCTTCTACATCACACACGCAGCTGTCCGTTTATATGACTATATCCTATATTCAATACAAATCACAATGTGCGTCATCAGTTTTATGTGCATTTAATATGGCACTGTCACATATTTATGCATACGTACATTTGTGCAGCCCAAACCATTGGCGATGGGGTATTTATACGCTGCGTTGGAAGTGAGACCCATGGTCTGTGGGCTGCCGCCGTGGTACGATCCTCTGAAAGAGAAAAATCTGATTACTTGATAATCAGATCAGATCAATCAGATCAGCAAAGTGTGACAATGCTGGACGAATATAACGATAATATTCAGTAATTCCTATTTTTCTCACATTGTGATACATAATTATCTTTTATCGTTTGTTCAGACAGAGCCTTGAATTAAAGAGGAAAAAGGACATTCTACTTCAAATCAAATAAACTTTTTTTTATTTATTTACTGATGTAGGCATTGCTATTATAATTTTAAATTGTCCAATTTGATGAACTTAATTCATAAAACATCTTGTACCTGAAAGTGATGATGTCAAAGTTCCCTGTGTGAAGCCGAGCCATCAGCATGGCCAGGTCATTGGCCTCTGAGCCGCTGTTGGTCAGATATATCACCTGGAGAGGGGACGACATTTCAATCACAGCCTACGTGTTTATTCAGGATCCTCTTCACAGCCGATCGGGTCCACCATCGCACCTTGAGAGGATCCGGGAAGTAGGACGCCAGCTTCTCGCAGTACTCATGCAGAGGTGGGTGGACGTAGATGTTCGTAGTGTGCCACAGTCTCCTCAACTGCTTCTCCGCGGCTGCTGTTACTTTCCTTTACCCAGAGAATCACATCCGAAAATCACATTTATGAATGATTGCAATCTGTGTTTTTTCTATCGCGACACATTAACCTGCACGAAGGAGCTTACGGGTGGCAGTGGCCCACGCTGACAGTCGCCACGCCGGCAAACAGATCCAGGTAGCGCCTCCCGTCCACGTCCCACAGCCACTGCATGTGCCCCTGGTGGATGAACACCGGCTTCTTATAGTAGGTAACCTTCATGGTCATGGGGTTGCAGTTCTGCTGGCGGATCTCCACCATGCGCTCTTTGGACATACCCTGGACGGAGACAAATACACAGCGCAGGAGTAGGCACCGGCACCTGTGTGTGTGTGTGTCTACATTTTCTAGGAATTACTCGGTGATTAATAAACGCTGTGTTCCCGGAGGATGTTGTTCATTATTACCGTGTATTCCTCTGGCTTGAAATCGCAGGGGGGCATTTCCGGGACGAGGTGAGATTTCTGACATAATGCACCTGTGAAACAACGGGGAGTGAAGTTCAGACTGCGAGGCGGAAGGTGCGTTTTAATTGGCCGATCACGGCTTCTACAGAAGATATTTGTGTTACACCAGCCGGGAGCTGTATGCTTTTAATCAGCGTCGATGTTCTTATTGTTTCAGCAAAGTTCAGACTCACAATGTGAATAAAAGCTGTTTTTGAACTTGACTCTGCATTATGTAACACAGCATGTTAACTCTTTGCTTGGCTTTTGATCGCATCAGCAGTGCAGCTCTCCACATTTTTGGGATTCAAACGAGCTGAGAATAAAACCAGCTACCTAATTTTGACATCAATTTAATTGCAGAGCCCATTTTAGGGTGTTTAAATGAATGCAAACTTACTGTCTTTTGGTTAATGGTGCAGCATTTACAGTTTGCATTGTTTGCACTTGCACAGTTTGCATCAGAAAAGTGCGTTAGGGGTTAATTCATTTGGAACGAGTAACTTGTTTCTGGCAGGAGGACATTTCGGAGTCTTCTGGTGCGCGTCATTGTTTAAATACCCCCCCGTATTTACGGTGAACAAGTAGCGGAACACAATAAAACCCACTAACTCACCACCGGCCAAGTGGAATTGAACCGAACCGGACCGAGAGCAGGACTTCCCGGTTAAAACACATCGGACACTTAGAGAGGAGGCGAGTTTAAACATGTCGAGCGCGTCGGACCCTCCGCAGCAGACTTCCACCCTGTCGGCCCCTGCAGCAGCTTAAAGGACGCTGCAAGCAGAGGGGCCCCTCCGATACGTCACGGGATGCGCGCGCACCTCTACGGTTCGCGTTTATGAACAAACGTACATTTTTGTTTTGTTGTTTCTCTCTATACCACATACTAATTATATATATATTTTATATATAACCTCCCTGCCCCCACATCGCCCGGCTACACACATTATATATATATATAGATGATAAATCATTTAATAACTTTAACAACACTAATGTGTGATATTCATCTTCAAATCTAATCATCAATGTAGTAGTAGACACAAAGAAAACATTAATCTACTTCTTGTTGCTGTATATCGTACATTTATTTAGCAGAATTTTGATGGCGCTCTTAAAAAATATTCAATGGCGGTTTCAAATTGCCTTTTGTATATGGTTGGCTGTTTATAAAGCCGAATACATGTACATGCTAAAAAGAAAAAAAGAAGCCATTTATTATCGCTAAACAGAGAAAAGTAACTGGCCAACCAAGTACAATGACACTGTCATTTGCTTTTAGCTGAGGCAAATATATATATATATACATCTAACTATATATACCTTTCAACTCAAAAACATTGTTTATTGAGCTTGTACAGAATAATGCATGTACTAGAACTTTGATTGAAACTGTTAAAAATATTGCAGTAGCCCATATTGTCTTTAAAATGTTCAAGGAGCAGAGAAGATTCACCCAAACAAAAAATAAAAAACAAAACAAAAACATTTTATGTTTGAGCTTTCTGTTTTTACATTAATCATATTTAACAGATTCTCACATTATAACAGAAATTATCAATACATTCCATGAAAGGCATTACAAAATGTCAATGAAACATTCCTGCGAGGAGAGACAAATGAAATATGAAGAAATATTACGAATCACAATGACAGCTTACAACCAATCCCTCTTTATAAAATGAATACTAAACAAACTTTTTTAATCAGAAAAAAAGACGTCGCAAACTAAGTCTTTAATTCGTAACACAGTCTTCTGTCTCAGTCCCATCCTTAAACAGGTCTCGCAACGTCCCAGACCCGCCCGCCGTGCTCACGGGGCACCTAGCATGTGAGCGTGCACATGGTGGCGGTGTCCACATAGCCATTCACCATGGGGGCCATTTGATCCTGCACCAGCACGGCCGCGTAAACGCAGGCCGAAGCCTTCTGCGTAGTGTTCTCCTGCTCCGCACCGGGGTACCCGTCTTCTTCCCTCGCCTCCCTCTGGAGCAGCAGTATGTTGTCACTGTCCACCCTCTTCACCTTGCTGTAGACTTCGCCCGGGAGCGCCTGGTAGCAGCCCGTCACCACGGGCTGGAGCAGCACCACGTCCTTGTTGTTGACCCTTTGCACTTCGACGTACTCGCTGGTGTGGGGAGCGAGGGAGCGCGGGCCGGCGGGCGCCCGCTTGAGCCCCGCGCCGGAGACGTCGGCGTCGCTGCGGGCCCGCAGACCCCGGTGGGGCGGCGTCTTGGCTCGGAGCGGGCGAGGCAGCTCGCCGTGCGAGCAGACGTCCCAGTAGCTCTCTCCGGAAGCCTCCTGGGCGAGGAAGGAGGACGTGGAGAGGGAGTGCTGCTTCGCCATCTGGAGGGAGCTCTGTTGGTCCAGTGGGCCTGAGCTGTGCCTGGGCAGCGGAGAATACAAAGAGGGCCACGTCTTCACCCTCCCACTGGGCACGTCCCGGCCAACCATGTCTATCTGAGCATAAGTCAGCGCGTCCCAGTCCTTGAGGCTCCGCTGCACCTCCGTCCTCGTCTGACCGCACTCCGCTTGCCTCGCTTCCTCCTTGGCCTCCTTGTCCACCAGCAGAGTGTGGCTGTCGCAGCTGCCTCGGCCCGAGTCGCTGTCCGACGTGGAGCTGTCAGATTTGAGGCGGTCGTCGTGTGGATCCTTGCTTTCCTCCAGCTGCAGCTCTCTCTCAGTGGGGACATAGACTTCTAAGTAGTCCACCAGCAGATCCTCGTAATTAGAGGATGGGGTCGAAGGGTAATCAGGAACCACCAGCGCACTGAAGATCTCGTTAGATTTTCCGCTCTACACACAAAGAGGATTATTCAGTTGTCGAAAAGCAGCGACCAGATCAGTCAGAAGCACATTTTCTTGCTCGGAGTTGTTTAAGTCATAAGGTATAGGACTTATTTAGCTGCATTACCTTGAGAAGCTTCTTATCGAATCCTTTAATCTTAGGACCAGGGACGGGGGGCAGAATACAACGCTTCAGACTTCACACAAGAAAAAGAAAGAGCTGTATGTCAGGGCTTGTGATAGAAAAAATACAAACAACATCAACTCTTAATCTATCTTGAAATAGCAGAATTAAGTTAAGTTCAAGTTGAATTTATAATTAGGAATTAGCATTCTCTATAGATTTTTAGTTCGCAAATTTCACAGACAATAAAGTTGTAACCAGACTTTTGTTTTCTAAAGATTGAGATCTTTCTGTGCTTTTCACAACAAAACAATGACTGAACAATGTCCTTAAAATAAATGAGTACCTTTGGAATGCGACAGCTAAGTGATGAATACGACAACACTCATTAAGATAAGCCAATGATTAGGTTTTGATCGGGCTGCTCTGGACCTCTGTGGCTTAGAACATGTCTCATGTAGTCCTAAAAACACATTCCACCAGAAGTTCATGGTCGTTGTCTTACTTGTGTCTGTTTAAGTGCAGCAACCACGCGACGATGAGGAAGGTAAAGGCAAAAAAGACCGTCATGAGAATCCATGTTGAATTATCTCGACGAAAATCTGCAAGACATAAGGCCGATTGTTTTACAGGATATTAGAAGAGTACATATTCCACTAGCACCTGTGAAGGGAATAATACATCAGTTGATAACATTTGTCCGTTCATCATAGGACTAAACTCAGGATGTCATTGGCATAGTTTAGCTCAAAAGGGTAAAAGCTGTTTTTCAACTTGATTGCCAGGCTGGTTCTCTCCCTTCTGATTCCTGTCTTTATGCTAAGCTAAGCTAAGCTAAGCTAAGCACCTCCTGTCTGTGGCTCCAGTTGTAAGTAATCAAGGTCAAAATAAAGTATGTTACTGTGAATTATACTGTGGACAATTGTTGGCAGACGTCTTACGGTGAGGAACGTTGGCCTTGGAAGTGGAACTCCATTCACTCCAAAAGCCGTGGTCGGGTCTACAGCGCACCTCGACCTGGTATTCACCGCCCGACGGCAGGCTGAGGATGTTAAACATCTTCTGCTGGCCCGCGAGGTGCGTCTGGGAATAAAAGCACACAGTTCACACAGTCGGCCCTCCAAATTGACAGCATCGTAAACGCCGTAGAGTACAAGTCGAATGTGGCAATTTGATTTAATGAGGGAGCAAATCCCTAGTAAAGCCTTTTAGAGCTCACAGAAGAAGTTGTTAAAGGTTCAAATGAACAGCAGCGTTAGTTCATTAACAGGGGGGAGGGACATTTTAACCACCGGTCCACTCCCTCGGACGACGAAGTACCAACCTCCCAGTCGTCCTCCTCCTTCAACTTGACGCGCAGCTCGTAAACGAGAGTGATCCAACCCGAGCGCGTGTCGGCCTTACGTGGCGGTTCCCATGACACCCGCAGGAAGGGCCAGCCCTTGTCCTCCATTACGCTCACTGTTACGTTCTCTGGAGGATTAGGCTGAACTGGAACGAAGGAGAGAGGAAATGAGAATTAGAATGGATGTGTGTTGGTGTGTGCGTGTGTTTGCGTGTGTGTGTGTGTGAGACTGAGAGGGATTGAGGAGAAAAATAATTTAAGCGGATAATAATGTTCATAACACGGGGGCACAATACTGTGTGAGTGTGTGAAGATTCTTGTAATAGGAAACCAATGCACACGGGGGAACGTGGTCATGCAACAGTGACTTTACAAATACACGTTGAAGCTAATGTTAATGTTCAGGCTTAAGTTATCTTCTTAGAGACTTTTTCATTGCGCAAAACACAATGAAAAGTTCAGGTAAATCAAACTATTGATGAGGAAGAGGAGCCCTGTTAGCTGAGCAGCCGGTATGGCGAAGACGGTACTGTGTTCCTTTTTAATTCTTTACACTACATTCTGCATATTTTATCAACAACATGCTTTTGTTGTAATGAGCAACATGACAGTGTGGGGGGGGGGGGGGTACAAAGCTCATTGTTATATAATATGAAGTAGTTTTGATCAATATTCATTTTTTTAACAGATGAAGATGAAAGAAACTGGCTAGAATTACTCAACATGTTTATTGTCATCAATAAATTAAAAAAAAACAATGACTTAGTTCATGTCAATTATCCATTATCTATTGTCCATATCCCCATACCTCCTTTGTTGTTGCTTTCAAAGTGATATTTTCTCTGTCTTTCAGGGCTCAGGAATCGTTCCTTAAACTTGGAGACTATGTTCTGCCGTGTTCAACATTAATGTCGTCCTGTGATCTGCCCAACAAGCCGTATCACACTCGCAATATATGTTAATAAGATTCATTCAATTCATTTTTTTGCTTTTAGCCCTGCGATACATTTTTGTAATTTTTATTTACTACTTTTAAGTAGTGACCTTCGGTGTGTACAGCTGGAGGGAGGGTTAATGTACTCCGAGACCAATAGTTACAGTGTAACCCGGTCTGCCATTGAGCGGCTGTGTGACTGTGTGCCACCCCCCCCCCCCCCCCTCAAACGTCACAGAAAAGAAGCACAAATTCCCTCACCGATGTACACCACGTCTACTTCCACGGGGTCAGAGTACGCACTGCCCAGCGAGTTGGTGGCCACCACCGTGATGTTGTAGTTGACCCAGATCGCCGTGTTGTTCTTGTTGAAGAAGCAGGAGTTCTCTCCGGCTGTGCGGTAGTCCGGGCACTCGTGCACGGCGTCGGAGCTGCAACACAGGGAAGGCGGCGGCGGCTGCTGCATGTCATTGTGCGTTGGCACTGTGCTCCCCCGTTAACATTTCCTCACAACAGCATGCGCTCCTCGTGCTCAGTTCCTGGAAATCTGTGTGTGTGCGTTTTGTAAAATAAATGGGGCGCCATGTTTCCCACTCTGTGCTGCGTGAGGGTCAATGTGGTGAACGTATGGTCGTCTTAAACCTCCCCGGTCCGATGGCAGAGGCAGACAGTAACAGGCAATCATGCTCCACAATAAGTTTCATTCTTCTGGGCTGATGTGCCTCCTCTTTCCTTCGGCGATATCAGACCTGCATGTGGACGGAGGCCACTGACCTTTCTTTGCGATAGAACAGGGAGTGTTTGGTGGACAGTCCCCCATCGGAGCCCGGCTTCCACCAGCAGGTGAAGGTCTCTTTTTCAGGGGAACGACAGCTGGTGAGCACTGGCTTCCCCGGCGGGCTGTTGGCTAAAGATCGACGGGAAAAAAAAGAGAAAATGAAAATAATATGAAAAGATGACAGATATGGATCGGCGATGATGTGAAATATACCACAAAAATATCCGCAGATAAACAACGATAATAAGTAAACACATTGTGCAGCACTGGTTTCTGTGTTTCTACACACTTACGTTGTCCCCCTGCGTGCGCCGTGACCAACGGCAGCAACAACAACAGCAGCAGCAGCATGACCTCAAAGACGTTCCTCATCTTGGCTCCTGAAAGCTGTTTGATGGGGGAAACAAATAGGCTGTTGAGTATGGGTGAACTGTCAGACATGCGATCCATAACAACAGCAGAACTGCACGTCTTATGTTCAGTCACAACACGCTTCAGAGAAAAACTGGCAAAAATGTTTTCTTATTTTTATCGCACCTTCTGGGACACGTCCAAAACTTTGATTAATTCAAATCCCCTGAATACATAATTGGGTGGAGATAAGGTACTTCTGACAGATGTATAATATACAACAGATCCAATATAATTTATATTTGACAATAGCAACATTCATGAGTAGATTAAAGATTAAAGTTAACTAAAACAGATTCAAACTGCAGAACGGCAAATATGAATAATTCATTCATAATAAAAAAATCTCCAACAAACGATGTCTGCGGTATCACTGAGGATTAAAAAACCCTCTCAGTTTCTGTCTGCCTCTACCAGCTGGCACATGTAGCGTGACCGATTGCATAAGTTCAGCCTGCAGCCTCCGCGACACAGACACACAACAGGAGGGGCGGCGGGGGCGGTTTGCCCGAATCACATCTGCAATTCTCTGGCAATGTGCAGATGTACGGGGAGGGAGGGAGGGAGGGAGGGGGGGGGGGGGGTCGATGTCACATCGAAGGGAGAGCTGGTGTTCTTTAAAACAAAAAAGTTGTTAGAAAGCACTTGAGCCCACTCCCTCTCCTCCCATTAATGAAGATGAATTCTTCTGCCCTTGAGGCCTCGCTTCGCTCCACTGGCGCAAGGAAACATCACCATAGGAATGTGCGTTCCCAATTCTCCACACACATCGTAGGTTCATGCCGAACGGCTTTGATCATTTCATTCTCAAATTAGATCACGTTTATAAATAAATGGTGTTACATTTAAATGAGAGTACAAATGTGGTGCTCGGTGTGGCTAAAGATGCTTTGATTTTATTCTGATGACATTTTCAGCCCTCATTCTCAACACCACACCTGTTTGTATCCAGTGCCGTGTCACTACCTGGACGGAAGTTTGTTCTTACTTTCGCTTTTCTTTAAGGGGAAAGAAAACGTCTCCTTTTTCAGTCCAAGGTTTGTTTGTTGACACACAAATTTCATACAATTTATATTAGCAATTTCAAACTTACAATTATTAGACGTTTAAGAGTAATTATAGTGATAGGGTTTCAAAATAAGGAAATCCACTCCTCCCAATCTAAACTTTTGTACTTGTATAACAGGCTCCAAGGTTGCTCGGGTTTCTTCTTTTGAAGTACCTTTGTGGGCCCTTAGAAGGCTGTTGGCAAGGGACTGCTTGTACCAACGGTCCTTTACGGTGCCTTAATTTCAATAACGTCACCATGATCTGGTAATTGGCATTAAGGCCAAGGCACTGGATTAGCCTCCCGCTGCATATAGCCTCCTTACATAACCAGTAACCCAAACTGAATAAGCTGCTAAGCTGGGAAGGCGCGGGCCAACTCCCCGAGAAGCTCCCCGCCGCACAGACAATAATGGTCTGGACGTTTCTCAGTCGCCCCTCAGTTGCCCCTGGTTTAACGGGCTGTACTTCCCTCCAGCTTCATGCTCATCATAGAGAGCCAACGTGCAGTGAGCGGAGAACGGAGAAAACGGCGCGCAAGCAACCGACGGTTAAGGTCATTATGAGGAATGTTCTGGAAATTGTGCACAATCTCTATTGCAGATAAATGATTTACCTGAAGTGCACCTGTGTGATATATACATTAATAAGTATGAATGTAACACAGTACAACGTTGGAAAAAAATAATCATCAGAAGGCATCCAGTCACGTCATCCCCTAAAGTCTGATTTAGGACTTCGGTGGTAATGAATCATTTATCATTTGTGTTAGTCAGCTGCCTCTCAATGTCAAAGGGAGTGGAAAGGACGTGTCAAATGACATGTGAAGGTAAAACAGTGAGCAGCGAAGCAAGGAGATCCCCTCGGGGCATAGTTGTACGACTCACCACCACTGCAAAGGTTATCAACAGGGAATGTTTCCTTCTCAAGCGCAGGGAGACGTACCTGAGCGCCACAAAAGCAGAACTACACAAGTCCTGTTTCCAAGAACTCCCGCCGAATGATTTACTGTAAGGTCACATGATTCGGTTTCCCACAGGAGAGCCGCGTGTTTGCCTTGACTGAAAGGTGCCCTGACGAACCAATTAAATGGGTATCCGTCTGCTGAGATAACACACACGGCAACTTTGGCAATGAATTGAACACGAATTCCAGGTAAAACGAGGATGCTTTCATGTCAAAACATGGGTTTCTCTTCCCGCTCAGACTGGAGCAGAGTAAATACTTCCCGGTACAACAGTTAAAAACAGGTTTCATCGCCTTCAGCCGCGACTTTCGAGGAACTTATTTACTCCCCGGACCCTTGAAGGTCAAGAGAAAACAAGACGTGCAACTGAAATTTGCTGTGTAAATTTGATTTTAAAAAACAATCTCACGGCTGAACATGGAGTAATGCTGGTGGATTCTGAGGACTCTCTGGCACGACCTGCAGGAGTAGTCTGACTACAACATGAAGTCGTAGCTTAACACAACTTGATACCTAAAGTTTCAGGGGACATCTGCGATACACATTCTGCATTCAAAAAAAGACATGTGCTCCCCCATGTACGCAGTGCACACGCATGCTGGTGTTCCCTTACGCACAAACAGCCATGGGCATGTCATTGCAAACATAAAGAGACAATCCCCAGAGAGCGTTCACGTCAACCAGCCCTTTCGTCTTCATTGTTGTTTTTCATTGCTGTACTTCCTCCATGTCCTGGCCAGCCTGTGTGCTATGCCATCCTGTTTCTCTGAAGCACTCACGCAAGGTGGGGTGGGGGGGTTGGGGGGGGGGGGGTTCAAGGACAACAAACACACCCTTTCCTACCCAGAGCATTAATGGCCCTACTGACTGGGCAGCGGTTTATGATCAAAGAAAGCTTCTGCTGGGCAACATGATCATCTGGGGGAATATTTCAAGGTGGAAATAATTGACCTTTGGATTTTTCCCGATACAGGCGATAAGTCAGCGATAGTCGGTGGCCCGGCGTAATAACATCGCTGCCAAACACCGATCTGGTCTCTGGTCACGTTGGGTGAAACGGTTCTTTGAATTAAATAACTGCTGGAGGAGTGAACTAGTTAGAACCTGCAGAGGAGTGACAGGTGTAATGTGTGTCATTTGATATTCGCTCGGACTCACCTATCCAGAGCATATTCATAGGATCTAATATGGGTCAAAGCCAGATGAACCTTTCTAATGAAACTGCCGTGCACTTTTCAGCAGCGTATCCTTTATATGTACTATTAGAACTATTAGAACTGATGAGTGGCAACTCAAAACATGTGCACAAGAACTTGATATACAATCCCAGGAGAATACTTGAGTTTGTGTGACCTAATTACAGCAGCGCTCGGTGCAGAACGGAAAGTGGAAGGAGTCAATAAACTGTAGCCACCAACAATTGCAATCCAATATTAAGTTAATCAGTTTGCTATAATGGCCAACAGCCTCTTTAACCTATCTTAAGCAGAGCAGGAGCAGATCACGGCCTTTGCAATCCCATTACAGCGCTGACATCCTGGCATCAGCGCCCTCCTTTAGGACATAACGTGGCAATCAGTCAGCTGTCATGCACTTAATACGTCATCAGTTAACCGCTGGTTCGCTCTAAATTGATCGAATTCGTTGTCCAACAAAGATGTCGTTGTGTCCACGCAAAAGGTGCGTGTCAAACGAAGTCTGGTGGATTGATTTAAGCCACACAGATTCAGTTCGGCTTCGGGCAAAACCACTTGACTGATTCACCCGATCTGAAAAACGTCACTCTCTCAAGGACTAAACCAGCAACAAATAGCGTGCTCATTTCATCTCGATGGAAGTTAATAATGAACTTATCGTTACTGCAAGCGTCAACGAGTTTGTAGTTCTCTTTTTTTTTTAAATTTTCGTGTGACATTTTAAACGATGTTGGCACATAAACACAAACGCACAAGCAGGCAAAGTGCGGTAAACCCTACGCGCCCCATCGCCGCTGTTGATACACGGACCTCCCGGTGCTGATGCTACACGGACCTCCCTCCCCACAAGTAAAACTGATGTCTTACCGGCAGCCAAAGAAGAGTTTTTCCCGTCTCTCGCCCCTCGGTGCCTCGGCCGTGGTGAACTCCTGCGGCAGCTCCCAGGAGAGCGCGCTCACGCCGACTCGCACAACCGGTTAACCGGGATGACAGCGAAACTAGGCGTACTAAAGGTGAGGCGCGAGGTAATCGCAACATCAACTCTCTGGTCCCTGTGATCCTGAAGGGGGCGGGGGCGGGGGCGGGGCTCGGGCGGGGCCCCGCCCCCACGTCTTGGGTTGCCATGGTTGTCCGTGGCGAGGTGAGTTTGACAGTTTGAGTTAGTTTCTCAGGAGGAGAGCCAGTGGAAATAGTGGGATTGGGAGTTTACAACTTATTCAATATCAAATCTGCATTGTCCTTTTGACTGCCCCATTACGTAATATTATGTATTAATAGCCCAGCCTCCCCTCCTCCACACTCTCTCTAAGCTCTCAACTGAATTTCCCACACAAATCACTTGAACAAAAACTGTTTTAAGGTGATAAGAAAACTTATAATATATATAAAAAAAATACAAATAAACAAGTGTGAGGTTTTAAATACAGATACAGAGCACTACAACTACTGAAGGAATCCCATTTGGAAGAGCTAAGGCTGCGTGAGGTGCCACTGCACTTTCAACCATGCTTTTCCGGTTTGTTATTTCTCTGTGTCTCACACTCTGCTTGTGTGTGTGTGTGTGTGTGTGTGTGTGTGTGTGTGTGTGTGTGTGTGTGTGTGTGTGTGTGTGTGTGTGCGTGTTACAATAAGGGATCATGTTACAGTGGGAGGTGAAGTAACTCTCAAGGAAATGAATGACACTCAATGCACTTTTCCCATCCCCTGAAGAAGCATTCTTTCAATCAGGTAAATTGGTTATGGGCTAATATACTGAAGGATGTTATGAAAACCCTTCTTAGCTGTCAATTACTAAAACAGACTGATAATCTGTTGCTATAGTAGACCAATACGCTGTGTCCTTGCTGTAACAATACTGAGGACAACACATACCTGCTGCTACCTTAGTGACATTCACAATACGTCTGGTCCATTTCCTAGGGAGCTGTAAACATAGCAGAGTCTCCCAGTGTTTGAAATCCCTCTCCTCAGCCTCGAACAACCGAGAACACGCTCAAGAGAGCGTTCATCTCCCCTAAATGTGTAAATGATTAACACACTGTGTTTGTGTATAGGTCTTATGTGATATTCTAAAAGAGAAACATAAATTCTCTCGAAGAAAAACAGCCACATTTGATGACTTTTATTACAACACGATGTAGCCCGCAGGACAAGATGTTCCCATCGCACAGGGTGTATATGAAGCTGTCTTGGCCACAAACAGGACTAAACAGGTAGAGGACATGCATGGAAAGAAGTGGGAGGCGCCTCATGAAAATTCCTGGTGTTACAAGTAGACTCATCATGTGGGCCTGTGATTCAAATGAAGAAGGTATTCAAATCCATATTCAAAGTAATCTTCCAAAACGTCCAGTGTTAAGTGTCAATCATCAAAATGTAAGAAAACTATAGAAGCACACAAATGCCCCGTGGTTGTCATGTGGTGATGCAAAACAGCCGTGCTGTCTGTAACATTTCAGGGATGATGTACCAAGTTTAATGAGTGGTGAATATAAAAACCCTTTTAGCATATTTATTTGAACACATCTTGCTGTTTGACCTGGTTCGTTGACATGCCTGAGTGCGTTTACATTAATGCCTAAAATAACCACACGGGTAAACATACACACACTATGTGATGAGCATTTGAAGGGAGTGAGTGATTGTATCATGAGAAGCCCTCCCCGTTTCATCTGTGCTTATAGGAGCAATAAGGTTATGTAACGTGACCATCTGCTCTTCCCTGCTCTCGATTCAAAAAGTCCCGTTAAGCGGCCGATCCGCGGCGGATGCCAGTGAACGCTTGGACCGGGATGCACTTCGTGAATGTAAATAACTTAATAACGGCTGATGCAGAGATTCATAATTGACGTTGTTGCGTGCGTAACGACGGGATGCGACGGACGCTTTTCGGTGTGCCAGATTGCATGACATTCTCTCCGCTGGCACCAGCGCAAAAAATAAATAAATAAAGAGGAGCGCGACACAAGCTGCAGTCACAGAAACGGAACTGACCTCCAACTCAATAAAAAAAACAAAAAAAACATTTGGCCTCTCAATCACTGGACATCTGGCTTCTAGCGGCAGGGGCCAAACGACGGAGAGATCGCGACCACAGGGTGACATCTAGCGGCACTTTGGCGAGCTCGTTTGACAAAGCGATCCGTGTTTCTATCTCATTAATTAGACTGGTGGAATTCCAATAGCGCGGTGGGCGTCTATAGGCGGCGGTAGAGGACAACCAGCGCTGCAGGGACGTGCGACACAAGCAACATCACTCCTTGTGTCTCGATACGTCAACGTCAAAGCTGTGAATGATATATGAATGGCAAAAAAGGCACGCGTAAGCGTTGCTTGATAGAAACAAAGGCTTTATTTTAAACAAAGCGTGAAAGGGGAAATCATATAGATGACTAAAATGGGAAGTCCAGTTTAAAAATAACCATCACCGCCACAACAACAACAACAACCACACACTACTGAGAAGACACGTAATAGTGGCCATCTGCTCATAAAAAATCGAAACAGGACCCAAAAATGAATCAATCAATACTAATAATAAAAATATGGAGCGCTTTGTCATATTTGAATCGATCTTAGACGTAATACTAGAAAGACCAAGAAAAAAATACATGTTTATTGTGTCATGGTTTGTATTGCTCTATATGGATTACTTCCCTATTTTCACATACACCTGTGACCTATAACGTACAATACTGGCCGATGGGTTGTCATTGCTTCCCCCCCTCTTGTTTTTATATATGATGAATTTGAGAATTTTGTCGACCTAAATTCGTACGAGATCAGTAGTTTTATCTGGTTCTTTCTGCCTGGACTTTGTGATTGGCTGCGTTTTAATCAAGCCCCGCCCCTGACGTGAACGCGCCCGGGGCTGGGTAGGGACCAGAGCGACTAACTTAAACATTCACGACACTAGTCAGCTGGAAGTGGTGATATTATATACTACAGACATAAGTAAAATTCAGACATCGTTAAAATGAGTTGCTCCGTGAGACACAGTCTCACACACCGTGAAAAAAGGTGGAAAAAAACCCAAACACTCGCAACAGCTCCACGCCCTCTTCAAATATTATTGGCCGTTGAGGAGTTTTGGGGGGACTTCACCTCGCATTTGATTGGCTGACATAGACCGCAATCACGTCTAGCCGGCACACTATTGGCTGAGCTGTCAGGGAGGACGTCAAGTGTCAAAACATTTCGAGAAAGGGGGGGGTGGGAAGTGGACGGATAAGCTCGGAGTTGACAAAAGCGGTCTGTCTCAGTTGAAACATTTTTGGACACTGTTGTTTTCTTTGGGTGCTGTTGCCATTCACCGGTTTCCTGGACAGACAACGCGGGCCGAGGATTAACGACGATTCGACCGTTAAACTAATCCCCCGTTGCCGCGCGGAGGACCTGGTCTCGCCGTGGATTCGACCACCACCACACGGCGGAGAGAGCAAAGTGGGACTTTTATTGTTTCGGGGCTGGCTAGCTAGCTTCGCCAAGGCGGCTTGTTTTCGTGAGTCTGGCGTGTACCGCAGGCTATATGGCTGCGAATTACGAGCCGATCTATGGACTTTCAGAAGATGAGGTAAGCTATAATTTGAACACGGCTCTGCTACACGGATGTCAGTCATGATGTGTCTCTCGCGGGGGGGGGGGCGTAAATAGCTAACGCCATGGCTAGCCGATAGTCAAGCTAACAAGCACACACACACACACCGTGACATTCCGTAGCAATTTTCAAGAAGCCGTCCGTTTCCTGCCCACCGTGCGCGCGCGGCCCCTCGCCTTAATTCCATTAACACGAACACCGTTTAAACCTGTACATTTCGACGGAGCAAACCCGCCCGCCCCTCCCCGCGTGCGTTCTCATTTGAATGGACGCACGGACGACTTGTAGCTCCCGTCATCCACAACGCGGAGCAAAGGTGTAGTGGCACGCGGAAGGGAAGGGAAGGGAGGGGCGCGCGCGAGGTCACACCTGAGCCACCCACACGGGGGTTTGTGCTTACCGGGCTGCGACGGCGTTGTCAAATCAGCCGAGCACCTGTCAGAAGGGTCCAATGCGGCCAGAATGATTCGCTTTTAACTTCACGGATCAATATCAGAACAGGGTGATCCTGATTATCAGCCCTTGGTTTGATCGATCTACTTCAGCCAGTGATCGTGCTGCCATCTTTTTATGAGGCATAGCCCTGTGGTGCCCCCGGTCTGTCAGTCATTACCGGAGGGCAGGCACGCCACTTAAAGCATTCCACACGATGCACGGAGGGGGGGGGGCAGGAAGGGGTTGGATGTTTTTTTTTTTTAGTTAAGGTTAGCCATGTTGCAGGCATGAAATACCCTCACGTCATCTCCACAAGTAATGGTTTCGTGACTATCAACGGATCCCAGTCCCATGACACACTTCTCTAACTGTGAGGCGAAACCCTCTGGAAATCTCTGGTCGAGGCCGTAGTCTGAGATGACAACCTTGTGTTCTGGGCTCCCACCCACGGGCCGTCCTTTGCTTCCTTCTCCAAGCACATATCTAAAAACGGTGACGGAAATATCAACCCAGCAAGCGGCTGTGTCAGCGATCGTACTGAAGACTCCCGTCTCAAGCTACTGTCGAGAAGAGAAAAGAAGAGTAGAGAAGAGCGTGCAACGCTGCAAACCGTACATGGTGTCCCTTCAAGAGGTGCTGTGGGAATTGGATGCGCACACGTTACCAATTACGTTTTCTCTCTCCAAATATTGCTGTAGCTAACATTGTGCCACTTGTCCGTTTCTAAATGTTGGACTCGAGTCCAACTCACTTCACCGCTGGTCTAATACAACTCATTTCACGGTTATTGACTTAAAAATGCAGCTTGAAATGTTTCATGCAATATTTCTTCCATGAATCTGATCCAATGTTTTGGTCCACCATCTCTTTCTCCTGCAGCATGAAACGAGAGTGCTGCGGGTTAAGGTCATTGCCGGAATGGATTTGGCAAAGAAAGACATCATCGGAGCCAGGTGAGCATCACGCGACTCCTCAGGGACACCATAGAAGATACTTCCTTATAAGAGGC